TATATTTAAGAGATCACGATCTTTGATTTACTGTTTTTTCAATATTTAAGTACCACTAAATAACCGTAGTTCTAGTGTAAAATATGTTCGTACCTGAAATTTTAGTATTGTGGACGATTAGTGTATGAAAGAGAACTAACTAATCTTTAATGATCGCAATGAGATGTATTACATCAAAGGACAGATTTAGACTGGCAACGTTCGAAATAAAGCCTGACGTTCCAAATAAATACAAGCTTGATAACTTTCGTTTTCCTTTAGGACTAAAGCGACATTATACGTCTACTTAATTGTGCCTGTTTACGCAGAGACTACGTATTACACCCGCTAGGTGCGAATAGGTTTAATGTAGGCCATCGAAAAGTTTCGGCCATAGTTGGGCGTTGGGCGTATTTTACCAACACCGTATTGAAATAATCCGAACCAGCTTTGAGCACAAATTTGCCCTAAGCCTACTGGAATACGATTCGTAATAGTCCATTGTAACACTAAGGTCAACGCTGACCGTACCGCTGATAAGGCTGGACAATGGTTTCGATCTGGAAAAACTGCGGAAAGCGCCCTCTATAGCATGCTCAGGCATCTTTAATGCAACGATCTGCGCATAACCTGGATGATCGCATTGGTTGTCTAGTAGCCTGCGCAAAAGTTTTGCTTTATATATCGTTTTGCGTTTACGAGGGCCTGGACTTTACGCTACCAGGCCGAACTGCCTGGAGATTCTTTCAAATGTGAGGACGCAGGGACCGCAGATTTACTCAAATGTGTCAATCCGGCTCAACCAATTGCGAGCAGAATAGCCCCACTTAGCTCTAATGCCGCTACTCTTTGAAGAAAGGCATGTGAAGGACACATGGTATGTTATATATATAATATATGCGAGCACGCACTAGTGCTGGCACAAATGTTTTAATTCTACCTGAACTTTGTCTTTATAGCGATAGCGCCGGAAATATTTAAAATTATTGGTACAGACCGCACCACCCGGCTGCGCTGCTCACATGTGTCCCAACACACGGCATCGACAGTTTGCGCTTCAATGTGTTCTTGCGAGTTTTCTGCGTACGCAGTGATTCTCGGCTCACAGACGTCCAGGATATGCTGTAACGAGGTTGTTATCAAGCCATCGCTTAACTCTACGACAGTTGGTCTACTTGCTTAAATCGAAACCTTTTCCTCAGGTATTCAAGCCGCGTTCATTGATTCAAGCGGGCACGCACCTCAACATCTTATACAACCATCAAGTTAAGAACCAGCAATTTCAAGTGCAGCACCCTCGAAGATTTAAAAACACCACTACAAACCTTTACTATATAAAGCCTTGCGTCTCGATCAAGCACTTTATCCATCCTTAACCTGATTAATCTTTCGGCTCGGACTATTTGTTTTCCTCTGGCTGCCTCTAATTATATTGTCGACGCATTAATACCGACACAAATGTTATTCACGCAATATCTTGTTTTTAAATAGGTGTGGCGGTGAAAGTGGCTAGGGTTAATGGTATGGGCCGTAAAAGATATATATACACCATTTAACTGTACGAAATGTTTTAATAACAGGTAATTAAGAGTATGCTATGCACGACGAATCTTTTTTCAGTCATATGTATTATGCGGAATCATTAGCTTTTTTTAGGAGTCGTAACCTTATAAATATCAAAGGCCACTGTCCTGAGTATGTTAAAGGTTGTCTACGTTCTTTGGCGTAAAAAATACTTTTTTTCGGCACTGGTGTGACATCTTATTCCTATGAATTATGTAATTTACAAGTAAAAGCGAATTTACTTCCGAGGAAGTGCAACGATCCTTTCTTAAGGCAATGTGATCTTGGTGCTACAATCATTGAATTAAAGGAGGGTGCTACATTTACCGCCCAGGCATCTTAAAGAATTGCTGCAGTAATTGGAGGGCACACATCTAAAAATAAACTAAGTTAGATAATTAATTTTAGATGTGCCAGTTTGACAGTAAGCTATTCTATAGTTTTTTCTCACGAATGCCAATGCCAAATTAAAGCGGCATTAATTAATAGTGCTTCTTATTAAGCCAGTTTTACACTTGAGATGCAATAATGCAAAAAAAATTTGTTCAAAATTAAATACAAAATTTATCAAAAATGATTTTCCAAACATTGTCCACTATAAGCTATGTTCTGCTCCAAATTTATATGAAACTTACAAAATAAATATGCCTTTATCAAACATAACCAACAGTATCAGTGTGACAGATACTTCTCGACATCCTTATTTGATTAGGAAAGCTAGTAAATTTTAACTACGAGAATAAGGGTGTTACGAAACAGTGTATACTATTTAACGGGCCTTAACATTCTACCCATTTTTTATTTGCAAAGTATAATTAATTAAAAATATTTAATCTTTGACTTCTTCTTGAATCCCAAATTAATCTTTGAATAAAAAATGTATTATGAAATGCTATTGGAAGTATGACAATATAGCAGAGACTCAAAGACAATATCGCATGCTGTTTCAGGCAGATCCACGCATGTGGTTTACAACTAGTGGAATGAAAAATATGCCTGAAAAGGATGTAACTGTTTAGGATGTTCCTAGACAACGTTCCTCAAGACTAACAACATAAACGAGTTTTGTCAGCCAGAAAAGATGTTTGGAAAGCTAAAATGAGTTATTTAAAAATACAACAAATCCAGCTTCCACCGCATTTTATAACGTTATAAAGAGAAAAGTTACATTCGAAAAGTAATATATTCTGTTAATGAAGAAAAAACACAATTTTACGAATAATACTTCGAAAAACGCGAATAAAACCAGTGTTGGGGAAGATTAATAAGAATCTTTCTGGTCTGTAGAATACCTGGAATAGAGTTTATGCAAATACACTTTTTCTTGCGGCGTTATATTGAAGATCATGTCAAGAAACCGACGACACAGGAAGATTTAAAACCGCAATCGAGCGAGAATGCGGCACAACAGCAATTAAATATTTTTCAAAGTTTGTCAATCAATAACTTACCGTTATTAACAGTGTATTGACCAAAACGGTAGTAATTTTGAAGATCTGCGTTGAGAGAGAAAGGTAACATTTTACATAGGTTCTTTTTCAAATATGAATTATATATAAATAAAAACTAAGGTTATAATCATCCGAACTGTAGGAATTTTTTTCGAGACACTTTGCATATTAGTTTTAACATTTTCAAAGTTGTTGATCTGTAATAATCTGCGTAATCTACCTAACAAAGGTGAATATATTTTACTAAGCTGAAGAGCTTACAAACTGCACAACCCTATGATGCCTACAACTTGGCCCAATATAGAGTCCAGCTGGTCATTAATTAAATAAATATGTAACACTAATATTAGATAATAGCTAAGTCATATATAAAGCCATTTTTATTTACAAGAAAAGATATGGCTAATAATAGCTGACTTATACAAAGTTACGTAAAGTTTATTTCATATATTGATCGGTTTAGATTTAAATTTACGAAGAAAATTACGCGCGAAGTTTGAGTTTTGAATAATTTACATTTAGTAGAAATATTAGAGAAATTCTTTAAATGTTTTATTATTTGCTGTGATAACTGCATATTGTTACTACTGTTATTCCGGCATCTAAATGCTAAGTCGATCTATGTAAAAACTCTTCCGTGACACAAATCCGCGCATGTTCATGAATTTGTGTAGGGCATAGTTGACTAGAAGCCAACCTTGTGGTTATTTAAATCTAGCGCCACGTCGTATTTGCCGATGCATAACTTGTTTTGGTTTCGGTCAAGGAATCGTTGCACCCTTTTTCTTTGAGTGACTGCGCCAGGAGGTCGCCAAAATGGTGAGTGATATTAAATCTACAAAAATCCTTATCAGCGGGTTGAAATATGTGCTTAGATGGTAATGTATCCGTAGAGAGTATTATAAATACCTTGTATATCTTTGTAGATGAATATGAACCGACCTGGTATTGGTATAATATGGTTTGGTTTTTTTTGTGGTGCCATTATTTACACGTGGAATTCTATTCTGCTATGGAATTCTCATTAAACATGCAAAAGGATAATCAACTCGAAAAGTAATGCAATTTGTTCGTGAATTTATTCAAGACATGTCCATGTTTCGTTTTACCAGGAGTTGTTAAGATTTTAAATTGGTTATATTCCATCATCAAAAATTGTTTTCATTATTGGAGACAATACGTAATATTGGGGTCGATTAGTGAGTATAAAAGCTGTGTGTGGTTGATAGTCAGAGCTAACCTATCAATTGTTTTCGCACACCTATTATTACTGTACTGAAAAGGGCCAGGTAAATTAGGGGTTGACATATCTATTTACCCTTCTATCATATGCGCTCGTTTTCCTCAAAAAGTATATCGTTCCATTTAAAGTCACGCATCACTCTAAACATTGCTTCGAAGCTTTTGAATCGATACCTTGAGATCACCTTCTTAAAAACTCATCTGAAAATCGTTCGTCTTTAGGCACTCTCCTGATAATCATCAGTCCGTGGATTATTAACATTATGGGAGTCAATTCCACTTAATGATTCGTGGTAATCGAGAACCCTCTTTTTGATACTAGTAACACGATTGTACGATACTAAAACCGTATTTATAAAATATCGTGACTCTATTTTGTTGTAGACGAGAGAAAAGTTAGACAACTGGATTGACTCTGAAAGGCGGAGAAATGCAAAATACGGCTTAACATGGTTTTGCAGTGCTTGAATTCCCCGTAGTGTCTTGTAAGTAGTATGGTGCATTGAAGTTTTCAGTGATCGTTATATAGAAGAATACTACTTAAACATCAATAAGGTGCCTTGGTTGTGGGCTGTCACATCAATCCGCTCTTAAATCATTTATGCACGCTATTAAATTTGAAGTTAGCCAGAAATAACTCGATTTTAGCTTCGAGTGTTAAACGTACAGAAAACTGCAAACAAATATAAGCAAGATGTAGACGGGATAGCTAACACAGAACAGTCCAGAGAAGAAAAGTACGCAATGGCAAACACAATTGCTTAGTGGAATGTACAAACATCGAAGGCTTTCGAAACTACTTACCATCGCCTTAATAGTACTATATATAGTTTATAAATGGTTTAATAAAACTAGAACTGATGCGGAAGAAATGCCTATGTATCTTTACAGGGTCTTAAGTATGCATGCGCGCAATGCGGATGTAGTGCTCGGTATTTAAATGACATTAGTTGAATATCTGATGGTGAGATAAAAAATATGATAAGCTGTCAGTCGTATTTGTTGACGTATATTTGATTCATTGTTACGGAGAAAAATACAGGCATTTTCAAGACGTATTAAAGTTATTGTTTGATCACAGGCAAGAAAGGAAAAGTGCTTAATGTGAAAACTATGATCTCTAGACAAAAAGAAGTATTTCTTTTTGAATTAAATTAGTGATTTAATGCTTCCTATTACAACAGCTACGCGCCGCCGAACTTCGGGGTATGAAGAAGGAGGAGTTCGAGAAGACGATCGAGGAACTTAAAAACGAAATGACCACACTTCGTGTTGCCAAGGTAATAAAATATAAAAATGCGTTTAATTTTTTTTTAAGCATCAGAAGCTAGTGTCAGTTAGTTCCTTCAAGGTCTTGGTCAAATATAGGCGGTCGAGCTTTTAATTACCTTTTATAAGTTGTACTGAATTTTATTTGATTCGGTTCCCTTCAGATGGCCGGTGCACCACCGTCAAAGGTGTCGAAGATCGGCGTCATTCGCAGGAACCTTGCACGCATTTATACTATCATGAACGAGGTTTGTGTATTTTGAGTAAGGTAATAGAGAGTTAATCACATGTGGCTAAATCGCACGAAACTTTGGAACATTTAAAATGTGAGCTGACAAACTCACTTAGTTACTTAGGATGTTTAGCTTGTTGCTGTTTATTTTTAATGTATTAAATGAACATGAGAGACAAATGCTAGTATGCACAAACTCATTCATGGTTTGTGTATACTAGCATTGGTCTCCCCGAAAGCACCGCTGGCTGACGTTTGCAGTTTCCCGCGGCCGTCAAGAGGGAGAACAACAAGTGTCCACGGTTAAGTGGGGTGCCTTGCATATTTTCCCTAACAGTCACCTCAATCCACCCCGGTACATGAAACCTACATACATGATTGTTTAGTTGTAACGAGATCAATATGCTCGACTTCTACTCTTTCAAATAACCCAGTATCCCCATACTTGGCCTGTCAGAGCGTAATACTTTTCTGGGAGGTGTACCTGCCGGGGACAAAACAATTCCTTCGTATCAATGCAGGTGGCTTAGCCCGTTGCTTTACATGTAGTCCTGCCTGGAAACTCTGGAACATTTGCAGCAAATGTATTGGGATTCAATTAAGTTGTATCCGCGTATTACTATTGCATATTGTGTCTACTGCAAACAAAATATTTGGCTGTAAATTTAGACGATCGATCCCTAATAGAAGACATACTGTTACAAGTGGTGTCTATGTGAAATAGACAGCCTGTAAGGTAATAACTCAAAATCCGAAACCGCCAACGTAATTTGGTAAAATGTAGTCAATGCATGTTGTATATCTTGATTTTATCCAGGAAGAATAGAGTTGAGCTACATTTTAGACCACTGGTCCTTTTCTAACGTTCTTATAAGGCTAACATACCTAAAATGTAAGTAAGAACTTACGCATTTACGGTAACTACATCATAACTAGTTTGTTCTTGTTATTGAGAATACTTGGCTCCTACGAACCCCGGGAATGTGTGCATAATTTGCAAATGGCATGTCTCGATTCTGTTTACGGAGCACATTGAACTGCTGTTGTTTTTCTTTGGCCGCTCATTAGTTACACTAGAGAGCGGCCAACATTTATATACTGCTACACGAATATTCATTAAACTAGGGCATATATGGTGCGCTAAGGTAGTCTATCATTTATGGTAAGGGCAGACTGATACTCTTGTTTAATTCATTAGCATTTCATTATCGATGTGCCAATGCTTTAATTCTCATGCTATCTCGCTTGTTATCTCAATGTCAAGAAAACTACATAACTTATTATATTGCGAAGTTCACAAATTTTAGGCGGCTTCGGTGATTGTACAGTAAATTTGGGACGTATATTTTTTTATATACAGATGAAACGCGAGAATCTGATAAAGTTCTACCGTAACAAGAAGCGTGTTCCGCTTGACCTTCGCCTCAAGCGGACACGTGCGCAACGTCGGGCTCTCACACCATACGAGAAGTCACGCAAGACGCGCAAGCAACATCGCCACGAATGCTCCTTCCCGCAAAGGAAGTTTGCCCTTAAAGCCTAGATAAAGCCTAGGCAGAAGGAGGTGTTGTTGATCTGAAATTGGCATGTCTATCATCAGGTGTACGTTCAATAGTGGACAGAATAAAAGCCGCCGCGAGTAAAAATGTGTTTTTCCTTACTGAAGCTCGTGTAGATATGAGCACGATTTGCAGCGCTGAACGCTTGTATTATATAGGTAGTAATGTAATTATATGGACTTACAACCAACCCATATCTTATATATATATATATATAAGTGATGCGACTCTAAAACTATATAAATGATGCGACTCTTTTACATGCATACATGAAGTTTACATGCAAACAGCAATAGTATATCTGCATGCTTGCACTGTGTGAATTTCGAAATGTCGTTTGCGATAGCTTTACTGGCGAAGTTAAAGAAAAGAACCTTTGAAGTAGTTGTTAGGTTATCGATTCATCCAGGAATTTTGTTCTCCAATTCATACTTCAGGAGAATACAGTCGGGGTGATGGGTGGAACAACTTTAAAAAAATCGTTTACAATTAAAGCCAAGGTTGGGGAAGAAGCAGGATTACAATCAGGCTAATGCCGAAAAGAAAGCTTCCAGCACATATTTGAACCTAGTTTATGCAGTGGATTAATAATTATAATTCGCAAAATATATATGCAGATCGTAGCGGTTAGAATGTGTTTACCCTTTACCGATAGCAATACAAAGAATCAGTCTCATAAATGCTTCTAAAGGGTTCGTAAATGGTGCAAGGAACTAACGTTATCCCTTCCCGTACTGCCTCGAGCATTTTAACTGACTTAGTTGTAAGAACTTATTACAGTACTCAACGTAAGACACAACTAATTTTAGAGCAGAGCGCCTCGCCTTTAGTATACCATGTTTTGTGAACTTATACTTTCTTTAGCTGCTACTAGCAGAAACTACTTGGAAGGAAGAAAATTCTAGAATTGTAAATAAGCTAATTCATTACAGTTGTCTTATGCCTGAAGTGGAGAAACAGATAAAACATGACATTTGTGAGTATAGATAGATCCAACTTACGTTCAAGTTACAACGTGTTGCCATTTTCCTTTTGTGGCTACACATTAAAATGCTCGTTCGACAAAAGCATTCACAGCGTCCCCGTGGAACGGTAATAACAAAAAGGTCTGTACTCTCTACGAATCGCTGAGTATCATATGATTGCGAATAGTCAAGCGCCAATATAGTAAAATAGTCAAAATCACTATTTGCTTTCTTTTGCGAGTAACTGTGCTCTGTGGTACGGTTATTATTATTCCTATACGAAACTTAATTTGCATCAACTAAAACCCTCAGAATTTCTCTTTCATGTGCATATGTTGCATAATGACCTATAATACGCAATTTACGTTTCTAAATGTCCGTAAATTAGTCCTAGGATTGTTAGGGCTTTGCTCGTTTCGAATCCCGCCGACAACACAATTGAGTGGTATCACATAAGTTTACACAATGTGCATGATATCCAAGGAAATGAAATGGCAATTATGTTGGAAATACAGTTCTTATTATATCCTGATGGACTTACTTGCACCATTGGCGTAAATAAGTAATAACGGGCTCATAGAAAACATACAACAATGACTCAAGTAGGCAAATCTAGATTTGGCGGTTATGTCGAACATCTTAGTGCAAAATCTAATAATGACTAGACACGAATGAGGAAACGTTATTTGAACAAAATTTAGTGGTATATAAATTCATAGTTACGTTTATGTGGTATGAAATTCAACAAAATTTGAGGATCTAAAGTCTAATCGCGTGAAGCAAACTTGCTATTTTCGAATCATATACAGTGTTTAAGATATTATATATATATATCATCTTACAAGCCTAAAATCATATAAAATAATAAATAAAAAACAAAAAAAAATTTAATCAGTCTAAAATGATTGCACAGCTTAAAGCTTCGAATTTTTATCAAAAAAATGTAAAATATCAACAAATAGGTAGTTTGGCAATGCTCTTCTGCAAACTGAATGATAAAAGCGATTTCTTGGTATCTCCACCTCTAAATGTAAATCAAGCCGATGTCGATTAGATCACATGTAGTTACCCCTAGCGTATGCTTTACTACGATGCTAATTATAAAAAAGACTATAGATGAAGAGTTGACCTTGCGTTTGGTGCAATCTAATCTCTCTTGAGCCGCCGTCCGCGACTTGCACTACGCGAAGTTAAATAGTGAAATTGGTTATTTTTTGATTCCAGATGTTGCTAAGAAAGTACATTTTCCGCTCTATATAATTATACGAAACAGGCTTAGCCGGACGCGTACACTTACCGCATATCAAAATTATTATAACACGAAGTATCCAGAGTTTTTTTTTTGCTTCATTTGGTCCCAAGCACGCTACCGAGAGAGTTCTGTCGTTGCCTTTGGGTTTATTCTATCGGTAATAATGATGTTCAAAGAATAGTTACAAGAATAGAACGACTTTACTAGTTCATAACGTCTATTACCAGCTATAGTTATTATGAGCGTGATCAAGAACTTGTCTCCGTCTTCAAGACGTTGCGTTCTTGATCACCATAATCTGTAGCACTAACCAGATAGATCGCGGCAATTAAATCGGACAGCTCTAGATAGTCTTTCCGTATCAGCAATAGCAGGGGTATCCTTTGCTGAAGTTTTCCCGATATGTATTTTGTGGCTAATCGGGCAAGACAGCATAAGTGTATCGGTACCTCAATGTCTGAACGAACTTCCAAGCCTTAGTGGCTAGCTAAAGTAATTTCTTATTCAACCAAGTATACAGTGAGTCCTAAAAATGTATACACTGAAATTTAATTGAATTTCTTTTCTTGAAAGTATATGGTGCTAACACAAATGAAATTCACTGCCAAGATCTGCTTTATCATGCGTTCGGCGGTACTTTGATAAATATGGCGAATTTGATGATTATGAAAACAGAGCACCAGCACACTAGAATTGTGACGTAAGAGCATATTTATATACGGATATAAGCAGATGGGTTGGATGGAGAGGTACCGTAAAATACCCTGTTTGTTCCGTAGACCTGAGGCCAATGATTTTACTCTTATCGGAATACCTCTTGTCGGAACGACACTAGAAGATTAGACGCAGAAACTGAGTTTGTGAATCAATAGCACATTGCCATCGACACTATACTGACCAAAACAGTAATAATTTTGAATATCTGCGGTAATAACAAAAAGTTAGGCATTTTATGTGGATCCTTTTAGAATTGAAATATTATGTATAAAAAAAAAAAACTAAAGTTATAATAATTCAAATATTCGGTATAAAATGCTGAAATTAATAATATACTAAAAATTTGATATTATTGTTTTCTATATCAGTTTTCAGCTCACTGTCACAGCTGTAGAACCATACTAATTACTTGCAAGAAATTATATTGTCTAAATACACCAGATGTTCGGAAGTTATGCAAAGCTATAATATTGTAGGAATGCATAATTGAGAGCTATGTTTATCTAAAAAGAAAGTAAAACTATAAACGTTACTAGACACGACCTTCAAAACTCTAAAGCTTTGCGAAGCCTCTTATGGCAGTGCCTCATTTTCCAAACGCCTTGTTTTTTATTACCTAGCAAACCCCGAGTTAATAAGCTGTAATGTTGGCCAATTGATTGTATTTTGTTTTCCGACGCTGTTTATATAGTCATACTGTGAATTCATATTACACCCATGCTTGCGGCTGCCATTCAATTCGAGAAAAACTGTGGAATTCGAAGGTCATAAAACCGTTGAAGTACGTTTGCTTTAGGAAGAACAATACCCGAAGCGGAGAAGAATGTACGTTTCATTTAATGCGAAAATGCGTTGTGGTTACTCTGTACTATACAAAATCACAATGCAGCCCTGAAAACGTTTTAATTTGTGGTAAGGCAATTTTGATATCTAACGATTACAGTAACATCAAACGATCTCTAGTTAGCGTGCCAGTAGCATCGTACTTTAACACTTGCTGTTTTTAAGTTACAAGGTTGGAATTGCTCTTTTTTAACTGTTTTATAATAGTTAACATGTTTTTCTAACAACCAAGCTATTTCTTGTAGAATTGTACCATCCTTACCCTGCCAAAAACGTTTTATTGCAGTTCCTTATTTTTTTTTACCAGAGAAATTCTTAAATGTCCTTCGGCACATTCAAGATCCATTTATTCGTTGTGCTTTCAAAGATGTTACACTTCTCATGATACTATGCAGATTACTCCGAAAGAAATTGGTGAGGCTGCCAAACGCTGTTTGAAGAGTATGGTTCACTTCTGGTATTTTGTTGGGCTGATGGCTATAAGACTAAAATGACGGAAAATTGTGAGTATAGCACTAATATACCTATTGTCCGTCTAAAATTCAGCATATCTTTTTGATTATATGTATAGTTGTCACTTAATAATTAGATCGTAAAATCAAGCGAGTAGATTGATAAACCACTCATAAATCAACTATGCGAATTTAAGTTAACAGGTTAGGCTCCATAAAACTGTCAGCAGCGAAATTTACTTACTACAAATCGGCCAAAAGTGTCCGAATACGACTTGAAAGATTATGCTTTACCATAAATTCCTCGCATGTAGACTAGTATGTACTTGAAGTGAAAATGGCGTTGATGTATATATATATATATATATATAATAATTCAGGAGAATTATTTTGACTCGGTGGCTTGGACGGCTAAGTCTACAATAGATCAAGGATGACTACTTCACGGTCAGCTGAAGGTGCATAAATAGTGCACACTTTGTTTCATAAGGACATTTAAAAAGAACACATTCATACACATACTCACAAAATCAGAAGGAGTTCTTCATTAAGTATCGAAAATATGCTCATATATGCGCCTTAGCCATTCTTTCTATGTAAAAAATGTAACCGACATTTTTGCGCTCAATGCGCTTGCCCTGCTGGCTGCGTTCTTACAGGAAAAAATAAACAAACAATGGAATGACGGAGATACGCTTCTTCTTCCAAACGACAAGTTTGGCTCAAAGTAATAATGGGTGCCTCCTTCTGTTCTCAGTCCTACGTAAATGACTTTTTTGAGAGGAGAAAAGCAAACGGAACCTGGTCGGAATTTTGCTCTACGTAGCTAGTCATTTGTTGTACTCCAATTATAGTAGACCTCGGCTAAACTTCACATGCCAGTAACTTATCGGGATTAACAGTCAACTTGGGTAGAACGGAAGCTGTAAAATTCAGGAGGGGATCAGCCTCGTGGCTGGTGGTACACTGTTTTTTTGTCAAATTTTTTTTTCGCTACGTCAACAGATCCCTGTATCCTAAGCTGCCTATCACCTCCAGTGTCACAGTTTCACCTTGCACTTTACACAGAGATCTAGGATAGCTTGCTCGTGCCAGCGCTCCGCCTGTTTTGGTTGAAAGTAGAGCCTATAACGACTTACAGAGCAATAATTTTGGAAAACCTTACTATTAAGGTTTTTAAATTATTCAACTGAATACAGACCTTCTTCTTGAAAGCTGCTCTTCGTATGGCAAGAGGTGCACTAGTCTGATAACGCCGCGGTGCTTATGGAAGATTGAAGATCTTGCCTTCGGCTCTCGGGAATCGATCCTTTTTTAAGTGACTTAGAAAATGAAAGTAGGAGTTCGTCAAAATTGATGGTGAATTTTCAAAGACGGAAACGACGAAAGATGATGACTGGAAGGGCTGAATAAGACAAACTGTCATATTGTCACGCGTTTTGTAATCTATAGTATTCACTTAGACACCTTAAAAGGTTATTTTATTTATTTTATGTGGTTACGTAACTTTGACAAAGCCTGAGCAACAATGCTCTTCGTAGACTTTTCATCATTACTAATTACGATAAACAGACTTACATGTATATATATATATATATATATATATATATATATATATATATAGAGATAAACTTGAGCTGCCACTCACTCCGTAGTGGAGACCTTTACTTAATATTAAAATAAGCCGATGTACATGAAACAGGTACGTTTCGTATTAGGCATTTGTTTTGAGACTATCGGGCTCTAGTTGCAGCATCAGGTCTCTTTGCTTTATGTGGTACCAATCTGTTTAGCTTAAAAGCCGAAGTTATTCATTCCTTGCATAATGTTTTCCGGATAATCGCGCTTTGGTCTCTGTGCATGTGTAGCTAACCTACTCGGATTCCTAGAGCCGTTGTCACTGGCTATTGTAGCGACACAAACAAATGGATTGGCTGCAGGAAATTTTTCTGTATAGTTTCATACAAGATCTTGGGATTAAATAGGGCACACTTTAGCCGAATTGATTATCGTATAACGGATTCGTACATCCGCTATTATTGAAAACATTTTCACAGTACCCTTGCAGAAGTCGTTGACCCCTTTTTCTGATTTTCTGTTGAAGACTGCTTTGTACAGGAACGGCTAGTCGGGAGCAACTTTAAAATGACACGAAAAAACTCTAATCTTCCGTAATTACAAACTTCATACATTTAACATTTTATTTAAATACAGCGCTAACAAAGTAGGTCTTCTCAGCTTTTTTCGTGGCAGTTACTCGCCTCGCTATCTCTTTGGTTACTTTTTAGCATAGTTCTGGCCCTAGCTCTGAAATGAAGGCACGGACATTTTTTCAAAGTTTTTTAATCTTCTGTAAATAACCCTAGTATACCTTGATTTTTAGGTATCTTTAAAAAAATAAAGACTTCATTCCGCCTAAAGATCAGCCGTTCACCGAAATCAATCTTCAATTAACGCGACAATAGCGATGTATGAAGCAAATCCTTTACACCAATTTGAAGTGCAAAAAAGCGTGAGATCGTCTGCTAACGTATGGAGCTTACTGTTTCATACTACCACTGAAAAATACCAATAATGCCGTTGACCCGCATGCTACATCAGACAGTGGTTTTTCAAAGCGATAGCCCCTCAAAATATCCAAGTCGCCACTTCAGAAGCAAGGCAGATGCATGCTAAGAACTGAGCGACGCGAATAACTGCCATGAAGGAAGTTATATATGCCGGATCTTAGCTAAAATCTCAAATGTATAAAATTTGTATTGAAGAATGATTTATGATAATATATTTAGTATTTTTGTTGGTAGCGTTCTTGTGAAATTGCTCGGGAGTGTATGGCCATCCCTATATCCAATTAATAAACTAGTAGCTGTCTAGTAATAAAGATTAAGCAATCTTACCCCGCAGGTTTTGTGTTGCGCACATTCCCCGTTCAAACTGAAAATGGTTTAGCCGACACATTTCGTTTTAACTTTAGCCAGAGTGTGGTTAAAAGTCGAAAATCAATGAACGAATTTTGACGGCAATCTTCTACGGCTCCCTTACTACGGGATCCTTGTTATAAACAACTTGATACATTATTATACACCGATATTAATAACTCCGTTTTATGCAAGCGCATAGTCTATGTATAATACTGTGCATTCCATATTAAGCGTTTCGATCTTCTCTCTGCTCTGATGGTCGTGATATCAATGTGAAGCAAACGAATGAGGGTCAGAAGTGACATAAAATAATTCAACGAAAATTCGTATTATGCACGTTGACTATGTATGATAACACAATAAAAGGGTTAGTCACAAATGATCGTTAAGAACTTTAATATAATGTACCCAAATTGAGACAACTTACTTAACATAATTGATGATTTGGGCATATTTGATCGATTTAGTAGTTATTAACTATCTGGGTTGCATTTATTATTTGATGGCCATGGCAAGGCATCTTGTGTTTTCAGGCTGGACAGTGGATTTGATTTTGTAGGATGTTATGCTGTTGCTTGATCGTGTAAACAAACATAGAATCGAATGCGTAGATATCTCTTTCATCAAACCGTTGTTTGCAAACAATTTGAGTGAATAGCAATCTGTTTCCGGAACTTATTGACCTGTGGCCCCATTTTTTCTGATAAAACGACACTTATTGCTTCCCTGAAATGTAACTATCTGTATCTGCCGCCCGGCTCCCCCCCTCCCCATTAGAATTGTAGCCCATAGTACACAAAGGAATCTATCCAGAAAAAACATTTTTATTGCGCTTTTGTATATGAAACTACCAATATGAAACTGTACAGAAAAATATTCATAATTTTTCTTGCCCATTCAGAGTGTCGTACTGTGTCGTTAGCGGCAGTAGCAAGCTGTCGCGCTGCCATTGATCGCGACGACAACTGTTGACCGCTACAGATATGATCTGGCTCGTATTTTTTTCCTATTCGCCTCCCTTACTCAACTTACTTTGACTAGACAAAAAGAGTGGTTTATTTTGAAGCATGATGCCTAAATATATATATATATATATATATATGTGTAGAGCTTTGTTTTCTGGCATGATATTACATTTCAGTATGTCACTAATGCAATAATACGCTCCTTAATGACCTTAATGTTAACTGCGTTGACGTCTTACATGCTCTTTCATTCCAAACAGCAATTATACCCTTGGGACATGTGCATTGTACGGCGACGGTGGTACAGATGTAACGTGTTAATAAAATTCGTATTAATCTTCTGGCTCATATCACAGAGTAGCTACCAGTGATAGCACGAATATGGTTAACCTTTATTTAGTGGCGTTGATTGGGGCTGTTGTTGCTGAAGCTCGCTCTACTGTTGCTGCTGCCGTTGATGTGGCTTCTATGTTACTAGCACTGCTGCTGCTAATGCAGCACTTGCTACTGAACAATCCACTGCTGGTAGCTCGACATCCTTTCTGGTGTATTTGGTGTCCAGCGGTTTGCTGGCGCGGGCGGCGACCTTGACTAGTTCTCTGATGACGGACTACGTGCACTTTGTATTCAGATTGAAAAAGTAGACATCAAGCAGTGGTAGCAGCGAATACAAGACGGCTTGTAGCTAAGTATTTTAACTTGCGACCCTCCCTCGACACTCGGCCGCTCCTTAGCTCCCTACCTGCTCTTTGCCATTGCTGGAGTGGGAGGTATATAAGCTAGCCACGCAAGCGGAACTAGTATAGCATCATCAGTGAGTGACTGGTTAACGATATCAGCGATATGCGTCCCCTAATTTCCGTACTTGTTGGAGCTGCCTTCATCGGGCTAGCTGTGGCTACCGGTGATTATGGATACGGCGGGTATGGAGCTGATATCGGAGCGTATGGAGGCCATGGATACGCTCAAGCGCCTTCAACTTCCGTTGTTGTAAACAAAGTCGCCAGGCCAGTGCCCGTGGCTCACCCTGTGCCCACGCCGTATGCCGTGCCTGTTCACAAACCTGTCCCTGTCTACAAGAGCGTCCCCGTACCCAAGCCCGTGCCAGTGCCTCAAGTCATTGAGCAGGTCGTGCCCGTGCATAAGGAGGTGCCCGTACCTAAAGAGGTTCCTGTACCCGTACCTGTCGAAGTTAAGAGGCCCTACGCTGTCCCTCATGAGGTTAAAGTGCCTCGCCCTTATGTCGTGCATGTACCCAAGCCATATATCGTTGAAAAGCCCTATAATGTACCCGTACAGGTTAAGGTACCCCAGCCCTATGTCGTGCCTGTGCACAGGCCCTATGCCGTCCCCGTCAAGAAGCCCTACCCCGTTGAAGTAAATGTTGTTAAAGAGGTCCCTGTTGCCATTCACAAACCCGTTGCTGTGCCTATTTCTCCCATCCACCATGCCGTGCATGCTTCTCCCCTTTTGCATGCTGCCTCCCTCACTCATGGATACCACAAGGCCTAAGCCGTGTTGATGGAAAGATACATGCATTCATACACAAATCCTGTGCACACGCACTAGGGGTATTATAATTAGCACAAAACGTTTAATCAATGTTAGGCCCTAACCTTAAATCGTGTCGTTTGTAAAAGGCGTTTTGTGTTGCTTCCGGCGACGCGACTTAATACCAATTCTGAATCGCCGACCAACAAGCGTTGTCATGTAAATTTGTAAATCTGTTTGTTGAAATAAAACGACTGGAAGGCAGTCGCTTGCTCATATGTCTTCATCCCTTTAGTAGCCATTTTAAGGGTCTGCGAGGTTCTCTTTAGTCAATGAACTCCCTAGTACATATTTACTATCGGCATCTGATATTCGCTTAGTCCGTTTTTGAGGCATAAACTGTGTCACTTCCCCTTAGAAAAATTTTAAGGAGCTTTAAAGGTTTGCAAGACAATTTTTTGATAGAGCACCAATGGACAATCTCAAAGACTTATTGGTTTGAAAAAATGACATCCTTGTAGCATTAGAAAAACATTTTGCAGCGCTCTTTATGATGAACGGATCAAGATGTGTTTCTTTGCTGCCTTGCTAGGGATTGAAAATTGAAGGAAAATATGCTAAAGCTTATTATCAACTTTGCCTTTAGAGTAACTTCCTTCGTTTACGCAAAGGGTATGGTATATGTATACTAGATATTTCCGCTTAACAACAGTTGGCGAAACCGTTTTTGGGCACATCCGCTGGTCGATTTGAGGTCTGACCGGTTTGCGATGTTTTACAAACTTCTTGTGTAATAGCTAGTAAAACCGATTAGCAGGAGGAACTTTCGCTGTAACAATGTGACACTGGCGCAACTTGAAATACCATTATACAGTGACATTTTCGATTCCCACAGCTGTTATAAACACCATGTTCGTGTCGTATGTTGGGGAATAAGTTTAGTTTACATAATATAATTATCATTAAATTACTTTTGAATAAGAAGTTTTACTTGAGTTGTTTAAAAACGAAAGAATTGCTCACCGCCAGAATTGACGAGCAAAGGAGAATTCATTTACATCGAACCTTAGGTTTGTCAATGTGGTCTTTTTGAATATCAATATGAGCGTGAATTGGTTACCCTGCTGAGATAATGTTTTAGAAATTAAAGCATTTCGAGTATGATATTTCAATATAGTCGTTGTTTACATTCTGAAATTAACGCTCTTGCAATGTCTAAATGGTCGCCAATTCATCATAATACCTAATTTCGATATCTGCCGTCTTTTGTTGTATTTTATAACTAATTAAAGTACACTCCAAGCCGCTAAGCATAATTATTATATTACTATAATAATTCCGCACCAGAATTACAACTATAAGCTTGTAAAGTATGAGAGCTAGGACATACCTGTACATGGATGGGATTATACGAGTTAGCGCCGTAAATAACTAACACTTACACCTTTTCAAGTATTTTATCTCGTCGAAAGCCGTCACGAGCAGGCTCACTGTGAAGTGTTTACCTCGACGTTAAGTACTATATGACATGTTTTTTTTGCATTGTTGTTATTGGTGGTGGTTGACTATTCAGCACGTAGTATTTAAGTATGAACTCGCCATGCGGATGTTTCTTATGGAAAAAAGATCTGCAAGAGTTCGACGCGATAGTCATCATTTTGTTGTTATTGTTGCAACTGCCGTTATGATCATGCAAAATTGATTCACGAGTCTGAGTCGGTTTGCTTCGTACGTGGTTATGGTTCCTTCTACTACCGCACCAAGTGGCATATTATTGCAACTTAGCTTGTTATTTGGGTCGATCATACTAAGCTACCTTTTCAACAAACACTGATAGCGTTAATAATATAATTAATGCAGCAATGCCATCTATGCAGATTAAGAACAGCTTCGTAAAATTGTGTACACATAAATAGTAGAGTAAGGAAATAGTGAAAGGAATTTACAGTCATAAGAAGAGAATGGTGATCCAAGCAATCAGATTTTACAGGCTTTTTTTATTAATTAGTTATAAAGATTTACAATATTAAGTTTGGTAAAAAACCTTGTGTTTCTCGAATGTCTTGAAAACTGTGATTTCTGCGGAAATATTTTTAATACGAGAGTTTTGAAAAGATCAATATGGGTTTCTATTGAACATATTCTGGTTTTTATTTGAATTCTATCGTCGTGTTGCCGCTATACAAAATTTGGTTTTTTGCCCTAGAGTGCAACTTTTGATCAGTTAAAAACACCAGCTTATTTATTGAAAACAAATATGATATACAGCTTTAAATTTTTTTAAATAGTTTTTTTTTTAAATTTTTACTTACTTTTTTTTCAATAATAGTAATAATACTTTTTATAATTTAAACTTCGAAAAATAGTAGGTTCAAGAAAAAAATATTTTAAATGGAATCCGCCAAAACGAGTCTAGCAGGAATAGGAAGTCCTCACGAAACGCAAAACATTTATGTTGAACACGTGTTTGTAAAATTCACTGTTTTAAAAATTGATGAAACTTTTTTAAATGAAAAAGCTATATTCTGACCAAATCTTAAAATGTATATATTCGCATTTCCGCACTATCCGATATTATTGGGAATATCAGCTATTTACTATATGTAAGCAGATATGTCGGTCGGTTGATCTAGTCGATAATGCAAATAATAATTACCTATACCACATAGGTAATGCTTGTTTGCATTTTCTACTACCTACTATATTATCCCGTGTCGTTTTTAGTCTCAAGTCGTTTTTAGCAATTATCTAGCGTAATTTTAGTCAGACCATTTCTATCAACGAGTTCCAGTAATTGTTTAGAGCCAGCATGGTTCTCAAGGTCGAGGCTTTTATTGTTAGATCTATCAATAATCGAGTTCGATATTATATCGGTAGCGCTTTGAGCCAGCTTCACTCGATAAACAATGAAGAACATATCGTGGTGGATTTCAAAACTACGATACATGATTATATGTGGAAGAACATAGCATTGGCTTCTTCTAGCTAAATTCCTGTATTCAGGAATGTAAGTATTACAAGGGACTAATACAGTAAAATGCTAAATAATCTAGTGGTCTTCATATTTGCTAGCTGATTTGCGTTGTTCTTAATCTTCAAGTCTAAGAATCTATGTGGATCCATTAATGTCGATCTCGGGTACTATTTAATTTTTTATACTAGCTAACTAAATACTTCTGATTACAATTCTCACCAACATGATTTATAGCAACATGATTTATTTATGTATATTTATTCGTGTGGAGCCTTTGCATGCATTTATGCAATTACATTTTACGACCCTCCATATGACCATTTCCTTGCTTTCTAACAGCTTAGGGCTCTTAAAAGAATTTTCTTTTTTTTTTTAATCGTCTGCTATCTTGTGTGTTCTAACCGTTTACTAGTCTTGGACCATTTTTCAAAAAAGCCGATGTTCTTTGTCATGTGTCATTGGACAATTGTATATCAATAATGGTTGAAAGCTTAGTAGCGTTTTTGGATAAGAGCACAGCTAAATTAATATACTTGTGTCACATAGTCTAACTTTCACTTGATGGAATACTGTCTTGAATTCAATTTCATTTGCGACAATAATCCGGTGCGATTAGTGTTTTTTTCCCGCCTTGAACTACAATTCTATAATTACGATTACTCTGTTCCTACAAGTTTATTGTGTGTATTTCGTCAACGATGACGTTCAGGAAACAAGCGTGACAACGTAATTTATAAGTAATTTAAAGGTATGTCCATTGTCGTAGTTATATTCACTATTGCTTCCAAGATTTCAATACAAACTTTTCTTTGCTCGGGCTAAAAACATCCCTTTCATATTTCTTTGTTATTTTTAAGAAAAACCTTTTTGCATGATCAAGCAAAAAGTTCTGCTCTTAGAACTTTTATAACGCATACTACAAGGTAAATTAAGAATATGTAATCCTCTATTTACGACCGCTAACTGCTCAGGCACGATCGCTGCCTGTGTATCACGGCTTTCGGTATACACACTTTAAATCCAGAAATGTACTTAACTAGGTACACGAAATGTCGCAGCAACATCAGCTTTCTATAAGTTTCGGCAGTCATTCTTCTGTATTTAGAAAGTGGTTTAGAAGTGAGTAGTTGTCATCGTCAGAGGACCTAAAACTGTCTTACCGCAATGGACGATGTGGAAGTCTTACGTTGAAAGTTTTTTTAGACATATCATTCATCCTAACTCTTAATCAACCTCGGAACATAAAGGTACTATCGTTATATTTGTGGGTACAGTTGGTGAGCTTACTCATGTAATAGCTCACATGTTTCTCAGTAAGTTTCCTTTATACTTAACACTTTAATCTTTTTGATATGATACGGTTGAGATAGCACACAGAGGAATGCTTGTTTTTAACCTCTCTTCTCCCACTTCGCTGTACTCCTCTCAGTTTAATCTAAGATGCCTAGCATTTACAACACAACGATTAGATTAGAGCTTGATCAATCTGTTATTCTGATTTATCGTCCTGAAAGAAGAAAGCTGGAAAAGCCTGAAAGAATATAAAATTGTCTTCTGTAGACAGGATCGGGAAAGAGAAATTTCGTTATTGACTTCAACTCTTTTCTTGCTCAGTACTCCATTACTTTTTAGACACTGCTTGCGGCTAGAAAGCATGCTCGATAATTTTCTACGACCTTTTAGTTTCAGAAATATCGTAGCACAATAATGCTTCTCTTAGACATAAATGACTTGTTGCAGAAGATTCAATGCATATATGGCCATTTTTCATTTTCGCAATATTGGCACCATTTTGGGATTCAGGACGTGGTCTTGTGCGGATAAAGATGTATGTGCCGACGTATCACCTACTAAAATGTGCTTGAATTCCAACATATTTGTGATTGACATGTGCAATTGATTAACATGTGTAATTTTTGCAGTTTGACCTAACTTCCAAGATATAGGACCCAGGTGCCAGTGATGACATGATCATACATTCATTAACTTTAATAATAAATAAATGTCGTGAATCTTTTCATGATATAGAAATATACAGTCAAGGTAACGGCTTCGTTATTATTGTTTAGCATCGTAATACACTCTTAGTATATAACCTGTACGGCAGCGTGATACTTGTGTACATTAAGGATAGTATCATATAACAATTATATGATGTCTATCGGGTATTATTATAGGAACCCTGCGAGAGGACAACACTGAGTTACCTAGCAAGGAAATCATCTCAACTTATCAGTTATATGGTAACAGATATTCAAGTCTCGTATTAAATGTCATGAGTGGTCGTTTTCACAAGAGCATTGCTCGGGCATTTGCTCATCCTCACTCACCAACCTCATCAAAATCTCATTCATGAAGGCGCAGAGTAATACTAAATTGTCAACTCACAATTGAATCGTAGTCATGTTCTAATAGCATACTACTCCTGAAGATGTTTTTACCTATTCTATACAACTGTACTTTCTAGTAACTTAGCCGAAGTTCATTGCACATTGCTTTTCCGTAGGCACAGGTCCAAATATTTATGTTCACTTTCATTGTTTGCTCTACCAACCTTCAAGCATCCATGAAACGCGTGCGCATTGATATCGTCTATGCACACTGATAATCTAACTTAAACTCCCACAAGCACCCAGTAAAAATACACATGTTTAATAAAATAGTAAAAATACTTTCTTTGATGGCTATCTGTCAGCGCCATGCAAAATTGACATCTAAAATTACTTTTCTTGGTTTATTAAAACATTTTGCTTGTCAGTCGTTTTATGTGCAAAAAGCTTCTATGTATATGCTATGTAGCGCTGTTTGTTAGGTACCAAAGAGGCATGTAGCAATGTTGTGTGAGCAACCTTAACAGAGAAGCTATTGAGCAAGCGACTTGGCGCCCTAGTAACTCGGCGAGAAAGCACTTCCTTCGGGACCGCAGTAGACCAAGAGTTTTAATCTTCCTTCGATGTATGTTGCATTGTCCGTTACGTCAGCAGAAATAAGCGCAGAACTCTCGAGAAAGGAAACCTTAAACTGATGTAGCCACACGTGTTAATTCTTAGTTGACAATCCAATAGTAACGTGTCAGGTTATGTACCTTAGGGACACCTGCATATTGAATACCTGAATCAGAAAGAAATGTTTTCTTTTACTTGGGTCAGTAGTTTTGTGGCGGTTCCGGAGGCAACAATTAAATGTTTTTTTAGTATTTCGAAGCGCTTGTACTAGCGCGCATTCCTGGCATTGGCTCACAGTGACTAGTTGTGTGATTAACTGAGTGGGCATTTTTCATCAACAAAAAAATGCTTTATAGTAAAAACTAAGATGTGTTAGTCCCAGTTTTTGCATAACACTAGCGATATGAGATTCTACTCCTACAGTACAAAATAATGTCGATCTTAATAATTGATTACCCAAAAAAAGATACAGCTTTTGTACTAGGTTGAAATAGTGCTAAAAAACGTATACAAATCAAGAAACAAAAACAGAAAAACACGACTGTGGGAAATACTTCGAAGGGAGGTTTTGTTGCCGTAAACGGAGTCTACACGGTCGGCTAGCAAAAATTATTCACATTTATTACACTTTCATAAGACTCACGGATGTCGGTACGATGAAGAGAACACTCGTGCTCACACATGTGTGAGTTACAGCACTCTCTCTATAAGCGTCATAAAAACAGTGCTTTGACTAAAGTTAAAACAGATGCTGCTGGTAGTTTCGATACTTATTAAAGTTCTAACCGACCACATTAATTATGGCAAAATTTCATCCTCAAGAGTCTGAGAAGCAGTGCTCAGAAAACTCTTAAAGGATTCACTGTAAATGACAAGTAAATAGAGCCGGTAAATGTCTCAATATGGTGTACTTTTTTTATAAAGCGCATAAAAAGCTATCAAACACGGGCGCCGCGTAAGTTTTCCGACAGTGTTGCCCAAGTTACAAAATACAAGATGTTTTGAATAACTTTTAATTTATTATTAAGTCACTTCTAGCTCACCTTTCTAACTATTACTCTTGCAGGCTGAAGAAGTAGCTACCTGAAAAGGTCGAGGTTTCTAACAATGAGCACTGGAGCAGCTTCGCATCCGTCATAGATACCGCCGCTAAATCCTATATCAACTCGCTGTCTTTCTGCAGGCCGACGTCCACTTCACTTCTAATTAGAAAATCAGCACCTTTGCGAGTATTTGAAACGACAAGGTCGATAAGGTGTATCATGCTGTTGGAGGATAGGCCATAAGACTGCCGGCAGTTTATATTTTACTTTTCTAAAATGATTTTATGGATTGAATAATACCACAAGCATTACTGATTTGTCGATAATATACATCAGCCATTTACCGCAATTTTCATCGTTAATGCGTGCCGAGTAACTGTCCGAGCTTTCTGAATCGGCAAATTTTAGATCGAGTGCCGTAACTATGCCGAAAGTAGTATGGTAGTCTTTACTTATGACTTTATATTTATTATTATATATTGTTATAACGCTGTTTACCGACCAATATCTATTGCAATGCTGCCCATTTAGTAAGTGAAAAGGATGGCGTGCGTAGTGTTTGTGGCGTGTCTATTTGGGCTCCTTTCGGCAATTTGAACCTTTTTTTTTTTCGTAGTTTCCTGTTTCTCCGTCGGAAGCGATTCGGTTCAGTTTCTGCGTCGAAGTCACCCGTTGTCGAGACACAGTTATATGAATATTTTATAAATATAGACAAAACTTATTTTTCTCTTAATCGTGAGAAATTCAAGTCACCACAAATTGCCGACAGGTGGCGCTTTAAATCATTCAAAACTGCATCAAGAACTTATTCTTGCGAGCTTCCTATTAAAAGAAATACATGTGCTTCAGCAATGCCATTTAACCGAAAATGGTTAGATTTCCACAAATATTTTTAATGCTTCAATGATAAATTATTATATTATATTGTTATATATTATATTGTGTAACATTTTATATTATATATTTGTTAATGTTGCAATGCGTAGATAGACAAATGTACTTTATTGTGAATACTAGCAAACCTTTTTTTCACTGGAGCCACATCCTGTATCCGGCACATGGCGGACTGAAGAAGTCTAGTTCGATCATTTGTTTGTTGGATAGTATGCGACAAACATTTCCTAGTATGATGGTCATCAGCGGTTAACTTAAATATACCATTTATCTCTGTCAATTTTTTTGAATGTCCGAAGTACCGTTTTGTATAAAAAGCTTTGATTAACTGTCAAGTCATAACAATTATAATTCAATGATAGGAAATTTAGAAGTAAGATTCAGTTTTACACATATCTGAAAAGCACCATCCGACTGTATGGATCCGATTTACTGGTAAGGAATCCAGCATTAATATATTATTTTAAATTCTTGTTAAAAGACCTTTTCAATTGTAATCTCTAGCGGACTTTTTTTAAAAATTAACTTCAGATTTCTTAAAAATATATTGAATGTTAAAAAATCGATAAAAAGCTGTACGGCTGGATAACTCGCCGTGATAACAAATGGGCCGTTGTATACTTCTTTAGAGAAAACACACTGTGTGTTTTTTTTATCGGCACTGCCACTTTTTTAAGTTTCTAAACATACTCTTTTTGTGTTCGCACAGCAGCTTTAGTGTCTTACAACAGCTTTGCAGCTGGAGCCGTAGGATATTTTTGACCGCTGAATTTATTAGAAAACGTATCTGAGTTTCAGTTTTCCTCTGGCTAAAATAACTTTAAGCGTACAAGCGCCTTTCGCATATGAGAGGCCGTCCCGACCAAGGCGATTGTGTTCCTGACATTAACAAAAATAGGCGGCTACCGACTCACCTTTTAGAAGCCTGCTTTTAATCCGAAAAAAAAGCTAGGAATAAATGCTGGAGTAGCTCTATTAATTGCCTAAACTAATAGGCTTAATAAAAAGGGCTATGTGTTAATTTTGTAGTAAAGCAGAAATATCGAATTTGGATTAGGATAATCCCTATTCGGTGGAGACGGACGCAACTCTTTACGGACGGTAATTTCTGAACTGTGTCTTTGGATGTGACGATGAATCCAGCCGAATAAATGTTTCTGTCAGACACAGACTTACTACAAAAAAAGGGAGCCGAAGGTTGTTTTAGGCAACTGATGACATCTTGTTTAGTTCCACTAGTGCGCGTCCTGCCAAGCGTTTCGCAAGCACACTTATTCAAAATCTCCTTATATCTTGGAACTGTCGTAATAATTGGGAAAATCCTAACCAAAGTTACTGTTATTAACTTTGAGCTGTGTCAACTTGTACCACATATTAATATACCATATTGTAGGTTATACTGACCTTAAGTCGAATTGGAGGAACTAGGTTTAACATATTAGTGAAAAAGACTCAAGTGGTCTTAGCGGTATCTTAAGCAACCGCTCTTGTCTTTATTATTCCAACGTGTTGTCACTGCGTAGTATAAACGCAGGCGCACTCATGATCGAGTATCAATTGAAAGCCCTAATATTTCAATGTAGATCCATCACTCAAATGTAACGCAGAGCACTAAATAACTTTTTCAAACACAAACTGGTTTGTGAGTAACCGACGCATGCCGATTTCAAGCATATAATATTCAATTATATTGTTGATCTACAAACAAAAAGATTGTTGGTTTACTGGTTTCGGTGAGCAGTTACCAGTGTTTTATAGGTCTTTCACTATTGTTATTGATTGAAAAAAGTCAGGGCTTCGTGGTACGCATTTGGCACGCAGTAGGGTTATTTGCTATACCTTTGTAATAAATAAAAAGACCTAACATGAACTAAAATTTAGCTGTAGACGGATTTTATAACAGTAAACTCATCACACTTTATACTATATAGTGCTATTTTCGGGCGACCTATTCGGGCGAAGATATACCCGTTTCGACAATAGCTGCTAATTCCTGTACTGAATCGGTTAAACTATCAGGCAGTGGTCTAGCTAACCCTTTGCGTAAACTTTCATAGCCGTTCAATCCAGTCCTTATTATGAATATTCTATTTTGATGCCACAATTGCTTTTAATGTATTCTTCAGTAGATCTCTAACAACCGACGACAACATAGATGTCCGTTTTACGGATATATGTCTCGGTTAAGTGTTCATCTGACACGAAGATTCGAGCAATAGCTGACCCTTGCCTGTATGTAGGAAACGAACCTCGTGTTTCCAGCGTAACGAATACCATATTCTGTACCAAAAAGGAAAGCTTTTCCTTTTTTTTTTTTTCGAGTGTTTAGGATAGCGAATATTGTTCCCATAAATATGTAGTAGTAACACACCTTCCTTCAAAACAAGACACGCTATGATTTAGGTTCGGAATTGCCGTACACGTCTTTTTTCGCGTTGAAAAAGGCTAAACGTCTGTAGAAAAATATACTTGATGGAGATACCGAACGCAAACTCGGAATATTTTTTTGTTGCTGTGGGTACATATCTATACTGTGCGTTTCCAAAACTACACCTACGGCACTTTCATATACTTCTGATCTTCTTTTATTGTTGACTTAACTGTCTAGTTTGCGAGAAGCAGACAACATGTTTGAAGAGAGGTTCTACGTGAAAAAAAAAATGATCATAAGCAGGTTTGTCAGAAGTTTGCCGACACAGTATTTTTTTGAATTTTTTGGCTAAATTTCGCAATCTACGAGACAAAACGAAAAACTGAGCATATAGATATACTTTGCGTGCTCCTGTGATATATATATTTCCATAACGTATTGTTTATTATTTCCATAGTTTAAAAGCTAAACGTGAAGTGCTCGGGTTGCTGGCTATTCTAAAAACGATTTCGTCTAAAGTATTTTTTTAGCGAGTTATGTAGCGCCCTTAGCTTAATGATTACTAAGCTGTGATAGTGTTAACCAATATAACAGCTTTATGCTATTGCGGTTTGACATGTTTATTTTCATTCATGTCCATGTTACGCTCATGTAAGTGCTCTCTCTGATTATGCACGCAGCGACGACACGAAAAAGAAGGTAACCGTTTGATATTAAGTTTGTATTTGAAGATGATTTATTAATTCTATTAATATATTCATTCTGATCACTCGTGTCAAAGTATCGATGATTACTTCATTAGGGTAACATATTTACTGACATGTTCTTAGTAGGTATGTTTACACGACTGCAATTATTATTCAACGAAGTGTCCATATTAGATTGGACCATTTCTTCGTTGTATAGTTATACATATGTATGCCCCTATTAGTTGTACAAGCCTGTTATACGGCTCCCAACTTAAAACCATAATTTTTATTTTTACCATAAGTAGACAGCATGAAACATTAGTGGATATATTCATGGCTTGCAAAGTTATGATGGTCATGCTGGAAATATAGAAGCGAAGTCAAGTAGTTAAGCTAGTATTTTGAGTTTTAGGCAATTTGGCTATTGAGCGTCACAAATTAATATTCCTAAAAGGATGATTGATATGTTACAATTTAACCGCAATAAGGGATGAACTGAGGGGGTAAACTTTACCTAGATCTTCATATCCTTGACATTTAACATACGGTCCGTTTATTTGCCGTTTAGCTGTTTACCCCTCCCCCCCTGCCCCCAGATGCAATCTGCAGTTCAACTACTATGGCGTGGTGGACAAAATCTCATTAGGTAAATTTTCGTTTTCTTCTGAATCACCCAGTTGAGCGCGTGAAACGTACTTCATTGTTAAATACATTGTTATGTTCACCAACTTTAATAATCTTTAAAGGTTAAAATGTTAAAGTTCTCGCAAGCAGATTCGTCTACCATATATCCGTCAACAGTTGAGTTCTAAAAGAGTCTAGGCTTTAGCCTTCTTATAAAGTTCAAGTCCATACCCATAACCTCCTCTAAAGCCTCCAAGACCTTCGAAGTCTCTGGTCAGACCGAGAGCGGCATAGTCATAGGAGAATACGGGAATAGCGACAGGCTTTTTAATTGCTACAGGAATGGTTTTAATAATAGGAACCTCAACAGGTACGGGTTTTTTGACTGTGACAGGGCACGGCTTGTGGATAGGGACCACGTAAGGTTTAGGAATTTCCACCTCAACGGGTACGTGGTATGGCTTATGAACAACATAAGGTTTTGGTACGTGCACAATATATGGCTGTGGTACTTTAACAACATGATGAACAGGGTAGGGTTTCTTCACTTCGACAGGTACAGGCACAGGAACCTCTTTACGCACAGGCACCTCTTTGTGTACAGGATAGTATTGGTGCACAGTGTGAGGAACTGGGACAGGTTTGGGTACAGGTACACCTTTATATACCGGCACGGGCTTATGCACAGGGACCACATGTGGTACGAGCACCGGATGAGGCACAGGAACCGGCTTGGTGACCTTGTTCACTACGTAGTTCACCTTGGGAATGTTGTGATGATGGCCTTGGACATAACCACCATTTACGACTCCACCAACAACACTTCCAAATCCTCCGCCAAAACCGTTTGTAGCGCTAGCTACGACAACCGTAGCTGCAAGGGCAACAAACCGCTTCATCTTAATCGACCAATGTAGAATATATTTCTTTGAATTCCTACTACGCCCCCACATAACAGAATGATCAACGCATATATCCTGCTTGTTCAAATTGCTGAGTTTAGATATTTGCTTATCGAATCAGCTGTTGACCACAATGTCGCATTTAATGTGGCGTTGGCAAGTATTATATACCCCCGAACAGAAAGACCGCTACGCGTATCTCGCCTTCGGGCTTCTGGTGAAAGTGAGTGAGCTGTTACTTGTATTCCTTAGCTCTAGCCAGTGTTTTTGGGGACTCTAAGTCATCTGTTTTCATGAGCCGCAAATCTAACAATGTCAAACAATTGCGCATACCCACATCAAAGCGCAGCCAAGGCACGCACCTCAGGGTCAGCTTGGCGCCGTCAGTTGCGCAGTTGGCCAATTGACCACGCATCATCCTTGGGCGTTCTCATGAAATTTAATTTCCCGTGCTAAACATGCTTTGTGAGCTAATACCTTGATAACAATCAAACCAACACACCTGTTGCCTGTACTATCCATGTAATCTAACCTGTACTTTCCATGCTGCTTCGAAACGTTCTCGGCATCGCTCAACCAATTTATTTATTTCTTCTTGCCAGAAATTAGTAGGTCTGGTGCGGAAAAAATCATTAAGTGTTTAAAACGCACATATTATCAAATATATAGTTATGAAGTTAATTTGTCAATGATTGAGAAAGGAGGTAATCCGTCGGGGCGAGGTATGGAGAATAACTCAGGTTCTTGGACAGCGTCCTTTTAGGGTCCTTTAGCATGTGAGCCTAACACTGTCATGGGGACTTTTTTTTATCGGACCTTTTCTGTTGGACCATGTAAAATCTTTTGCTGATCGTCTGGCTTTTCTCTACCATTTCGCAATATGTAAAATTCTTCTACTCCCGCCAAATGCAAATCATGATTGTCTTCAAATACGGATCTGAACTTAAGTGTAGTTTTTAAAGTTATCAATTTATTTCGCTGCTTCGTATCAACGTGGCGCCATCATTTCTCGTCACCCGTAACAATTACGTGTAGAAACCTGTCGTTGTGACTGTGTGTTGATTGACTTTGAAAATCGCTGAAAGGCTCTGTTTCCGTATGCACTTCACCCGGTTTGTGGCGCACCCACGCTTCTTATATCTGCAAAACATTCAAAATTCCTGACAAGTGAAGTGAAATTTTCAAGCCCAAATCCCATTTTTGAACTCAGCAAATCCCCTACAGCAGTTCTTTTAGTTATACAGCCCTTGCTATATAAGACACAAATATTCTAGGCTGCTTTACCAGTTTTTTCATCTTTGTAGAATGCATTTCTTTTGGCTAGGAACGTTCATATTTCGATTCTTACGCACACATGCGTTATACAGGTGCTAAAACAGAGAAGAATTCGAGAGGATTGGCAAAGATCATTCGTCATGTTTATAGACCGTAACAAATGAAATTCCTCATTTCAGTGGTGAAGTCCATAGCTTTCTATAAAGCTTCTGTGCGTACAAAATTTGCCGTAAGCGAAGACGTATCGACAGACAAAGTTACTTCGCAAGGCTCAAAGTATACTTGCAGTCAGGGTATCCTACGCGTATTTCACGGACTTGGCGGGATCGATTCTTTAGTACCTAAAAGCAAAAGAGACCCAAACAATATGGGCAGGTTCTGTAGTAGACACAATGGAAGCAATACTAGACGAATGGCAGAGCATACGGTATGCCATATCCTGGTTCGCGCTCGAAACCAGCGTCATTTGGAATGCAATGTATAGCATCAGATTATAAATGGAAACAAAAAAAAAATTAATATTATACCCAATGCAGCTCCTTTCGGAAAACAGGCCTTTAGAGCCAACCACATTGGATAGGGAAGGCCTCAAAACGCTCCCCATCAGGGTGGACGCGAAGATTACAACTTCCCCTGCATGGAAAATGGCTTGTCTGGCGTGGTAGGCAACTCCACAAAAGTAATTTCGGCCTAATGGCTCACTAGCAACTCTCTTCAAACAGTCATACATACTAGGTTATTTTGTAAGAAAACGCGTGACCACTACTCCGACAACGAAGTGGACGATTTTGATAATCAAAATTATTTCAAAACCGGCCGTGCATAGTCTGAGTCATTAGATAAATTTAATTTTGATAATGCCCGGTGGTGAACCCCAGCACTCGAGCACTCCTTACAACAGTTACAAAAATAGCAAACATATATATATAGGCTATAAAGGCTAGTCACTAAATAATCTTTGACTTATTTAACCATAGCTCTGCCCATCTGAAAGAGAACTTGTGGCAAAAGTGGTATATGCTATGTTCTAATTATTCCTCAACATATATTTCGCTTAATCGACACATAGCGTGTATGTATATGCTAAATCTCAACCAGGCACTGTCTCAGTTTGCCACCGTACACATACATGGTACTTTGTGATATAGATACGGGTAAATAAGCTATTCTCTAATAATTTATAAAACAAAATGCCAGTAGTAAGGTATTGTTAACCCTGTTTTCGTGAGAACTATGAAAATGCTCTATTCTAAAGTGAATAAAAAATGCTAATTATTAAAGTGCATAAACGATAATCTCAATAATGGATGCTTCTTTATACGTACATTTTTATGTTTGTATATTTATAACGTAATAGACTTTTGAAAACATGTGGTGAACCGACAAAATTGTGTTAACATAATTTTAAAGTCGCAAAAACGACCTTTAGGGCTCTTGTTGAGAGCCAGGTTGAAGAGAATCCCCTTATAAGAGTTTTTAGGTTTAAAAGTTTGTTGGATCAGTTTTTTACAGAACTGTAGTGTGTAGTTCTTATTTATTCAACAATGCTTGTTTTTAATCAATTATCTTCCGTCTTGTCGTTCAATTAAATATGTGTCATATCATCAGATGGTCAAGAATTTTTAAAAGCCACTCAATATTAATAGTCACTATAGATTTTTTTACAATTTTCTAAAGATAGCTTGGCACGGTATTTTTTTTCTCAATAGTACCAAGATTAAGATTTTTATAAAACTATATGTTCGGGACAGACTCTCAAAGCTAACCACTGAACGTGCGAGACAACCGAACAAATCTCGACTTGATCTGTTGCTTAAATTTGATCTAGATTCGGTAAACAATTTAAAAATAGTGGATTCGCCGACCAGAAGGCAGCTAGATTTTGTCCTGGTACTACCTAGGCCGTCCGCAACCGCGAACGACCACTTTTCCAGTAATTGTGAAGTGGTTTATGATAACTTTGCGGCAGTAAATTGGCGTCACTTTTTAGCAAATTACGTCGATGTTGAGAATAAATACACTCACTTTATTGAGTATATCCTTATGCTAATATCTCTTTGTAGTTTGTAAATCACACAAATAATTATCTAAAAAGTCACATCCGTTAAACTGGGTGTCCGCTTTCGAGTATCAGATTTTATGAAAACACTCACAAAAATTCTCATCGTGCCTTATGGCAATAAGGGTTGGAGCTTTGTAGGAATCTCAGCTTTCCTTCAAAGAGACAAAGTCGTTCTTTCGCCACATGATCAAACATTTTAAAGGTAATGATGCGGTATTGATTCTTCTTGCTAGAAAAACAGGATAGGGGTAATCGAGTTCTCGAACCACTTTTCATTGGTGCTTGTCACTTCTGCTTGAATAATAAACCTTGCGGCACCGATTAGAACCTCGGAAAACCCACAAGGATTTTCCTTATGCAAAAACTTCAAGGAGTTTTATTTCCGTTTAATCCTACACCCGATGGAATACCACTTTACTTGTATGCATAAACAAATATCTGTTAACACCATTATATCTTCAAATGGTTGTAAAGAAGATAGAGCTGTTTGCTGTTCGAAAAGTTCATCACTGATTATTACTTTGGAGCCATCTGATAGCGCGAAATCTAGGAAAAGGTAATAAACATTGTTTCTCGATGCGACGCTTTAGACCGACTAAATGAATCACGGCTGTCCATCTGGCACTTACAAGAAATCGCTCTGTGGTCCATGCTTTTGAAAAAAATTACTCTTGCTTTCTACGAAGCCGTCTCCCACAGAGCGGCGTGTAAGCTAGGGGTTGTGAAATCTGCTACAAAAGTGATTACTGCGACTTTTCGACGTTTCCTAATAATGGCGTCTGAGTTCTATATCCAAATTTATAAAAGCAATGGTTACACCAGAATTCCTGTACATTTAGTTATGGAACATATTAAGGCGCAATCAAATTTTTGTGAACGGATATCACTGAAGTGCAACGTTCTTGAGTGAGGTGCATATGGAAATTGAGAAAAAAGCAGTCGTTCTTAGGTTGAGTAAGTTATGATCCCGCACAATGTTGAGCGGGATGATTAAGTGCAATGCACAAGCAGTGGCGGCTATGCGCCAAGGTGCGCCTATCTGCGAACGTTACATTTAATATAGTTTACACATATAGTTACATTTACGTATTTCATTTATTTATACATTTACTTGTATTTATACAAATATTAATAATTAACAAATATTACGACTCTTTTTGCAGGGACGGAAAAGGTTCCCTTTTTTTCCGCTGAAGGTCATGCACGTGAACGCAGCTGAACGATATGCAAACGGTCCTGCGTATTAAAAATAATTACATATGGGTCAATGTCTTGCCAACTCCGACATATAGTTGAATCGAGTAACTCAACAACGTATGGTTAACTGGAGTGCAACAGTATAGCATACGAACTATTACTGGCATTATTTTGTAACCATACTTTCTCATACATAAACGGTGGTCGGAAAACTCACTTACATAATACCAACACCATATCTGAACTCAGCAGTGTTGATTTTTTTGGCCTTCGGAGGAAAACTTTTATAGAGCTTCAAAATGTCCTGTCCCATGCCGCCGATTGAATCGTCGTCCAGACCAGTTCAGTGTAAGTTAAGATCCGGATCCTAGCTTTTTTTCTATATTTGTCGAAGTATCATAATGCACATTGCAAGCACAGAGCAATATTAACGCGTTTTACAGCATCTACGAAATTATTGAAATGTCATAAAAGAAAGCCACGAACGTGTATATTTCGCACATGACGAATTGTTAAATCCAAAAGTTTAATGAATCACAAAAAGTATTTCGGATCCATAATAATACAGGTGTAATAATACTGGCCTACAACCTAGTAGTACAACCTAGAGTAATATCGAATGCTTTAACAATGTGATTAAAAGTTACCGATCCTTTTCGAGTTACACTTTCGGAAACAGGAACTTTCACAATTTGACAATATGACTACTAAGCATTCATTTCAGTTCTAACATAGCGCTGTCATTATAGCATTATTCTTTAATACTGTGTGAGTATTAGTGTGTGATAGTTCTCGTAGTATAACGATCACATGGTAACTGTTTTATAATGGAACATTTATTGAACATTGTTTTTTTGCGCTAAAATCGAACGGCCCGCCTGGGTTGGGTAAGCGGAAGCCGTTTACCGAATTAATTCTCAAACTTCTGGCGGCTTTTCTGCTTCGTTGAGCCGTCTTTCTACAGGGGAAAACTGTCAGCGCCAAAGCGGGTGAAGCACGCAATTTTCTGCGTAAGAAGCCTTATCAATTCGTGAATGTCGTCTACATTTGGATAAAGTAACGAAATCATGCTATCTAGCTGCGAACGCCCTTGTTTTCATACGCATATAGCGAGAGGTTTTTTAGCCAAGGAGACGCTGCCTTGAAAGAATGCAGTAGTCAAGCTGGTCGCAGTGTTTTAAGCAGGACAGTTTCTGCTAATATTGTCAAAAGTCTGCTATCTATATCCGCCTGTTCATCCTATCACACCGAAAATTATCAGAAAACAGTACTGATATACTGCTTGAATATACTTTATTCAGTTAAACACAAAGTCGAGCTTATTTGACTCTGCTTGCTATTTCCATATCATTCTAGATACGCGAAAAAAGAATCGACAAATATCTTAGGAAAGATGGGTTACGTTCCCACTTACAAACAGATTAGAGCCACGTCTTTTTAGGGTTCATAAATATTGCAAAATTTTTAGGAGGTGCCTGGAGGGCAAAATTTGCCCTTTTTACATATTGTGTTCTCCTCTAGCTCATGTTATATTATCTACATTGTCATTTTAATCCAATTTAGAAAACTGTATGACGCGATACAGATTTGGCTAGCGACAAGTTGCCATATATCTAAAACATTACTCTGACCCAAAATTACAAAGAGACAAAACAGGGCAATTTTCGCCACGACGAAGTCATATCAATTATTATTTTTATCTTACTTCTACAAGCTAACTTCACTTACACAAAACCTATTTTAACAACTAACAAGCAAAATATTTTTTAAACCGCTATACCTGTTCCACAATGAAAGATACAGATTTGATACAGTTTTACTGTAGAAGTTAGAAGTTACTAAGTTGTTATTAGATTTGTATATTTAGAGCTACTGCGGATCAGCAGAGTAGAGTACCTCAATAAGAAAATCAAGCGCTAATTCGGCAGCTACTTTTTTGCGACTGTTTTTCTGTTAACTGCTCTAAAAAATGTGACTTTTTCATCCTTTGAGGTAAAAGAAAGGAAAGTTTGTATTGTATTATCTAGTTAGCCACTAGACATAGATGCTTCCATAGCATGGCTTTCAATGGTATTACTATAATTTAATGGTTAGAGTCTGCTCACCAAACTCAAACATTACGAGGTTATGTCATTTTGTTGCGCCTTTAATTACCAGATAAAAAGAAAACCTTATTTTTTGATAGGTTTATTTTTGTTAAATCTTGCTCACTTTTTATTTGTAATATTTCTTGTTCTTATAATGGTGATAGTTTGCGTCAAGCCCAACCTGTTGATTCCGATTACTGCAAAAAAAATAGTTGCATTACAGGGTTTTCGTTGCTTATTGTATCAGAAATCGAGCTAAATTGGCCAGCTCAAAATACGTGTTGTTCAAGGAGCTTAAATTTGACCGCTGTTGATGTACGACATAAAACTAACTTGAAAGTGAGCACAAGATTTTACAATCATTATAACATTCAACTTCTCAGTCAGTTTACGCAACCCAGAGATCTGGTGGGCTATTATCTATACCTGTTCTAATACATAAGTATACTTCGCCAGTGGTTAGATGTTCATTGGCCGTATTTATCATGCCATGTCCTGAACGACCTTGTAGATAATGTAACTACTATTGAACCAACCTAACTACCATAACTAAATCCATTGGCTATTATTCCTAACATACCGACGGCTGGCGGGTTGGATTGTCCATGCCCACATAATGAAAAAATCTAGAAGGCACTTGACATTTGCTAAACGATATTTCCCTTTTGTCTTCAACTTCGTAAATCGTTTCTGCATTGGTCTCAAAGACTTGGACATACCCTTAGGACATTAGCCAGAATACTGTGCTCATTATATTTTATTGGAAACCGTATAAAAATTGCTTACCCTTACCCAAATATAGGACACCTTAGGCTGCGTTTACAGGATACAGTTAATATATATATTACTATCCTTATTTTGAAGTCATCCAGTATAAGTGCCTTGGCAACAGAGTTGCGTATCTCAGCCGCATATAAGAAAGCCACATTTGTCATATACACTGTTCCAAAAATAGGTTTGTGCTGCTTATTGATACGTACACAAAACATACCACGAGATAGTAAAGCCCGTTTTTATTACTTTTACTTTTTCTATAATTCTGAGTGTCAAGGCACAATCAGCACCGGTGCTGTTCTACTCAGGTTCTTCGTACCACAAAAATGTGTAGGGACCAAGCAATATGTCTTTTTGCAGGTAGTCTATCTAAAACGGCTATTAAATTCTGAATCTAAGAAAAATCTAGGAATTGAAGGTCTTCGGACTTTTCAGAAACCGCACAGAGTCTGTTAATAACGCAGATCATCGATTTCGGGTAGAACGTAATCCTCACTACCAGAAGTAGCGGTAAACGCGTGCCCGCTACGACCGGAACAGCCCACCCAATTTTCCCTAAGTTGAATGCGCCGCCCCGTAGAATGCGTCAGGTAGCAACCCTCAGTGCGGGTCGGTGGATCATGTTTATCATTGTGTAGATCTAGAGTGCCTTACGGAGTATTTCATAACTTAACAATTAAGTAGATCCCCCATACAATTGAACAGTGTCCCGTAGTTCTCAACATTTGTCACGCACCAGCTAAAACCTGCCAACAGTTTTACTCTTGAACTTTTTTCTGCGTACAAATATATTCAAATCTACTTACGGACGATTCGTAAGGAGCAGGGTTGAAACGGACAGTAAAGGCGAAATACTCAAGCCGTAATTTGTTTATAATAATTTTGTAGCGTGGTCTTAGTAAGTTGGACCAGTTAGGCAGACATAATTCGTTAAATGCTGATTTTGATACATCAGGTGCATTGGAAAAATTTTACAACGGAGGGGTTTTCTTCGTAAGATTTTTTTTAAATTGCTTACTGGAGATCACTTAAGCATTTGCCTCAGCTTTAGTCAATTCAATTACCTGGATAATGGGCGGCTTTACTTTCGAGAACGTTTTTACTATAGTAACGGGGGTCCTATGAATATTTCTACTAATAATGTTGAACTATACACTGTGTGCGGGTTTGGCGAGAGGCATCTTGATCCTAGTATCTAAATTTCGGTTTTGCAATTAAGTTGTTGCTAACTAATTATCGTCAATAAAGTCTTGTAAAATTGCATTCTAGCTTTGCAAGACGGATTTACGTTTAAAGCACATGCCACTTAAGATATAGTAGGTATCGTTTGGTAATCTACTATATTGCGCATATATACAACCCTCCCTTCTTACATATATATATATATATATACGTTCTAGATCTGTCATATTCATTTCTAAAGGCAACTTCATAGGTGCAAGCTTATTATAGCGTTCAAGAAGGTCACTATCTTAATGGAGTTCCCAATGCCAATAGGATGTTTGAAAAACTATATTTGTTTACTTTCACTACAGATAGGTCACGATGACAGTAAATTGCATTTGCAGAGGCGTTTTACGACAAAAAGCGATAATGTGCCTCACGATGTATGAGAACGAAAAAACAGCTCACTATCCTAGGTTTCGGATTAGGGACTCTTGTGGTGGCAGTTTATGTGGTCCTCAAACGCTAAGCTCCTTGAAGCTCGAGAGACCATTTAGTCGCGATTTTGTTTCGCGCAGAAACTAGGAGGGCTAACTAAAAAAATTAAGTCCAACTGTTTTGCTTCTAAGTATAAACGAATTCGTATAAAACGGTCGAAACACAGTATATGTATTACATATCATCGTTGGATTATACTACTAAATACGTTATACTACTAGATATGCATGCGCACACCAATTAGTATACTTGTAAAAATTCACAAAAGTAACAGTACGATCATATGAGTTAACAGTAGTTAAACTTCTGATTAATAATTAGCTCATTAATTATTAGCCCATCATTTCCTTACAGGTTGCAGAAAAATAGTACCAGTACGCCACCACGGACTTGGAGCAACGCTCGATGGCAGTACCGGACTTAAAGGTGAAAACGTAGGGATGCCATCACTTCTGTTTATCTCTCTGATTCGAGTTTTACGTCTAGTATCACCGCCAAGCTGTCAGGGACCCAGATACTACCATACGATTAAATTTCTTAATCGATCAGGAGAAAAGTTGAAGATGAGGATAGCATTTTTTTTTAAACTAGCTTTCAAAATGCTAGCTTTATTTTTAAAGCTCTATTTTTTTTTTGTTAGAAACATTGTAGTGATGGTGTTTCCGCAGCAACGAATGCAAAAGAACTGTACAGCAATTTAAGTTTACAGAGGATTTGACTGCACTTTAAAATTGACCTGCTTTTTTTTTGTTTACTACAGTTATTAAAGATTTATTTCTTGCATCGAGTAAAACATTATGCTGTAAAAAACAGCAAACTGAGAGAAGTAACCTAATCGATCACCAAATTGTTGCAATATCAAATATCCGCTGTGAACGTTCATTTTAGATTGCAAGAAACTAACATTTCAAAAAGCCCTTATCTGCTATACATTTCCAGTTACTTATTATTAATAAGTCAGAGGAAACGTTCAAAATTCGTTCTCGAACTCGATTGAACGCTCGAACCGAAATCCAAAGCACTTTGATAGGGATTTACAAAAGCAAGATTCCGAAAAGCTATAAGTTGTTAGTCTTCATGGAACTTTCGGGGCCTTATAATAATCGTTCAGAGCCTCTCATATCATTGGTTTGAACAAACATACTGAATTTCTTTACAGGGTCCCTCGCTTTGAGAGCACTATCCTCGAATGACCATAACCATAAGGCCAAAATTGAACTGCCTTATGAAGTAATCCAGTTATTGAATTTTTGCTTGACGGGAAACAAGATGGTTTACTACTTGAAATAACAACTACACAGAAACAGCAGGGCTCGGAAATCTAAGTTTGACGTGCATTGTAGTTCAGAAATCATCTCATTAGACTGTAGTTTTTTGTTGTCGCTGATTGTTTCATACTAAGTCTTTATATATTAAACTCATTTTATTAGTTTTCAATTAATTTTGTAAAAATCCTATTACCTCTCTTTCGAAAATTTCGATTTCTTTGATGAACGTGGTATCACTACAAGTGGTGTTTCTGGAATATCTTCGACTCTCGAGAAGCCTTCGTGCCGCAACCGCATCTGTAGTTGCCTCACCATTGTGATCGTCTTGTGAAGTACGGAACACACGAATAGCGTTAATGATTCAAACGCCAGAGAATACGATGCAGACCACTGACCTATCAAACACCGTTTATTCAAACAAACTTTAGTTGATATATATATAGTCAAAGTAAACCAACGGCCTAAGAAGAACAATCAATTTGTGGATCTTGACGTACTCATCAAGCTATAACACTATTTACGATTTGTTGTGTAAAATTTGCTACTTAATGATGCGAACTAATCCAAACATGATTGGGAGGAAATTGTAACATCTACGCTGCCTTAAATAACGTAATATACTAACACAGTACCTGTATTCTTATTGCCCAATTGGCCCAACACGGAAAGAATCTGCATGCTCAAAAGATTTTTTAATAAGTGCAAGTTAGTGGTAGGAAAGGGAATATGAGCCGAGCACCACGCACAGTTGAACTTCCCAGAGGAAATTCACCTAAAAATGATTGTTGAATAGGGATTTATAATTGGTATATGTTTCCTTTCGAAACGGCACCATGACAGCGAGCTAGTACCTGTACTATAGACAACTTTAAAAAGTACCGCAGACTTTGTGGACACGAAAACAAAAACGAGGAACGATTAAGCGGTATAGCCTACTTTAAAAAATGCATCGCAACCTCGTTTTGTCAAATTTGGAAACAGGAAATAATATTCTGACAATAGTGCGATTAATGTGTACGGAATCTCCTCAGATCCTCTAATTAGCTTGTTTATCCCGAACCACTAACTCCATTAATTTTGCTTAAACTTTTAGGTGTATTTTTTGGAGTTGCCTGTTATATTGTTTTAAGATGAATACCTTCTCTTAAGATCTGTGACTAGGGCATTTCTGCCGAAACGAAAGATAGAAATAGACAAAACTTTACGATGCTCGACCGTTCAACTGCAGATGGCAACAAGCTGGCCGAAGATTCATAAATCTTATGATCTTGTTTATCCACGCTGGTTCACAGTGTTTCAAATTGCCTCTAGGTATTGTTTCAAAGACTGCTAGTTCTTGCTTTCTTATTAAGCAGATCTTACTGCTTAATAATGCTTAACTCTGACTTTAGCCTCTGAATTTTTTTAGCGTTTTTTTTTTTTGGTAATTATTTGACAACGCTGAGATTCGAATGTTCAGTAGTCGGCATGCTTATTGCTTGTTATAGAAACGCGCTCAAGAGAGGTCAGCATTAGCCAGCGCGGCAATACCAATTCAACGCGGACCTGTCATTAGAGAGTCAAGTTTGAGTTAAGCCCTTTAAAGTGCGGCTTTGTTTTCTAGTAATAGCGACTTGGGGTGGGGTGTACAAGTGCTGATTGATCTAGGAATGCTTTCTATGGCCCAGCGCTCCAGAGAAGCGTTCTGACGTAGTTAATGTCTAATTGTAGATGAGACAATTGATGCGAGATGTGCTCGTAGCTGTCACGAAAACTAGGAACTTAACTTATGAGGAAATTAATGATTTTCACCCTAGAAGTAGATGACCATCAATCACATTTCCTTGCGAGATATTTTCTCAATGTATCGATTAGGTAGCCTCGCGAAGATTCGTAATTGGATTTATGTATACAAGCTTTTTTCGTGGAGCAGCTGCATTATTGCGCATGCATAAGACAATCAAATAAAAGGAAACTTCCGAAGCCAAATAATTTTCAAAACATAGCATCGTTAGTCGAAGCAACGATTACTAAAATTAAAGTGTACAATGACCGGCGATATGACTCTGGGGGGAAAGCTCTCTCTCATGGTGCATAAAAATAAAATACAAGCTCACGTTTTGCTTGTTGTGATGGTACTTCTAACAGGTATCAATTGTATCTCTTATTTATGCCACTGATCTTAATTTTGAAGCAATGTCGGATAAAGCATTCATTCATTCATCAAAAAACCAGTTTGCTAGGTTGATTGAACCATGCTTTGAATCCCAGCCGGCGTGTCGATGTACCTCAGCGAAGTATAAGCATTACACAGAGAATTATTATTATTAATAAAGTGGGACAGGTATAACCACCTAAGCTAAATATATTTAGCAAAAAAAAAACCTTATGGGATTAAAATTGCTTCTCGTCAAAAGTTAGTTCTTCATTTTCATTCCGAATCAACACCAAAGACCTAATGTACTTCCAAATCAACTGGTTTACGAGTATACTTAACAGCTGTGGATATGTTTAAACTGAAGCTTCGCAGATAAACCTGCATCTAGAACTAAAATTGAGCTTACCCCACTGGAATTCGTAGATCGCCACATTTAGCAGGTATAGGGCACGAATGAAATTGAATATATTAAAAAGACGATGATAAAAAAAATCTGAAAGGAGTATTGAGGATAGCACTTTGCTTGAGACATTGGATGCAGAAGAGTTCAGTAACTGCGAAATAGGCCAAACAACCGCGATCGCGTCCACTGGAAGCAGCCAATTATTTCTAGAGAAGAGTTGTTTTTGTCTGTCCATGGGAAGAAAGGGCGTGTTGATGTACACAATATGGTAGACAATAAGCAATAGTGACGATATATGCCATAAAGCATCCAGTAACTCAACCTTCCCTAGAGACTGACGACGCCGTAGCCACGATACAAGATCTGACATTTTTTAATCTGGGAGGCTTTCATTGAATACTGTTCACATAAACAGATCTTTCAACACTTTGTTATTGCTTGGATGTAAATGCTATGTGGGCTGGTCAAAATTGGTCAGGCAGTATTGAATACTGCCATCGGTGCATACCCTACCTACGATTAGTGGTTGTATGTCCGTCTCTTATGGTTGATCAAAACGTGTCTTAGTTTGTAGTTGCATTCCGAACAACAAGCAGGGATTTTCGACGGTACCTATGGAACCTTTTCAGGGAGTCAACTGAAAGCATTCAATCTGAGAAAATGTCGATATCTGTATGTGTCGTAGCACACATTAACGCTAATGTTCGTAATTTTCGAAGTCCGAACTAAGTTTTTTTTTAAAGAGCGAAATGTTTGGAAGCCTGTTAGTATATTTCTAAACTACCATTACCTATTTGTAGGCTGGTGTCAAGAACGTTCCAACGACAGGTTAAAAACACCAAGAGTTATAACCACGCAGATATCACAATAATGAACTCAATAGTTCTGGCTGTAGCTGGTGGTAGCCAAAGCAGAAAGGTGTAGACGATCAGGTTCTGATAATTGTGGGGTTTTGTACACTATAGCTATACACACATATGGAACAAAGTTACGACTGAATTATCGCTATTTTTTCGGTATCAGACAGCTCTTGTGTGTCGATTTGGGTTACATTTACCAGGAATTACACATGTATTTATTTACTTCTATATTTGTCGGGTAGCTTAGAAACAATATGAAAGGGTTTTCAAAATAGGAATACAAAAATATAATAAATAAATAAGACACATGCACAGAGCGCTATGACTGTGCTCTTCTTCTGTACGCCACGCTATTCAAGGAGGATGTTCTTGGACATAAGCCGCCGTGACATCGCCCACAGTGCATCCGACACAGATAAAACCTTCGTTTGGCCCACGGTAGAATAGAAGAAGCCATGCTATGCGTAGCAAACTACAACATGTCGGTTCTTTCTGTGTGGTTCCACCCACCATAACACTAGTAGCAAAGAATTCCAGGTATACCTCAGCCGTCCGCTCCCCCTGTTGTCAGACGAATTCCAGGTAGGCTGACGTTTTAATAGCCAAATTAGCGTTGTAGATCTTCAACAAATAGCAGCATATCAGCTAGCAAATTTACATAGCACTCAAAGCAGGAGGTATGCGGGACCAGTATTTTCTTGAGAAAAGCGGGCTTCACCCAGTCCAGCCAATACAATTGGAACCTAGGAGTTTTAATGCTATTAGTATCCGTTGCGCGCAACTTAACATTAGGGTGCTCTACGGGGTTATTTTTTCCAATACACGACCTCATACGTTTAACATACACCGTCAATCACCGTTTTCGAGGCATGATAATGCTGCATTTGTATGGTGCCACTTTGCTCACGATAATAGAAGACCCATGGTAGCAGGTTCCCGATTTTTTGGAAAACCTCGGCGTAACCGAAACCATTATGGGCTACGTTTCGTTCTTTCCGAGATGCCACGAGAGCACTTCTTCCCTTTTGCACGAGCTCTTTTTCCTGCCTTGACATTATTGTGCGTAGTGCAAAGTGTTTCCTCTGGGTTTTTCGTATCTTTTACAGCTCGTGACCGCGGGATCGCACTAGCCATGTTCCTGTAGGGTTAGGGCCTAAATACGAGTGAGTGACATCTCACTTTTCTTTGGTATTGGCAAAACTGCGGCCTGCTTGCGTCCCTTCCTTACTGGAAGTCCATAATAACACTAAATGGGTTCCTCTGTTATTATGGACTTCGATCGGTAGGCCAACTCAAGATATGGCCCTAAGCAAAGTCGTTCACGTTGACTAAGGCGCATTAACTCCGGGTGCATTAATCGAGATACAAAAAGTGCTCTAACTCCTTGGGCGCTGCGGGGGTGCGTAGAGTATGCAATACTCGACATTCTCGAAATTTGGAGAAACGTAGTTATGATCCTATGGTTTTCAAAGAAATGGTAGAAAAGCATTTTTAGGATCAAACTATGAGGGTGTTACGGCCGCAACGGGTTGCGGCTGCATGTGGATATCACGTGTCGATCAGGAGTACCACGGGTATTAATTTGCTTGAAAGACTTGCCCAAAAAGGGCCGTAGTGGCTCAACAAGAAATGTGTGAGAGGCGGCCGAGCTACTTTATTGCCAATCCTAAGCATAGCTTGAAGATCAGCAGAGGGCGGGTTTTTTTCGCTACTGTCGGTGCTGACTGCATAAACTCCATTGAACACGGTATGTTTATCCAGTCGATATATTTACAAATGCGTACGCACCTTGCAGAACGCGGCTTATCGCCCCGTCGAGCTGAAGCAGCGCTTGGGGCTATTATTTGAACAGCCACGCACACTACAACCTCGGTAGCATAGTATATTACTCTATGGCTTTACACAACTAGGATCCAATCCTTTGAGAGTTTATCGATAAAGGAGTACGTTTTCTGCGAACTGGCATCGACCACAGCGTTAACTATTCCCAGAACGATCAACGGAACGTTCACCATTAAAATGCATGTCCTCCAAAGGAATTCTTATGTTCATCGAGTAAGAGATATCTATCAAACACAATGAAATAAACCTTACGGATAACCCTTAGTTGATCATTACAAGCACCTTCTCGCAGAAAAGCTTGATCTAAGTGCTAACAGGCCATTGGTGATATCGTCTATACAGTTGATGCCCGGACGTAGTCGAATTTTTTAACACTGCCTCAAAATGTTTTGACTGCCCGCGGTTGAAGGAGGTTCGGACGTCTACCGACTCACTATTCCCCGGCCGACTAAGTCCACATACATCTGTGAGTTTTGGTTTGTTTTCGTTCAATATTTCGGAGTCAGACATGCTCACGTTGAATATTTCTAAGTCCCGATATGCGCTGATCGATCGGCGAGCATTTGAAAGTTGGCAGGGACAGTCTCAGTGACGCAATTAACAAAAATATTTCCGTGTAACGCTTTTCTGATGTCCTTTAGAAAAAGCCGTAGTAGTATATCTATATATATATACTTATATAGTGGCTCTAGTCAGTTCTTCATTAGACATGTTTCCTGGACAAATAAATACAGGTTTTCTCCCTGTTTTAAACGGTCACATTGCTCCAATGAGCCGGGAAACCTAAGGAGCAAATGGTCCTTAAACTGCATTTGTATATCATAAAAAGCTGCAGCCACGGGTTTGCTTATATCAGTCTCAAACTACGGTTTTACAAATTCGGAAAGCAACCCAGCAGCCATTTTCAGAAATTAACAGCTAGTTCTAGATATACACGCTGGATAAAAACTGCCAAATTTTTGTTAGATGCTTAATAAATCAGATATTCTAAAGAACAAGCAAAGAGAGTCTCGAACATAGTGCTTGCTTTAGTTGCGTCCTCGGCGCCTGCGTATATTCCAATTTACAACGGGCTTCAAATGTCAGAATGTCATTATGCCTTAGTACTACCGATGGTACCAAATAATGTCAACAATGAAGCTGCACTATATTGGGCGACCTAGAGTGACTTGGGCCACAAAAGTAAAAATTATTATTTGCTAGACACCATACGTAATGACAACCAACGTTTATCTATTTACGGCTTTCTCGTGGTTTATTATTATTATTTTTCTCATCTTACAATTGGATAAAATATATGTATAAAAGAAATAATCTCCATGAGTTTATATTCAGACGCTTACTATATATATAACCTATTTCTACAATGGCTTTCACTGACCGTAATCAACACAGACTTAACCTACGTATATACATAACATTAAGTGGACTAAGTTTTCCCACTCGTAGAAAATCGAAGGAAGTTTTTCCTTGGCTCCCGGAAAAAGGCTTTATCAAATAGTACCGACAAGTTTGCTTCCATGCACAGAAAAACAAAAGTTTGTCAGTAGACATTTCTTAGATGTGCAACTTACTCATCCTTCCCAATTTTGGTTAGGAATGTATCCACAGCAATGGAAATATTCGATGCACATACCTGAATTTATTTAAAACGTCCTTCGCACCTTAAAACGAGACCTATGCAAATGCGAGAAGTTACTGTGCTTTAAGCTAACTCGTGTGTTAGTAACCTTCGAAAACGCCGATAGACTACTGTTGCCACATCGGCACAATTAATATAATTGTTGAAAATAAAAACCACTTCTAAAGATGCTATATGGGAAATCGGAAAAAGAAACCGGATCCTCTGATCTGTTATCAAGATGACCATCGTAATAAGCACTTGAGGCGAAATACCTAAAACAGACGTTCTAGACGAAATTGAAATGCATCGATCGGCTTTGCTCTCAAATGTTTAGAAAAAGCACAGCAAATTAGGCAGACTTAAAAGAACCATGTATACATACAATCATTTGTCGATATAATTTAACTGATAAAATAAATAGTTAAAGAGGCTACACAAAAACCTATTGCAGATTTTCTATTGGAAAAATATATTCAGTCATTCATGTACAAGTCTCACACAATATATATGTCAAAAAAGTCATCTATTTATTATTATAAAACACAACAAAAGTTTTTGGCCAGTACGATAAACTAGAACAGCTAGTACTTACCGTTTTCATCGAACCCTTTGCTTTCAGAAATGAAAAAAAAATGCATGCGCGATTACTGAATGAATCTGCGTTGATTATTTTCGGTGTTCTTAGATGTAAGATACCAGCACTGCGAGAATTCCGTAAAATTTAGATAATTAAGCACTACTGAGATCTTAAGTTCATTTACTTCGGCTCCGAGACGTTAAAGAATATTCTGGGTTTGTTCCTTTCCTGGTTTTATAATGTGTAACTTTTTGAGTACTTTGTGTAACTTCAAAACATCTCTTAATTCTCAAAAGTTCTTTTCATTTGTTACTCAAAGCCACATGATTTATCAGCTGCATAGACATTTGATGTACTGATGGTTGACTTAGTTGACTTACTACGATAATCGAGACGAACTTTACACATTTCATTAAAATTCACTTAGAGACTAACTTTACTTGGATTACGACTAAAAATAGGTGCCATGCAGATATCACCTGAAATAGCTTACCAACTTGTCAGCTATGGGCCAGGTAAGCTGATTATTACGTTCCTGACATCACTACCATAGCCATAACAAAGAGCGAGAGTGTTTTTTGTACATTCAACTGAAAAGCATCTTATCGCTATTGTTATACAGAGACTTCGAATTTCCTTCAGTCACCGGGGTGGGGAGGCACTTTGAAACTTTGTAAACCTAGCAGGAAGTGGCATACCATCAAGGTACATCGTAAACGTAGTGAGTTATATGGTAAAAAAAAATAAAATAAGCTAATGACTAAATCGAGTTGTGTCTTTGTTTGAGCGCACTTCTCAGTAACTTTCTATTTTGGTCTCATGTTCGGTTTATATTGGTATGGCTGCTTTTTGCCAATAGGTGGTGGTTTTCCTTTTATAACTTTTCGCCCGGCAGATAATGGCATACGTTATAATATGCATGTTCGGGAAACCTCTCTAACTCGATGTAATCATTTTCGCTGATAATTAATTTTTCAAGCATGTATGTGAGCTCGGTAAAGCACGGTCGTTTGGTAGGATTCGCTTCCCAGCAATAAGACATGATATTGTACATTTCCCGTTTGCAATGCTCCGGCTTCGGAAGACGATACCCGTCCCGTACTCCACGTGTTACCTCCATAGCCGTCATGCCGGGGTAGGGTGTAGAACCTAAAAAATATGATTATAAAAAATTAAAGAAGGACAAGTTAATAAGTTAAGGAATACTAAAAAGGCTATTCCAGATATAGTTATTTTTGGTGCTCACCATGATAGCTATGCATGAATATGTAAAGTGAGCATATTTAAGTGCCAATAAATAAAGGAAATTTACGATTTTTTGGTCTTAATATTACCATTGTTATAAACGTGCAACTGAGCTTATCAAGCTTGTAAGCACCGATCAACGAAGTATTAAATCTATCATTCTGTGTATTTCGCGTTCGCCAGACGTACCCAGTGTTACGATTTCCCATAAAAGAATGCCGAACGCCCAAACGTCACTCCTTGACGTATGTACGTTGTCATACAGAGCTTCAGGAGGCATCCATCGGACCGGCAGCACTCCGTCACTCTTCCGTTCATACTCGTGCGATGAGATTACGTCTCGAGCGAGTCCGAAATCCGCCACCTGTTGCAAAAACGATCCATACAAACAGCGCAGTGATGGGCATAAAGCACGGAGTCACACCAACCAGTGAACCAACGTTAGAATATGGCCAACTTACTTTGATTACCAAGTTAATTTGTACAAACCATTTCAAACGTGGAAAAATATCTTAAACTAGATATTCAAGGTAGAACAATTGCTACTAATTTCTACTACAATATAAAACCAACATATTAACAGTAGTAATGGATGATGTGAAAGTGATAAAAAGAAAGATTCTTACTTTACATTGTCGATTCTCTGTGACGAGAACGTTACGAGCCGCTAAATCTCGATGAACGATACCCTACAATATGTAAATGTACTGCATTAGGTGATCTGAAATATTTTACACGACTGTGCAACTTATGTATCTTCATTTTTATTCCGTTTCAGGCCGACCGAGTGTTCTCTAGATAAAATGGGAAGACAAAACAGGACGGCTGTATTCCTATACAAACCACCTTATCAAAAATGGCGATAATTCAGAATTCCTTGACATTGCTAGGAAACAATAATGAGACGATAATGTGCAGTTCAATTAGCGTGCGTGCATCATTAACGTATGTACAAATTTTCCAAATAAATTCTGGAAAAATATTTTCCTTTCATATTTTCTCCGTGCTTCCTAAATGCAGACTGCTCATTCTAACTACATACCTACGCTACTCATAATAATCATAAAGATAATATAAGCATGGCAAAAAAAATAATGGCTACGGGTGAAGTGTTTATGCAACGGCATGAGGGAATTAAGCGCACAGAAAACTAAGTAAGTAAGTAGCGCATATTGGTCCATGCGCACACAGGTAAGTAGGAGGCGAAGCTAGCGGGTAAAATTCGCCATTGTGTCCTGTACACCGTTCACTCCTGCAGGATAAAGTTAGCTATTTTCAAGCGAAGGGAATAGATTTTGTCTTAGAATCAGCACTTGTACGCCTGCGTCAGAACTCATTTGGTTGAACTTTCGTAGATGCGATAGTAAAATCAAGCTCTCGTTATCTTGTCTGATATGATGTACTGGCCAAGTTCCCCGGCGTGAGTGAGGTTCTAGTCATGAAAACATCAGACCAAGCGAACACAACAAGAACCCACTCACACCGACAAATTGACCTCCGTATATGTGAAAAGCACCATGACGGTTCTATTAGCTCAGATGTTGCAGATCATTGCATGCGATTTCTTGTCAGCGGTTTATCCTACTTTTAGCTACAAAGTTGAGAGCTCGTTTGCCTCTCCATCTTTGCACACCCTTAAGCTATATATATATATATATATATTCTTTATTTTCGCACACTCCATGCAACGTACACTTCGCATAGCGGAAATTGCACTACACCATCAAACTCTTCTACCGAAAACTAACTGTAAGACTTTAAGAAGCTTAAGACTGAAGGAATATTTGTCTGTCATAGAACAGAGGTTTATGGTGTGCCAAGTCTAATAGTGGTACCTTTGAAGCAATATATTCCATTCCTTTGGCGACTTGATAACCGAATTGCGTCAGCTCGGTCGAGGTAAGTGGCGCTGATCTGGCGTCGAATGAATCTCTTTGTTCTGTAAAAGGTCGGCGGTTCTCACGAAGGAAGGTCTGCAGTTTTCCAAGGCTAATATATTCCATTATTACGAACAGCGGATCTATCGAAGCAGACGTTGTGAAAATGGACAAAACTATTTGAATAATTGTATTGTTTTTGGCCAACTGTCTCGTTCTGTTCTGTTTAGCGTTGGATAGTTTGGCGAGAAACATCACTACCTTTTTGCTTTGTTCATTTATATCCTTGACCGCCATATGGAGCAATTCAGCCAGAGTCTATTGCTACCTTACTCACATAGTAATAACAAAATATATTTCAGCAGCTTAAAATGCTAGCGCCAACATCGTAGGTATGGCGATTGGCTGGCACCTATTGCCATGGAACCTTGCACATAATATATCACAATATCTACTAAAACATGTGCCGTCCGATTCATTAGTATCTTTACTTAAGAAGTCGATTTTTTCTATCAAGGACTATGTTATTGTTTTAAAAGGATTATAGATTTAAGAAAAAAGTGCAGCATAATCACCTCTTTCGGTGCAGCAACCCAGTAAAGTGACAACATTTGGATGTGGATCAAGTAATTTCATAATCTCCAGTTCGTTCAATAGATCCTGCCTTCCTTGCTCAGACTTCGGATCTTTCAGGGTCTTGACGGCGACGATTATCGAGGACCCACTGCTTGTTTTACCATCCGAAAATTTCTTGCACCTTGAATCCTCGTTACTTCCAGTTTGGAATGCTTCATACTTCCAAACCTTAAAGATTAAAACGATGAAAATGACAATACTACAGCCATGCTGAACAGAGTATATACTACCAGGCTACTATTTATTCGAGTTTTTCTGGAATAATTTGTTCTTCGATTAGTGTTGAATGAGAGAAATAAATATAAACCTAGACTATTGCAAAAGTATTTTTGCAAAATACAAACTCTTCCCGTATTCCAACCATTCTACATAAATGAGTAGCCGGATGAATTTCTCTGATTTAATCAGTACGATTCTAAGTTACATACCTGTCCAAAGCAACCTTCGCTAATGTGTTGTAAAACTTTTAATTTAGTCCGCGGAAATTCCCACTTGTCATCCGTTAACTGAAAGTGGTAAAAGAAGAGTTTTGGTTGAAAAGAATCCATCACATGGGTTGCTTGTTTTCTAATTAAGCCACGCATGCTATGGCATCTTATCAGCTGCGAGTATGTGCGTGCAAAATACCACGCTGCTTCCCACAGCTTAATCGGATGCGCATAGCTGTCGATAGTAGAAAGGCCGCCGTGGCTGTATCAAATCCTTACCAACTTTGTCCTTTAAAATGTACGCTGATGCACGTATATAGATAAATTATGCAATAAAACTAAAACGGATCGGATTTCTACAGCAAGAATTTAATGCAGGGCCTTAGATGGCGCTGAGACGCGGATAGACGCTTTGTGTAAGGCAGCGTTTTTAGTAAGGCTGGAAACCCGACGGATGTCCCGGGTTAAGTTCGTCTTTGCTAGATGGATTCGACAACATTTTATGCCAAGAACACAACTACGGCAATGAATTATTATCACAAATCATTTGTCAATAGGTAAGCCAATATAAGAGATCGACTCGAGAATTGTCCGCTAATCATTCAAGCGTTTTTGCATTTACGTTACACAAGACGCACGTAGCCGCCAAAGGCTCTAGAACAATGACTGTTGTTTCTAATAAGCGCATTCACACGGTTGTTTCTCTGTCCGTAAAAGGAAGGAAAAAGGAAAAAGACTGATGAAGCAGTAAAATGAAATCTGGTAGCTGTTTAGCTTGTTGCATCAACTGTACATAAAAAGGCATTGTCTTACATCATCGCTCTGCGCCACGGCAAACAAGGCAACAACTACACCGGACAGGGCATTCAGGCTCAGACAAACTTCGGCGGGCTGTCTGTTGACGCGGACAGCATTCATCCGCTATCATTTAAATCAGAAAAAAAAAACTTTCTAGAAAAAAAACAAACCTATCGCGGCCGAAAGCTGCATTGTTTTCGAAATTTGAGCAAAGATCAAGTTTTGCGCTGGCCGAACCTACATCAAGATTAAAAGCTTACTGCTTTGCCCGGGATCGACACGCTATACTATAGGCCAGCTTTCATGCGACTTCTAAAAAATCCTTCAGGGCTCTACGTTTTGTTTTACTCATTAACCGCTCATAACAGCGATAACATGTTTGAACTGTTGCTAATGTGCGCTAAAACAGTTATGGTGGCGGAAGTTCATTTTCTAATACGCCAAGGGCCTGTCTGACAGTATGCTAAGTTAAAATCAAGGTACTGCACGCAAAGCCGTATTCGGCGTAATGATTTTCTACGAAAAACGCCAATTTGTGAAGAAGCAAAGCTTTTTAACAAGTTGAAGAACTAGAGATTCGTCAGTTGATAAAGTAACTTAACGTTGATTAAGAAACAAAATAAGAATATCTGATGATCTCCGGAGTGGTTCACCTTAGCGCAAAGCGCGTTTTAGAGTGTAGTGACTGGCATGTGTAAGCGTCATATCCGCTCGTTTGAGCGATTAATGCCATATTCAGCTTTTTTGTTATCTTTTTGTATGCGCGAAAAATGCCTAACTCACTGTATTGAAGAACTCGGCCGGTTTAAGTACCGGCTCTCTTTTCTCGAGCACTGCAGCCCACGCCGGCTGTGATGGTAGTCTGGACAAGGCTATCTCTTTGTTTGCGTCTTTGTGATCCTTGTCATTTCCCAAGTTGAAAAAGCTTCCTTTCTGTAATTAAGACATATATGGTTGCAATATTTATAATTAGCTAAGTTGGTGATGAAGCTGCTACTACGAAATTTGCTGTGCTGAGCATTTTAAAAAGCTCAGAATGAATTTTCTGTTGAATGATCATTTCTACCAGTAAAGCCCTAGTCTGATGTTGATATTTTGAGCTTAGTTAGTGATTGTTCGCGCGGAAATTCAGTCGTTAAAGTTTATTTTAATAATCATAATAATAACTGTATATATGCCTCTGTCTAGAGGACGCCCTATCTGAAACCCCTAGCCTTAACGCCTTATGTTAAATTGCCATGTATTAATAAACGTACAAGGTTAGTGGGTTAACATTGATAGACGTTTGTGCACGTTGATATACTTTCTCTTAGCATTCCGCCATATTAACGCACAATGTCTGCTCCAAGATGAGTAAGATGTGGTTGTTTATATACTTTGGAATATTTTTGGTCTTTTCGACTAAAATTACATGCAAGAGATGAAAATAATTTAGTCTGAGCGTAAAGTACGTATCGGAGCCGTTGCATCTCGTCAGAATGTTTTCAATGAAAGCTCTTCAATGAACGTCATTTGAATAGGAAATGCAAGCCAGCTACAGCAAGTGCCCAAAGTTCCTTTAAAGGCTTCACAAATTTTGTTTTTCTTTTACTCACCGATTGAACTTTTTCCTTGGATCCAGCTGACTCCTCTAGACCTGCCCATTTCCTCCAAAAAAAAGATAATACTATCGTGAATATTAAAATTATTGTCCCTATTAGTACAAGTATGACTACATTATGATTCGAAGTTTCCTGTACGTCAGAAAAACTTTTGGCGTCGTCCGAAGGATTAGGTTGTGGCAGTGAGGCTAAGTTGATGTCGTGCCCTGTGGATGCTGGCTGTCTTATGTCCGATATAGAAGGTTTACTCGGAGCTGCATCCAGTTCGTCTTTACGCTCCTGCGGCGAACCGTGGTTAGCTCCTACTATCTTAATGCCGATTTCCATCTTGACCTGGTGGTGTCCATCATCAGCTCGTATATTTATGTACAAGTCATTAGCTCCCATACCTTTGAGACTCTTGGAAAGGAAAACCTCGCCCGTAATCGGATCTACACGAAAATAGCTCGAACCATCACGGAATAACGCGGGCGCCAGACTAAACCGAATTGGATCTCCATCAGGATCAACAGCTCTTACAGCAAACACTCTTTCATCAACATGGTGACTTTCATCAACAATCCAGTCCCGATGTGATGTGAACGACGGCGGGGTATTGTGTACAACACCCGCTCTAACATGGTTTCCTCTTCCAGAGTCGACCCGAGAACGCGCAAAACCTGATTCAACATGCGCTAAATTAGCTAGCCCTGTAAAATAAACAAATATACAACAGAAGTTGGAAATTAGATTTTTTCTAACAATATTGACTCTCGATTTAGTTGTCAGATCTAGGTGCTTTTTGCTTTTTTCTTCTCCTTATTAGAGTCAAAAAGTTTGCCGCAAACATCACCCAGATTTAATTGACAATATATGGATCAATCATTGGTATACCTGCTGTAAAATAGATTGTACAAATTTGAAAAGATTTACGTCAAAAATTAGAAAAGCATTAGAAGACGCAGAAAAATTGCATGGACTGTTATCTACCATATTTTATGATAGTGTAGCAGAATTATCGAGTCACAAACGACTACACCTTACGACTTAGTTAAAGATCATAGCCTGTTTATTCTAAATGAATATAGTAGGGAGAAAAACCTAAATATGGACTAAAAAACGCCTAGGACTATAAACAGAAAAAAGTCATTAAAACGTATGTTCATTTCACGGCGGCAATATCAGTTTTGATATAGCTGGCCTACCTAATCACAGGATTTCAAAGCCGAAAAGAACATACAATTGTATTTTGATTTAAAGTGCACTGAAATTAAGTGAGCCATCTTTTTGACAGACGAGGAGGTTCCACTGAATGAGGTTCAAAGGCACACTTTGCTTGAGTGTGCTATTGGGTTGACCATCTATGCAAAGTGTCTGGTGACCCTAGACCCATTAACAATTCGAGTAGTCGCCTTTTATGATACAAATAGGCAACTTGGTTTCCGTGTTAAACACGTAAGCAACATGCATATTTAATGAATTAAACTAGATTACACATAAACCTGGATATGATTATTTAAATCCATATTTTAAAGACATTTCAAGATTATTATTACTACTACTCTGGGAATACAAGGTAACCACTACCAACTTGATGATAAATGCACAGGTTCTCTAACTTATGAAAAGCTCTGAGCCTGTACAGTGAAGATATATTGAAACCCTCGGATAAGTATACAATGGAATCTCATAGATATACAATAAAATATAAATTAGTAAAAAGACAAATCTGTGTCTCAAACCTGGTTAGTGCGATAAGCAGAGCTGCTACTGGTATGATGAAATCGACTTTCATCGAAAGTTAAGGCGGTAATCTCGAATGTGCGAACATTTTAAATACATGCCAGAATGTGGTTTCCTCAACCCTTTGCTGTGAATACTATCTACTTAATACATATTACCACAAAATATTAGCTAATGTCAAGCCTTAAAAGCCTGAAGCTTAGCGGAAACATATCCCACTTTGCGGACCAGACCAGCAACCTCTAACTGCTCAGATTAATCGTTCGGACATGGTGTCAAAATACCACCAAGCAAACATCTTGTTTCAAAAATGACTTAGAACAGTCATAACATGCATGTCTGCTGGTCTCGCTTATTCTAAAAAGACCAGAGTTATTGACTTAAAATTTACTACTCACAGTTCCACCACTACGCATTCGCTTGTCTCTGTAGTTATATCTTCAGATTTGCCCCCAGTATCTTCCATTAGGATTCGCTGACTGATAATAGGCCGATTATTGCATCGTTAACCAGGATATCATCCAAATCCTCGTCCTCATCGTTATGTTCCACGACATCGCGTTAGCAGTCTGTTACATTTTCACCTTTTGTGTCACCCTTACTTTTGCTGGACTCACTTTCTTGGCCCACTTGCATCATTTCGTATCTCAACACCTATTCAAGCTATCATTTGTTCTGTTTTTTTATACTCCGTTTTGTATCTCTTTTCTTTTACATTTTACTTTATTGTTGCCCCCGTCCGTCTACTAGTTTTGACTTCTACAATACCTTTTGATTCAATCCAGCGTGAATATGTTTGCGGATTAGTGAATGCGTAATTAAGACACTACTTTCAAGTTGTTCTAGGCGTCATAAATATTATTGGCCTCTTGAGTTGGTGCTACGCTCTCAAGAGCTTCGGATCGTATGGATAAAACGTCTCTATGCACATTCTCCTCCAAGGTATGTCGGGCATCTTTTAAAAATATACGCTCTCACTATGAACAAAAACAGGCATGAAATACCGCAAAAGAAGAACTTCACACCCTATGATCTCGTCCATGTTACCACCAAAGCCACTCCGGCGAGCATATTGAACACGCTGATGCTGGTTAACATCAGGCCACATTCTAGGACAATTTTATCGGCTTCAAACGTTACGCTTTATATATAACACTTGCTACAAGGCAGCAAAGCAAATAGCTTTGCGCCGAAAAAGCTAATGTTTCTTTAACAGGGATACGTTTGGAAGCATTTTGATATTAATGCGATGTTCACACACTGCATGGTTATTTTCAAATAGTAATTTTCTGAATACTTTCTTTTACGGCAAATGAACATTTTCTACTTTAAAAGAGCAAAAATATTTAATGGTGTATATCTCGAAGGTTTCGCACAAATTCTTGGTTGATATAGGTGCTACTGTAGTCCGCGCATCGAAATCTACTTGCCAGATGATGTTGCCCTATTGGCGTGAAAATTGGCATTAGATATAGCCGTGGATCAGCTGTATTTCAAATCACTGGGCTATTAGCTCCATAATTCAGGTGGTTTGTATATCAAAGCGTAAATTCTGTTGTTGTTGCTGTTATCGAAAAGCATTAGAACATCCAACACCAATTATGATAGTAATAAAAACTATGGTTTAAATTGTAGTACTAATTTACTGGTAGGCTAGAGATATTAGTCCCTGATTTATCCAACATAATACATTACAATATGATAAATTTCTACAATATTGACCCATTCTATCGGTTAGCTACCTTCTCTCCAAAAGTATGCACCACAATACAGTACTTACGCGACCAGTCTAACGGAATCAAGCATAAGTAAATATTAACACATCTACCCTGCCATAGCCTATATATATATATGCTGGATATCGTTAGATTACCTCACATATCCCAGAAATAAATAAGCATACACGTTGCATCACGGGTACATACTGTACTCCCAAACTGCGTAACAAACATTAGATGACTTCACAAATGATGTTCGTAGGTACGTTTGTAGGTGTACTGTAAAAATAAACAAATTTTTTTAGCTTTGTCGGTGTTCTGTCATTATAGCTTTTTGTTTAAATGTGCTTAGTACGTACTATTGGAATATGTGGCCCAATAATGAAAAATGAATTAACTTTATTACAAATTTACAGTGGTAATTAATTTAGGCAGTAGAGGACGCAAAGAGTAACATACAATAGTATACAAGAAAAGCTGTCAAAGAAAGCATGCAGCCTGCAGTCGAGTGCACACACGTACGAACCACTGGATTCCTCTATGAAATTCGCCATACATGATAAGTAAGTTATCACACATACCCAGTAACAAATATTGCTCAATATGGATAACGGTCGCACACATAAATAATAACTCATTATCGGCCCCATAAATGAGGATCGTTGTGTTCCAGATTCTTGTACCATATGAGCTCACGGAAACAATCCGATGGCAATGCGTTTCCTTACTTTCTGCAAAAATGTGTGCGTCCAATATGGCTGCAGCCAAGCTTGGTATGTTGACCTGCAGATATGAACACTGATGACCAATCATGAATAACTCTGATGTCAGCTATGACAAATAAGACTAAATATTTTACTCAGACTTGACTCAGACAGAACTTAGCCACCATTGCTAACGGTAAGTGATAGTGCTTTATTTTCAAATTTTCAAAGTGAAGCAGGAACAGCATTAAATAGGTAACGTAGGAAAAATGAGCCTGCAGGGTCCATTACAGAAGACAAACACTATGCGAACCGCAGTTACTCGTTTATAGGCCCCTACAAAAATGATCTAAAATTGATGGCAATCTTCTTTTTAGTCCGTGATTGCCTTTCCGCCTGCATCGTTGGCAAGTGAGAATACCCCAACTGCTACGGAAATTTCCCAAATGACAAAAATTAGGACACAGGTTTTATCGGTACCCCAAAATAGACCATCTGTTCAGATCGAAAACGTAAATTTCAGCCTACAATACTGAGTTTTTATATACAGAACACACGGAGATTTGAATATGCAATCATTTTTACTTATCTTTCTTCTGGTCCATTAAACGGAGTTGAGGGCGCAAAAGAATTACATCAGCTAACTTCCCTTGGTGGTTACTCAAATAAAAGTATTTTGGGACAATAAATGACCAGAACGAACGGTATTTAAGGTTACAGCAGTTTGAGGAATAAGCAATAACTCAAAGTGGCACACCAGTTTCAGACAACGCAGTTCATTAAATGAATCCGAATCGGTACCGGTAGCCACATCATAATAACTGAAGTTTCTAGTATAGAAACGTATTGCATCGTGCTCAATTATCACATTATCTGCCGATGTGTTAGGTATAATCTTAACCGCAAATTTAAAATCTGAAGTTTTTGGTAAGATTCTGATGATATAATATCCGTAAACATATTGGCCTTATACTTAATGTATTCCTTTTGCCCTGCACATGAAATACGTTAACCGATAAAAAAGAAGTAGTTCAACCCTTTATTGTGTGTGCTAATATTTTCTGGCATATTGCATAAAAAGTACTTACAGAGTTACTTAGAAAACAGTTAGTAATACGTAAAAAGCATCTGGAAATCGATTAGCTAGGGACGGAAAGAAGTCAGCTATATAGTTCTGTGTTATGCTATGGATTATGATACCGGTATTACTTCGAATATCACCAGAGTAACCGCTTTACTTACCCAAAAGACTAAGCCAAACATAGTATAAAACACGCAGTAGAAAGTCCATCTTAAACCGGAAGTGCTTTCCTTTTTGCTGAGCTTTAGCGACCGCAGGCTTTAGTTGTTGATTTGTCCCACTTAGTGGCATCTGCTTCAAAATTCTCACTACAAAGGGATCGTTAAGATAATTGAAATTCCCATTGTGACCCCTTGCATATTCTTCCTTTATATATTAAAAGCAAGCTTTTTACAAGTTAACCATCCTGGCAACTGAATTGTCTTTTTTTTTTTGCTAATTCACTGAAGACGCAATACACCAACAATGGTAGAGCACACTAGTATTCCGAAGTATAGAAGCTTATGAAGCACTTTCGCATATTCGTATTAAAGAGTATTTTTAAAAGTTAAAAACAGTTTGCCTGTTGATGATTTTCTTTGTCGCTGATGTGGATCGACTGCTAAAGATGGCGCCTAGTGGCCAGCCGCTAACGACTTATAGCTGGTAAGCGGAACTCATAGCCGATTGGACCGAAATGGCGGCGTCTATAGTTCCGCACGGCTCCACGCCCAAGCAGACTGTCCGATCGTGGTTGCTACTTTTGCTGCTGTTTCTGCCGCCGCCAGGCTTAGTCGCGCGAGGCTCGCTGTCCGCTTCAATTTACTCGCCTGCTCGTCGGGCACTTCGGGTTCGGATTCAACCCCTCATCTCTCCCTGCCAGCGCATTTTGTTCGCGCTATCCGCGTCGCAGGGGCGGTACTGGAGCGCACTTGCAGCCACCGAAGTGCCAGTCAACCCGCGGTCATCACTCGCCCTTTCCCAAGAAGCTGAAACCCAGCTCGATGATGCGGCTGTGACAGCATTGGCTCCTTACTTACTTCACAGTCGGGTAACAAACGATTCTTAACGGAGACCATCAACGACCATCGTCAGTAACTTCAACACAGACACAATCTGACTACCGCTACTACTGCCCTAACTTCAGACGTTACTGCTGCTTGTTCAAACTAATATTTTGCGGTTCTTGTTTTTCTTCAATGGTGCCCCTTTGCTTTAACACGTAAATCCTTCGTATATTTCGCTGTCATTCTATTCTGTTCCTTTCATTTTCCTTTCGGACTATCTCAGAGGCAAGACCGTCGTTGACAGCTAAAACCAAAATAACATATGTGCCCAATATGTACTTTTAGATATTGTCTAACTTTAAAATAATCGTGTATAGCACGCATGTAATTCAGTTTACCTGCTCATTTGTCCTTAAAAAGAAGATTAGATTGACGGCATCTGCACTCTTGCCTTTGTCGTTGTTGATCCTAATTGAGCTTCGCCCGAAGGAACTTCGTGGTTTACTATTGCAATACAACCCAGCAATGCTTTGAACGCCGGAACACCCGTCCCGGCTAGTCAGCAACCATTGAGTGGTTTCAGTAGACGCCAGCTTTAGATGCGAATACGACAAAGAAAATGACTGGGACGTTGCCTCATTAAAAAGCTGTACTTCTCAAAGTAAAATTGGACAAACGGTGATTGTGATTAAATTTCGCTGATGATTATATCGAACTATAGCGATACTTTACTATACATTATCTTATCTGGAAGATTAACATGATAAAAATAATGTTAGTTAAATTGTTTGCTGGCTCTGTTAATATGGAAGGGAATTAAAATGCCTAATTAAGTATCACGCGCTCAGCGGCTACGATTATTAAGAAAAACTAGGCCTTAGAATGCGTGTCATATAAAAAAGCTTGAAAAGATATAATTAATTTGACCCTTGAAATAACCAGTTTCGAGTACTGTATCATAATTTAGCAAAACCTCTTAATTAGGAATGCTTTAATTACAGATATTATTAAAAATGAAGCGTTTCAGAAGATTATGGGGCATTTTTCACTTACAACAGAGCTGTCTTATCAAGTACAACAGCGATGAATGATGAAAATTAATCTTCAACAATTTTTTCAGATTTACAAAACCGAATTCAACTGTGAATCGAACCGTAAGTTGATATTACGAGGTGCCTCTTTTCGGTTCTTTTTTTTTCTTTGTAATAAAAAAGCGATCTATCCTTTCCTTCTGTCTGCGTGATCATCGATTCTTCTCATCAGCGGCGACACATCTGCTTGTCATATAACCATTGAAGAACAATGTTGTTCACTATTAGTGATTGAAATTGGACTGTTATATATCACTGTGTACTGGCTTTCACAATGCTATCTATACGTTTGTGTGACAGAAGCATGATGACCCTTGGAACGCCACGCCAAGTACTTAGTTATTCAAAAAAAACAACTCTATTACAAATACGAGATATATTTTATTATATATCATGAATATAATGAATAATCTCATTACTACATATGAAATTTATGAATCTCCAGTTTCATCAAACATTTGCTAAAAAAAGAAAATATTCTGGTTTTTCTATCGGAATGCTCGAACTTAGCGGATCTAGCTAATCTTGTACTCTGTGAATTAAGGTTAAAAATATGCCATCATAATGTCACTGCAGAATTTCAACGCTATAGAAGAACTGCAGCTTCTATAGAAGAAGCGTTAACAATTTTATCCAAGTAAAGATTACCGCAAGCAAGCAAGTTGAAAGCCAAGTATTCTCATTCCTCGAATAATGTTAGATTTAAACAGGCGTCCATGCAAAGTCATCAGCCTCTTGTGCGACAGGCGTTTGCAATGGTTCTTCACAAATCACATGGCCAAATATACGATTTCGGTGGCTTATATCTCCGGGCTAGTGATCACACACGGAACAATTTTTATCACTTTCTCTCGGGCAGCACGTAGCCTTGCTCTCCTCAAGCAGCAAAAAGCAAATTGTTGAATGGCATCCTATAAGTCAATAAAAAATTAAAACATTATAAAAAAATCGAAAAAATATTACTAATAACGTACATGCGATATAATAATTATCGCTTAATATGACGAAAGTTAATTGGTAGCTTAACACTCTTCCCTTTCAATATGCTGCAACTAATTTTTCCTTATGCTTTCTTCGTCTTTTTCTTTAGCTATTATATAATGTTTAATGATTTTATGTATTTGCGCTTACACATGTTTCAATTTTTTCGTTGGACTTTGTCAACAAAAGTTTAGTAACTAACTTATAAGCACGTTGGGAGAAACGCACGTGGGAAGACAGTTTTATAATGTTCACAGTACTTACAGCAGAGTGAGTACGATTCCAGACTTATAACCTAGCAATTTCCGTTGGCGACCCTTCTGTCAAGCCTAAAATTTACTCCAGGGCCCTCATACCATCCCTATGACAGTGACTAAGTTTTTGTCTATAAATATAGAAAATATGAAAGGTGGTTTCTTTCTACGGCAGTAGCCCGAAGCACTTAACGGCAGTACTGGATATAAAATTCGAAATATTTACTTTAGTACCAGGTTACTTTGCAACCGTGCTTGACAAGCGTAAATGTTGATTACACTTCTAGCCCATTATTTTCCGAATTGTTAGTTATGAAAACAAAAGCAATAAGTCGCAGAAATATTTACTTATTTATTTATGGTTGAGCTGTTGCCTTTGAAAAAATAGGAACATGTTCTTAGGCCGACGCCCCGCTCGCAAATTCTATCAAAAATTTTCATACAGATAACCATATCCCACCTTTCTGCGCTGAGCACATGCCATCAGTATTTTCACTACCACTACCATAGTCTCCACTGCTGAAATAACTCCTACAACACCGGCAATTACTTTTACAACTAAAACTATATTGGAACCTGCCGCCTCTACTGTATTGTCAATTACTTCTACAAAGCACGTTGAAGATGTAGCAGAAACTAATGGTGATTCCTCAATAGCAACTAGCAGAGGATTCATTGTGGGCACCTAAAGTATGCTTTTGCGAGCTGAAATAGCCGTATACTACAAAATGCGTATTACTAAACTGTGCCCAGAAAAAAGGAAAGAGTAATAGAAATTACTGCTCTAGCTAAGTACGTGGGGCACCTCGGCCCTGATGTTGTTTCAAATCCTAGTACATGGCTTCATCCAAATTCAACTATGGAATACTACAACAGCTATTTCGTATGATTCAGCTCCCTCTAATACACAAGTATGAAAAAACTGAAGATTTTACTATTAAAAATCATGAATATACTAACTTTAGCTTGCCTCAATATGCGGAATCAATATCAATTGAAACTCACTCTGATGTATATAAGTATGAGAAAATAACAGAACTTGCCCAAAACACCCATGAATCTTGGGAATTAACTAAATGAAATCGATGATTTTAGTTTGCGCCTATATGGACGATCAGCACCTACTAAAAATTCAACACATGAGTGGTGGAAGCTAGGTGTATCGTCAGTGCACTCCGCGCATGGCTGTGTTCTACTACATTAAGTAGAAGATAAACGTATTGCTTTAAACAGACTGTTAGTTCAAATTTTTATTTAATCATGCTATCATAATGATCATGTATTCTCCTTGCATTTCTTTTTCGAGTACTTCAGTTTTGATAAAAACAACTTGTTACAACTTACTGTGTTGTAACACGTGAATACCTTTCTCTGTACTTTCATATACGCAAGTCGTTTGCATAAATCGATGCTTACCTTGAAGAAATGTATATATATATATATATATATATATATATATATATATATATATATTGATCTGCTTACACATAAACGTAGAAAATATTTCTTTTCCTATAAATTATGAATATGTGTTTGAATTGTTAATATATTAAGACAATGTTAGTAAATTGGTGTCTGTGTATATTCGCTTTAATCAGCTATATGCACAAAAAGCGAGGGTACCTGGGGAGAAGTTATTAGCCTCATCGGAAAAAGTAAAAGGGAAGCGGTGCAAGTGTAAGATCAGATTTCGTATTCGAAACCCATGTTTCATTGTTAAAGCATTAACACTATTACGGTACACCGTAGTTGCAGCTAATCAACAACAAAAACTTGAGTGTCAACAAACAAGGAGGCTTCGCTAGCAGCCATACTCCTAATTAGCTGCTCCACTTCTATTGTGGTTGACCTTCTCAAACTTCACAGTGGCGTGTTTCGCGTATGTATGATCGCTATATATTTAGCTAGCCAACTACTTGGTTTCTACTGGATTACCTTAAAACTTTTTGATTATGAGATGTTATCCATCTTTATGAGAGCTACTGACTGCTACGAAACTCAGCATAGTCTTCTATTAAAATATTTCTTTTAACGAGAACGAGTCTTAGGAATGGTTGTTTTTCAAATGTATGGCAGCTATTATTTTTCAGCTAAAAAATGTCTCACTCGCCATTCCAGGTTGGCTTGTAAATGCCGAGATACGCGTCCAAACCAAGTGGCTAACACAGAAGCAAACTTTTTAATCTGCGCTGCATGCGATACTATGCCGTACACTCCGATATACCTATAAGACTTTGGTGTCGGGGGGTAGCCTTTAGAATGACGTGATACTTATTTCATATTGCGTATAAAACCGCATTATACCTAATGTAACGTTATAATATATTCAACACGAATTATATTACAGATGGCACGAGAGTTGTGTATTATGGGTAGCAATGAGTTTTTTTTGTGAGGAAGGTCTAGCTTCATTTGTGGAAGCTGTTTTAACACGTTGTCTAACCTGCGTATATGATACCAATATTGCAGTTAGTGCTTTCGGCTGTTAAGCTGGGCTGATGTAATGCCAAGTGGGGCATACGTTCATAGCAATGTAAAAGACCGATAAAAACCAATTAGTTTGTGATTTTTCGCAAACGAAAGATAACTCATTAATGCAGAGGTCATTTTCGTTACTAACTTTTCATAGCAAGTATCTTAATAAAATTTTAACATTATTTTCAGATAAAATCTTTTAGCTCCGCGCACATTGCAAATAAACGCATTATCAAACAAAGTGACTTTTTCTCAGCAAATAAATAGCAAACAAATAAAAAGAATGTTACCAGCGTAAAATTTGCAAATCCTTTAATTACAGGAAGTTGAAGAAGGGGGAAAAGTAAATAGGGCTAGCTCTTTATTATAGATAAAAAAAAAAAACGCAATTTTTTTATATAAAAGCAAACTTAGCTAACATAAGAATTAGCGTAAATCTTACAACATGTAAAGGTAACTCGGAAGACAAAACAAAATTATTGCCTATCTTGGCCAAATAGGTAGTATACAAGACTAAAAGAACTTTTGAGGTTTGATCGCCTAAAGCTCAGATAAAAAGGTATTCCCAAGAGACATTTGGTATACTTGTCTCATAGATCATAGTTTTAATTAATATAAAGTCAACAGGATCAAATGATACAATGTACCTGATAGTAAATCGTATAGATACTTCACGATTACATCTTTGGTGATACATATGTACTTCTTCTGACCGCTACAGGTTCATTGAGTGGTAATCCATATAAAATCACAATTTCAATAAATTTTTTAAAATAGATTTTCAATAAATAATTAAAACAAGACAAGTATATATATATTTTTTTTTCTGGTAAATATATATGACATATTCAAGCGCATAAATACTATAAAATGATATGTAACTATAAAAAATTCTAAAAATGACACAGATATACTCTACTTTGGAATGAAGTTCATAAAGGTTTTTCTGTTACACCCCAGTTTAAATATTGCATTTGAAACTTTTCCAGTTTTAAAAATCATTGGTTTTGGGACAATTGTCAACATACTGGAAAAGTGCGTCCTATGCGAGTGTCCTTACCGAGTTTTCAACTTAAATTATCGTAGGTGCCAAGTGAAAAAATTATACTAATACAATGTCAAGTTTGCTTACAAAAATTTACATTCGGAAAACGATCTACCTAATATCCATCGCAGATAATCAAACCAATGTGTCGATCCGCATTATTATTAACCGTATATTGCAAGGCGTGTCCACAATGGTTCGGTCTGATATAATATGCCTATCGATTATCACTCAATACTAATCAGACAAGCTTCTGAGATTGCTGCGGTACTGTGCCGGTAATACATTTCAGCGCTGAGCATATAAAACTTTCTATAAAGCACGTGGTTAGCTGAAGTGGAATGGTATACATTTAATGTTTTGATCTGAAATCCAGTACTAATTCAGTACGGAGCGAAGAGTGGCCATTACCGCTGCGGTAGCGGAAGCGTTTGCCTGATACTAACCCAACCGTCCTTGTAAATGAAAATGAAACAATGTTAATTGACACCTGGCCTTATACTTCACTATCTCCGTGAGTGAAAGTCGATGCTTATAAACTAATCCTCTGATTCATAGTGCTTCATATTCTTTCATCCCCATATTATTCTGCGTATTAATTTTACGAGTCTTTACAAAAGCATTATGAGTACCAAGCTTGCCAGCAACGCACACCAAAAGTTTGTTTATGCATGCTTAAAATGCCTGCTTATATATATAGTTATATTATAGATCACGTAAAAATACGAAAATCTGTTATAGAATTGTCAATTTATTCTCGCTAATTTTATACAATAAAAAAAGTAATATTATTCAGAAGATAATAAAAGAAGTGTTATTGAAAATATTTATTGCGAATCAGGAGACAGGTTTGCTCGAACTACATCAAACCACCTAAATGCTGTCTTTATCCAGAGTTTGAAGAACGTACCTACAACTCGTATCCAATATATCACTGATAACGATTCCCAAATTAGCTCAGAAATTACAGTAACGAATAAACTGAATTATGCCATCAAGCTCTTCACCATAGTTTCTAGATACACATATTTGTACAGCATACATATGAGCCATTCGATGTTTCGTTGACACACCGAGTGGCCCTTTTTTGAATGAAATTAGTCCTGAAAACGTGACAGCAGCGAAATTTGTTTAAAAAGTAGACTCATATTACGGTATCATTGTTAAATGAATTGTACCAGTGAACCCTATTCTATAGGAGCCAATATCAAATAAAAGGGCGTTGTAAAAGTAACATTTAAATTGACTTGCACACGAAATATCATCAAATACGACATCAGGCAAGTGACTATTCGGCGTTAACGGCCTAACAAATATGAATTTGCAAAGCAAAACAAACAGATGGGGGCGATCGATAGGGCACGCCACCTACATTGGCATACACTAAATAAAGTGGGCCATGTGTTTTGACGGGCATACGCTCATTTGCTATTTACAATATTTGACTAAAGCCAGCATCTTCCGTATCAAAACAACGAATTCGTTTCGGCAAACGAAAGTGCCTTGGTTTTGGAATGTGGCAAAAATTAAAGATAGCGCTGGACGGATGAGGATGAAAAACTTTCTTTTTGGTTGAAATCGATGATCTCTGTTAATATCAGCTTTCATATGTGAAAACCTTGATGAGCCAAACCAAATGATTCTTGGTAAAATCTGGATTTAAAGGGCTCCGAAGGTTATTATTCACCCGTTCTAGTTCTTCGCAGCCGTCCTAGAGAGCGAAGTACCAATGGCCAATGGGGTCGTCTAGATAAGCTTCAGCGGTTAGACTTTTCGCACTTTTTTCACCTTTTGAACTTTTGGCCATGTTCTATTTGTGCTACATTTGGCATGTCATCAGCTTAAACTTTGACTTCATTAGAATTTTCTATACATAGCGTATTTAAGCAAAATCCACAGTGAGTTTACATCTACTAGTATTGCTCGATGCACGATTTCTGATAAGTTATTTGCGGAAAAAAAAATGAATATTTTGAAAATGACTAGTTCGTTGTTTTAGGCCTCGAATTGAAATTGAGATGGCAGGGGATAGTTATTATATTAAATAAGCATGACCGTCAGGAACGGCACTTCGGGAACGCACAAGAAAGATTGTTATATCTGTTTATCTGTTTTTATTTAAATACAATTTTAGAACGAAGGCGTAGGGGAAAATCTCAGTTTGAGTGCTATATCCTACATGTTGCCTTAGTTAAAACGTAATTAGTGACAAGGGAACTAGCAACTTTACATATAGCCAGGCGTGTTAAATACGACGTCCGTAATATACACAGGAACCCTATATATATATATATATATATATATATATATATATATATATATATATACACCACACTGATGTCGTTGTCTTCAAATCATCTTGCACATTTTTTTAATTTTTGGGCTATAGGGAACATTCACACTGCGCAGGCTAATCTATGCACAATTTCTATGTTAAGTTAAAAAAAAAACGACCAAGTCGTTCATAGATTACAAATCGAATTAGCAAGAGGTTATGTGAGAAATGGAACAGTCTAAAAATACGAGATGCACATCATTGTGCTATTCATTGAAAAACAAAATACACACTGGCCGAATCATAGTTATCTCTAGCTTTTCTGTTATGGAGTTTAACGATACTTAGGTAATATTTAAGGTTGGATTCAGATTAGCCAATGTGACGTTACCCCACGCTCCACATACGATGAAACATACAGAGAGCGTTCGTTCGGCGGCCTAACAAAAAAGTTGTCCGCCACTGTGTCACAAAATCTGCACCTCGATAACGGCAAAAACCTTTCACTAAAATTCCTTCGCTGTCCAGAAGACTGCGGAAATTTTACTTGGCTGAAATAAAGGAAATAACACACTAGCCCGTCACAGAGGCAACCAAGTAAACAGAGACACGCCAGTCGTCCTTTCATGGCAGCGTCTGCTTGCGCATTGCAAGACTTGATCTAGTAAAAACGAAATAATTGAAGCTGGAATCTCTCGGTCATTTTGCATAGTTATCGGTTTAGAAAATATACAATGTTTAACAGCGCCTCAAATTAGAAAACTAAAACAACTACGGGGATGCAAGTACACCTTCACTTCAGCAGGTTCCGTAACCCAGAATTCTAAATACGCAGTATTTCAGGTCTCAGGTTCACTCATTGAAGCATTTAAAGAACTTAGTCAACGAAGAATATTTTTTAGAGGAACTTTGAGCGCCAAAATTTTGTTCACGTTGTAAAGGTTAACTTTATGAAAAAAAAATACAGGACAAAAAGTGCACCGACCGTGAGAGTTAAAACGTGTGCATATAACAGACTATGCTAGAACAGTTAGGTATTTTGTATGTTCAGCCGGTACAAGCTACTTTAATATGTGAGCTCTTCACAACAGAAAACTTTTTTTTTTTTACTTTTGCAAATGAGATTTCTCATTAATCTTTATAGTATAAAAAAATTGCTAGGTTAAACAATTGCAGCGGTTTAGTTTGTCTAATTATCTCTACCCCTTTTGTTCAGGTAACCATGGATAGCAATATGCAAATGTGTTGCAACAGTTAGCTCCTTCCTTTAAATATTTGGATTCTCTTCTGAGCGCAGTCTTGGACCTGGCCGATGTTTTTATATTCATTCTTTTTCCACAAATATCGCGCGTTATGCCCACAAATTCGAGCACTTACTGTGATATCTACAGATAGCTTAGTTGAAAAACTGACTACTTCTTGAATTCGGTCCTAGATTCGGCCGAACAAATGTTTTTACCCGCTACAACAGGATTCTCAGCATTTCAGCATTTCTGTTGGCGATTAGAATATATTAAATGAGTAACGGAGTGTTAAATTTACCCCTTGATCTCTGATCATAATGGAATGGCTTTAAAGAATTATTTTAAAGCAAAGAACACTCATACTGAATAGAATTTTCCAATGTTTGACTTATTACTACTAGTTATTTTGCTAACTTGGAATAGATATCAAAGGAAAAGGCAAACTTTCCCTTAAGTGATATTTTTCAAGCCATCTTTCTATGAATTTCAACTTTTAATTAAAAATTAACTATCGGGGCTTTATAATTTACTTGGATAAAAACTTCGTCTACTGAGCTTCTACCCCTCTAGACTTTGCCTCTAGATTCAAAGCATTTTCTATACTTTTTTTTGCAAAAAGATGCATAAAATTCGAATTGTTTTTTTTTTTTTAATTTTATGCTTAACGATGCAGTTTTTGGGAACTTCTAATTATGACTTACTATAAGGTTACTTTATTCCATCTGTAAAGTTTTGTTTGCCATTCCTTTTTCTTCAATGGAATAAATTTACTTCCTTTGACTGTGCAGTGTACCTTTTCTATTCGAGATAGAGTAACGCGAGTGCAAGTTACCTTGGCATCATTATAATTAATTTGTGTTATTATGTGATGTAGTCATAGGCTATGGGTGACGCTTCTCGACTTTAAAAGATGTGACCTTCACCTTTTTACTTTTCACTGAAATATGTTCATTTAACTAATGGTTCACGAAGCTGGTAGGCTTGCACAGCAGACCCCGTCATTGACAAGTACAATATCAATACCGTACACGTCAGCCAGCTCAGCCACGAAGTGACGATCGGCTATGGGATCCAAGTTTGCTCTGAAAGAGTCGACGATGCGTCACAGGTTAAATAGACCTAATTGTAAATACGACAGGGCGAATAGCTCGTGCGGCAAGACGACTTTATAAAGATTTAAACGTAAATTATTATGTAACTAAAGGAACATTAACACTGTAACTGCGAGAAGAAACTAACCATACACTTTCACCGAATGAATTTATATATGTACATATATCTATGGTGTAGGGCAAATGTCTCTTGATAACTGTATAGTTCTCATCTCAGAAGTAGAGACTTCCAAGTGACTTCTCAAACTGTCAAATCTTAATCTAATCCACCTTATATAAAAACATGTTTAATATAATAATATTTAAGTAAAGATGTGTTATGTCGTCTTTATTTTGGTACCTTCGCATGTGCCCTGCTGTAAACACTCTTGAGGGAGAGGCTTCGGCAGCGTACAATTCCTAGAATATCACCGGAAAAGTATTTTCAGTGAAAATTCCAAGTAGAATTTTTATTCACGGAGCCATTCCCACTGTAAATTCAACCTCTTTATTTGCTAATTATTTTTAACCTTGAACAATTGCAATTTTGAACGCTTGTTAAAAAAGCTATGTGTCTACTATATTGTTTAAACAAATCCACCGTCCCCGTTAGCATCAGGGCTGAAAGGCTCCAGCTCTTGCGGCACGGGTAAATTTCATATGTATATTTAAATAAATATTTTTTCAAATATGTATATATAGAAATTCCGGCGCGGTAGAGTCTGAAACACAATTGATACTATCAGAATATTTATTTTCGTTTACTGATATTTGCTTCACAAATATTCGTACTCTAAAGGTGTCAATAGTAATAAGCAGGTCTGTGTTCTTTGAATAAATTAAAAGCTTGTCTACTATAAAAAGCGGTCTCACCTTGAAAAGCTGTGTATTTTGAGCAGCAAAAAATGTTGTGAACCAACTTTCATCAGCCTCGCTTTCTTTTCCCGGTGGTTGTGCTTTTGATCTGGAAGTATGTGCCAACACAAGAGAGGGTCTCCATTTGTTAATTTACACTTTGATTGCTATAAACGTTTTACCAACTTGTTTCTATATGAAATCATGTTATAATACTGACAGAAATCAAAAGACATACGTGGGACGCTTACGTCCCCAGCGAGTGAAAGAATCAGCGCTATTGATCTTAGAGTGATCATTGTTGATCGCATTTGGGTGAAAAGTTGCGTCCACCACTAGAAACTACATTTGGAATAATTCATACTTCGCGTCTGTCACAGAAGTCTAAAATTTGTAAAGCAATGTGTTGTATCATAAATACATTTCACATTTCGGGGATTGTCTCCTAACAATAATGGCCATGTTCATCAGTCCCTTTAATAGCTAGGACGTTTCTCGTTTACTTCAACTCTTGATTTAATTACCTAAGCTGACTGAGATGCGAAAATCTCAAACGATCAGCAACGTTCGTTTCGAGAAGGCTGTGATGTCGAAGTTTTGAGGCGCGAACATTTTGCTGGTCGATGTACAGGTCAAATAGCGACAATTTTGACTCGAATATTTTTTCCGTCGTACACGCCACATAGGATGAAAGATTCGCAATCCTGGAAAAACCATAAAGAATAGAAACAACCGATACAAGCTTCCACACTTAATTAAGGATTTAGTTGAGCCGCGTTTTGTAAAATTTTCTATTTACCAAACATCAACTACTAAATATCCAGTGTCTTGTATTTGAGTGGTCGAACTGGGCTAATTTTTTAAGCCAACAGAGTCTCATTCTGGAGAGATTAGCGTGAAAGATGGCCGAGTAGTGAAATGTTTTTTTCCTAGAAGAAGAACTTGGCCATAGACCAGCAACAAGTTGCTCCTCATTTACTATCATCAAGTTCAAAAACAAGGCTGCATCATCATTTATAAACATCGCCACGGCCGCCAGCATCGTTCACGCTAATATATCATCAGTGTAAAAACCAAGCCAAATGAAGAAGTGCGCTCAATTTATATTGCATGAATAAGCGTATTCGACGTGTACTCTATAACAAACTGTATTTAGACTATATTGTGGGAAAAGCTATTAGGTGAAATAAAATATGCTTACCAGTAAACCAGGCTTATTATGCGCATTAATTGCATAAAAAGGCTCGCTTTAAGTTATAGTTCTGTTCTTAAAAATAGCATCCAGTAGATAAAATAAAAGCTACTCTAGAAGGTACGTCTTAGACCTGTCGCAAGTCGTGTTTTCTACGTAATTATTCAAAAGCAAAGGAAGTTTTCTTGCATGAAATGAATACTCAAAAAAGACTGAGTTACCCCATACTGCCCCTTTACAACTTACCCCTCTATATCCGCAATATTAACATAAAACTGTGGAGGACAAAGTTTGGAGCATCGTTCAACGTTCGGGTGAACGTGCGCCACCAGCGTAGATGTGCAGTAGACTCGAAAACACACAACGCCTATTAAAAGCCATCACGATTAGTTTAGGTCAATTTAATATCAAGCCTTAACATACAAACTATATGCACATTTGTGTGCTGCATAATTTCGTCGCAACTCACTCTAACAATCAGCCCACAAATACACAAAATAACTAAACGGTATAATAACAGTTATTATTATTTGGACGCCGGCATATACGAACACGACAACGGCTCAGGGAAGGATCATCCGATGAATATACACAATACCACCAACAACAACAACAACAACAACAACGAACTATAATCATCTTCTGATTGCCAGGTTATCACTAGGTTATCTTTCAAGGTTTAGGTTTTTGAGTATGCCATTTTGCGCAATTTGTACCTATGTGAAAAGTAGTTCTTTATGCTTTCATAATTAGACCTCGTCAACGCTGACATAAAAAATCTATTTACAGTCTTTGCTATTTTTTTCATGATGGAAATGAACAGTAGACTGACGTACACACATCGTCTAGTAGAAATATAGGAAAAAAATTATGGTTTGGGCAGTTTGTGTTTTTGCCCAAACCACTAGCAAACAATGGTCGCTCCAACGACCTGTATCTGCCAGTGATGAATTAACATTGGATGTTTTTTTATCTCACCAGGACTGAATACGGCCTTACGGAAACAATTTTTATGAGTGGATTTTCTGATCGAGACACCGGACATTCATTTTGAATTATTTTATAAATGGTATAACACAACTGAAAATTTAATTCAGACGGAAAAGGTTATGTTAGATGGCAGTTTATACCCAACTGCTCAATTCGTTTCGACGAAAGTTTCGTGAATGCAAAATAGTCATCTCCCTTTATGCGTACCCTGTAAAAAAATTCTCGTCACAGTTGGCCTAGGCCAAATCATATACGCGTAAACGTACCAATAGGAGGCTGCGAGAAAAAAAGGATTCTTTTTCGTAGGAGAGCGAATCGCCATAGAGCGAACACCTGGAATTCAGTAGAGCCCACACGTCAGAAAACCAACGTTGTATTTTGGTGGAATGAAGACAACCACCATTAACAGACATGCCCAAACCAAAGACAGCCTCTTTTTAAAAACAGTTTTAACGAATTTAAAAAAAATGTGTATTTTTCCGTGTCTTTTTGCCAATATTCTTGTCACAAGCTCATTGACCTTGGCACAATCGACGTTGTTTCTGTTATTTGCAAGTAGGAGCGAACTAAAAGCAGGTAATCTGTACTGTCATAACTTTTTTCTACTACAGGAAAACGCTGCTGTTCAGGTCAGTCAAGTGTACGAAATATCGTTGCACTTTTCTTAACATTGATGAGAACTAAGCTTTTAAATAAAACAAAATAACTTAATATACAAACAATTTGCGAGAGACTATGTATAGCGGGTAATATTTATCACCTGCTGCACTCGTCCGACGCCAAACGTCGAGAGCACACGAGTTAGCACCACCGCTTTAAAAGCCCGGAAAGAGACAATCTCTTAGGAAGCGCACTAAAGAAGTTATTTTCAGTTGGAAAGTTTCACAATTCCCCAATCAAAAATGAAAACAACAGCTTCTCGCAGGTCACCGGCAAATTCTGTACATCTAGATTCCTTATTATGCGCAACGCCTTATCATGATGTATACTTATTGCGACCGTGCTATGAGAATTATGGTTCTAAATCGTTCGCCTGGAAAAGATGTCACGATACTAAATTAAGTACCCGTTCGGCTTAACGAATAGCGTGTCTCGTCTCCTTCTATAAACAGATATAAAGAACAGATGGGTTCTACGTGCACATCTCGTAGATAATTGAACTAAGCAGCTAGCCGTACGGATAAACCGGGACGATAAATAGTATGGATACAGCAAACGAGTTGGAGTAACCGTAACGCATATTGTATAGAATTATGGTCGTTTATTTATTATAGTGTCGTTCAAGGTTTTTTGCCACAGTATATGCAATTATGTTATCATGTTCTTATCTGTCCGGAAGAAATATTATTATATTTGTTCTTATGTGAAATTTCTGAGCTGCGGGTATTAATAGCATTAATAAAACAACACATACATTGATCGTGACGAAGGTGGATTTTCGCAATTATGTGTCTATGCATTAAGTGAAAAGGCGTATACAGCCAGCTGCAAGGACAGGACACAACCGGCCAGAGAAAATATCTAGCTGTTATAAGTGAATCCGACAAACTTCGAAGTTGAATAATTTATGAACTCTGCGCTGCAAGCAGACGAAATTCGACTGATAAGTATTCCAATCCTTTAAAAATGAGTTACAAAAGAATAGTTTACCCCTTAGGGGAAATGAGTTTAGAAGGAAAAACATCCTTAAAAATAAAAGTTTCGCGGTCTAGTTTTTTTTTCACTCGAAAGCTATAGCAGTGCAGAAATTCATCGAAGATTATAAGACATTAGGCAAGAAGGCTTTAACCGAAAGCAAAATACGTATATGGTGCAAACGTTCTAAACATGGAGACTAGAGTGTTCAGGGCTAGCGATGAGGCAGCCAGATAAGAGGATTTGCCCCTTCAGGACAATAATACATTGCCGCAATAGAGGAGGCTTCTCACGAAAGCTTATGTCTAAGGACTTTGTCAGTTAAAACTGGCGTTCAAAATGTAACAGAATTATAACCCATATACTGCAAAACGAATCTGAGTGAAAAATGGGTCCTCCGTAAATTTAGTTCAGGCCAATTGGAAATGCATATGGTCACTTCCACATAAAAATCGCAAAACTTTAATCGTCAAAAAACTTGCCTATAGCATACTATCTGAGAGGGATCATCGTACAGTCTCTATTGCGCGTTGAGAGAATGGCAGACAGAGTAACAGGGGAGAGAATGGCGTTGCCCTAAAGAGGTACCGTGTTTGATGATAATAGCAAAAATGTTCGAACATAAGAAGATGGAAGTACTTGCAATAGATGTTAGTACGGCAATCGAAACAACGCAGTCTAGTTAGCTGATAGAGACGCCAGTTTTCATCGTAACGTTTCAACTAGTTCCTGGGTCAAACAAAGCAATATCCAACGTTGGCTTCAACTCACCTATTTTCCAGATTCAAGTCCACGTAATTCCAAGTCTTCCACGCCCTAAAAAAGGAACTGCTGGATAATCATGTCCTACTACCGATTGGCTATAAGCCATAGATGCAGAATTTATATATGAAAACGCTAATGGTGGGCGTATGACTGTCCAGAACCTGCCCTAGCGTTGAAACAATTACGTAAAAAATAGCAGACTACTTCCAACACATTAAAGAATCGTTATTCTAGCGCAACTAGCCCAAAGGTTATTCAGTTTCAAAGTTTTCCCGATTCGCTTGTAACAGCCTTACACCGCTCCCATAAAAACCGCAAATATTTACATTGCACTATAACTTCTCATACCGCGAATCATCCGTTTGATATGCCCAGCAGTGCCAACGCTATCGCAGCATTCCAGGACTGCGTAGCAGCACGCCGTACAACACATCGGTCTACACCGTGTTCCAGGAAGAACAAGACGCAGTATTACAAAGGTCAATTGACGGTCGCCGATGTCATAGATCCTTTCTCAAAGTATAGGCAATTAATACCCGAAAGTTTTGCAACATAAGTATATCTTAAATTATTGAAGAACACCCTAGAAGAAAATTCCGTTTTTTTCTTGAGTATTCTAGTAAGATGAAGTATGCTTACGAGAAACAGCGATACAAACCGACTGATTTAAACTATATGATTAATGTAATCTCCTGTATTTCTAGAAAATCTGTTATTTTAGACTAGAGATGTAATTTAAAGAAAAATTGGTATTATAAAAATAAGATTTAGATCTGTTCAGCATTAACCGCGTTGACTTCTGGCAATTTCCAGCAATATTAATAAATGAAAAAACTTAGGCTGAAAATTACTGTGACAAAAAATTTCGACCTTACGCATACTTTACCTTAGCAAACTCGCAGTGCCCAATATATTAGTTTCGAAGCATAAAATATTAAAATAAAAAAAATAAACAAGTTGAGTACTGTACGTTACAAGCTACTCCTTTTTGTAGCGAAAATATCGTTGTTAATGAGTTATAATAGACAAATCGATAAGACTGCTCTATAGGAAACAATATGCTGTATTTCATACTAGTACATGATACACTAGGTTGCAGTAGATTTGCCAAAGCGATATCTGAAGTTCTAGCATATAAAAACTTTCGGTTCACCCTCGATGGACAGAAGTTCTTGTAATTGCCGAAACGACTGAAGTTCACATCTTAATAACCTTATTCTCCGGGCTTTCATAATTTTAAATAGCAAAATATACCCATGATTAAATTAGGCGTTGGGTGAACTAAACTTGATTTACTGGGTTTGGGTTTAAATGTTGTTCCGTTAAAACGGTATAATATTTTACGAAGAAATCGGCATAGATTTCAAATGAAGTGGCTACCAGGTGCAGCACACTTCGTAAATCATCGATATTCTAAAGTGTTTTGGAGTACCAGCTGAGATCTAATCACAGAGGACTGCTTTTCAAATAGAAAGTTACTAACTCTTGTTTTACAATCGAATGAGCCGCATGATGGCATCTCCACGAGAAAGCGTTAGGTCGTCTCATTTGGTGCTGTTAAAAATTCCTTTCCTAAGTAAGCAGCTAGCCGAGCTTGCGACTATAATGGGTGAAAATGCATGCTTAATCGCTTATTTATAGATATAATTATTGATGATCGATATCGATTGTTCATCGAAGATCTATCCTCAAACGATACCTTCAGACTTCAGCTCGCCTAGAGGACAAGTAATGGGTACGTATCGGTTCACATGTGTGTGCAAACCAAAGTAGTTAAATGAATAGAAATCATAAACAGAGAATACTGCTATCCAATTTTCAAATCGTAGGGCACGGATATCACTGCACGCTTTGGTTGACGATTGTGAATACGTTTGTCGGGCATTCTAAACTTGTCTCACTTTCAAATTTCAGAAGATAGGTGTTTTTTTTACTATAAGATGATGAGATAGGCAATGAGATGATAGCAGCTTTATCGATAATAAAGACGCATGAGATAAAGATGGTGCATTTTCTTGTCAGCTAAAGCCAAGACTAGGATATGCGCTGGAGCTGTGCTTTAGCTTAACCCAGTTTAATATCAACTGTGGTATGTATGACAAGAATACGTACATAAATGAAAAGTACAGATAGACTGCGTTGATTTCAAATATTGCTTCCATAATTTTACATTCTTACACTACCCTAGGATTGAATCGAGTACTTATCGGATTTTCCTGACAAAACAAAGGATTCTAATTCCTAACCGCTGCTGTAGTTTCCTCATAATCAATCAGTTAATCTGTTTTATAATATTTAAGGTCTTAAATTTCGATACCCAAAGACAAATAGAAATAAAGATGATTTAAAAAAAGTAAGCAAAGAGATAGGAGGGGGAGGGTTACAGTTATGAGCCAACCTATTTCTAACTGCTGGAATAATAATAATACTTTGTTTTCTTGAAAACTTCTAACTTTAAGACTTTTTAATTTTCAACTATCAATGTTACTATCCTTTACATGTCTCTATAAACGCCGGACTAAGTAGACACGGTAGATGAGACTAACCTTCTCTCCAAAGTAATTGAGGAATTGCGAGAAGCAACCAGCCGGGTGAGTAATTTCCATGACTGCGGGCATATAACTTCCACGATCCACCTACGTCAAATGCGATTATTTGAAGACAACAGAAAAACAAAACTGATTTTCTGTCTCTGGAATAAAATATCGCATGTGTTAAAAAATATTCCAGAACTTATTATTTTAATACATTTGACTATATGCTTCAACCACTTTCTTGATAACGGAATTATTTAATAATAATGTTCAGTAAAATGTTGGTCTTGTTTGTCATGTAAGAGTGGAGTTAGCTATGCCTTGAATGCCGAGCACCATTGTAATAATTGATCCTTTTACCCCATTTTGTTTATTTCAATCTTTTTAACAAGTTGTGACACAAACAGCTGTGAAGGGTAGATCGTACCGTAGAATGCAATTTTTCTTGCAGAACATCATCTGCTTGATACATTCAAAGCGTAATTGCGACATATGTTTAGAGCAAGGTGATTCTTTGGCATAAGTCTGATAAACCTATAAATACGCTTATAAAGAAACACAAGAACACGTAATAATGGGAATGGCAGACCGAGAAGTGGGCGAATATATATATATATATATATATATATATATATATATATAGAATATTATAATTAGAATATTTCAAGCTCTTTTTGGCAGATGTTATAAAGGCATACAAAAAATTCTCACCACATAATATTCTTCATTAAAGAAGTCATGATTAAAAACTGATTGGTTTAGGTTGAGGTGTTGCCAGTGATTACCAATCGTGACATAGCAGAATTAGGAGAAAATCATCGGTTTTTCGTATGTAGTTTTTCTATTCGAATAAAAGAAATAAGAATAACAGTAACGCTTTACCATTGAGTCGCAACAATTCTAATGAGTTAGTCTATTTCGAATAATTAATTACCAGGTCATCTTTTCCTATACGCTCGTTTTCATAGTGTTCGAAAATACCTTTTCACTGCCGTCATCAAAAGTGGCGAGATCTACCTCAGCCATTAGATAGCCTCCTACAAAACCAAAAACAAGTCACACAAACAGCATTAATTTGTTTTTAGATTTAAAAGTAAAATATTTAAGGGATACCAGTTACCTAGCCATCTTGAAAAAAGAGCATCGTCGAGTAGAAGTTAAAGGCTATATTTTTTTCATAAAGGAAACTATTTAATTTGTTATTTTTATTACATTTAATTTTATCATAAAGTTCAGTACCATTCCAAATAATGTATAGTCACCTTTATTACTGTACATTGTAGCAGAGTTGTGATCCGTTTTACGCTGACCAATGACATTCCTTTTGTGTTGAAAGAAGTGAAGGAGGTCACTGTAGCTACCAGGTTCCTCGAGAAGATGGCTGTGACAATGTTCAAACATGGTTTACATACAATAGAACTTCTATACAATGGTCATCGTAGCTGGAAGTTGTGTAACTGGCAGCATTTCCTTTTTAGATTATAGGGTTGTAGCTCATACCGGGCGCTGAACAATACAAGAATTCCACAATCTCATAGGTCACCTTAAGTATCATGTAACAAACGATATAGGCCCCACATTCCTGACACCGTTTTTAAATTTTTGCCAAATCGATTCCCTAGCCCCATGTGCCTTTGTGTCGCGGTGATAAATACGGCGTAGTTACTTGCTACAGAAGTTAGCTTTCTAAATGAATACTTCTCTGAAAATCTCATATTCAATCAAAAAAAAAAATATACGGGCTTGCCATTAAGTGCATATCCGATTGCTGTATTTTTTACCGACCAAGTACCAACTACCGGTTATTTACTATACAATCGAATTTCGCATGGACTGTATTCAAGCAACATAGGCGATCCTTTTCCCAGAACAATCTAACGTGTCGGGAAGCTACACCCTCCAAAGAAGGCTAATAATTGCATTTAATAAAAGTTACTATAGAGTTATATGAGACCCCAAAGTCGCATTGACTTAGAGCACTAAGCTAAAGCATTACATTTCCAAGCATGTTGTGTCACACTCCTACAATAGTTTTTAAAAAAAAATGTTACGACATTACCATAACGAGTTGTTCATGCTAAATATCCTACCTTAATTTATCGCTCTTATTTAATTTTTTTTATCTTCAATCTTCACGTGAAATGATCTCCACTCTTTGTCAAAAACTAAGAATCAATTAAAAACATAAGTGAACCAGATTATCTGGTTTGAGTTAACAAATTTAGTGACTTGTGTGTCTCATAGATCTAGTTCAATCGTGACCACTTCGAACGGGATCACCCCCAAAAAAAAACACATTTAGTCCTACCATCAAAAACTAATTGATTTATTGTCTGACCGCATGACCGGCAAGATGTTGATCTGAGAGTGGCTTTTTATCCACAAAAAGAAAATCAATAGGCAAATGAAAGTTATACGAATAAATTAACTGAAAGCCAACATACCCATTCACTTCTTTACATTACGTTGCAAGTTATATTTGCAAGCGCAGAAACGTCAATATATTACAATTAAATTCAATGCAGAAACTTACCGTACTTGAGTTTGAAGGAAACTTCTGTAGACATGTAACAACGAGTAGCTTCTTGTAAGTACACCTACTGATTTCATCCTAAAAATATAAGAAGTAAACGGGTATCATTAAAGATATTTTATAGTTGCGGTTCTTATTTAAATATTTAATATGTTCGCACTATGCGAAAGCTATCCGCATGAAGTAAAAAGAAGCATAAGTGAGATTAATTTCGTGTAAAAAGCAGAAGTACCTTTGAAGCTAAGTTATGTATGTATATTATGTGCATGTTTTTTTTGGAGTTTTATAGAAATGCCGGAGTTTCCAATATATCTGCTTTCATATACATTGTTGTATAATTGTGTGTTGCTTACAACAATGGACCTAGCGGTCCCAGTCCTTCATACAGGCAAAGTACACTGAAGAAAAAATGCGTTCTCATAATAGCATAACGGACATTCTTCTATCCGTTCCTAAAGAGAGATAAATTTCGTCTCCGACATATAGTAGTGCCGTTAAGCATTGCGTCGCACGAACTTATATACACTGTAGCAATGATGAGGTCCAACTACTGGCGACAATCGGTTAATCAGCCGGCTGGAGGCTATTACATATCCACAACCAGCGTTAGCAGGAAATACACTTATTGTAACAATAACCCGTTTCACTCATCTATGCTATCAAGCGGGACAGCTTTGTCTAGCGTCCAGTCCTCTTATGTTAGGCGAGGCACGCACGTCCGTATTGTGTCGCGCCTTATTGATAGGCGTACCGCGCGACTCGCTTCTCGAAGCTCCGCCCAAGCTATAATTTGAGCAGTTTTAAGGATATGTCAATCTGTTGGCGAGAGCAGTGTGGAAGAACGGGCTTCCGAAGCCAAAGCTACCTGTGTGAAGTGGGCGTTGTTTTAAGACCTCGAATCCGCCGGAAAATCTGGGTGTGGGTCACCTCTCATATACGAAGAAATCGGGCGATTGGACTAACCGTGGCGTGGGGGCTCATTAGGCAACACCGCTTCAATCCATAGAGCAACTCGAACAAAGTTTCACCTAAAGCCTTGCATACCATAAGGTTCATTGCGAGATGGAGAAACCGGGCGTCTTCAGCAACCGCGCAGACAGGTGCTATATAATTGTGCGGACTGTCTGCTCCCTCAACCCGCTCGCCTGCGGGTGCATTATAGCAATTTACGTGGCAAACGTTGGGGCGCGCTAACCATTGCTCGAAGTGCCAATCCCGTAAGTAGCTTGCGTTGTCCGTAACAACGGCGTCTACGTTTCGGGACGCGAAACGGCCCTAAGGTCCAAACTCATCTTAGCGACTAGCCGTGTCAGCGTACTCACGGGCGTCAAGAGCAGTCAACGCTTATTGTTCGGCTTTATTCTTTGGTAGAATTCGCGACAGCGAACATTTTCGAAGTTTCGCACAGAGTATAACTCTGTGCTCTGGAAAATAGCGACACACGAGGTAGTGGACGGTCTGTGCATTGCTCAGATGACACTAACGGCAAAGAACGCATACCGCTGGTTCAGCCGATCGTTGGACACCTCATAACATGAAATGGTAAAGTGTGGTTTCATGCAGTTACAATTTGCCTACATTCCTGTTTTTATATACTAGATCCACCTTGGTCCTACTTTGAAGTGTGGAGCCTAGCGCAGACTTGCTAGTTGGTGCGTTGTAATTGTTTTCGAGTCAGCACCACGGCTTATAATCTTCAGAGCCAAAAACGAATCATCATATAAGCGGCCTAGAAAAACGGACGGCCTACTTTTAGAAAACCGCACAGCGGCTTGGCGATTTCGGCGCTCGACACAAACCGTAGTATGGTGCTATCCCCAAAAGGTTTCTCGGTTTACGGACGGTCGTAGTGGCTCGTATAGGATGTTCGTTTCTTTGGATAACATTAAAGGCCTTGTTTTAGTGATAGTTTAGTGGTTAACCTATTTCCCTGTTAATCTTAGGGCCACATATTTCTAGTGAAATGTCTAACGGCTACACCGAATATAAAACTCACATCGTAGGAGTTAAAGGTCTTGCTCAAAAATCCATGGCCAAAATATATAACAATAGTGAATGTGCATGTCGACGTCCTGAGGTGTAGATCGGCAGGGCTGAGAATAGAAACCAGCTGCCAAATGCAAAAAGTCCTTAATTTCTCTGGAATATAATATTATCTACGTACACTAATGCCATTTAGTATCGCAACCTACCCAGAACCCGGTTTATTAACTACTAGAATGTCTCCGGAGCGTTAGATAATCCAAAGAACAACCGCTTCAACAAATACAAGCCACATCGGGTTTAAAATGCTATGTTCTACCCATTTTCGGGCGCCATGAAGATGTGCCGGTAATCGTTTGCCAGGTTTAATGTGGCATTTGACTGTTCTGGCCTCCTTAACGCGCCAAGGGCGTCGTCAATTTGCGGCAGAAACCCGAACATCTTCATCACCGCGTTTGATTTCTGATAGTCTACAAAAAACCGAATCGAGTATCCTTTTTTCTACAGAAACGATAGACGGAAACCCATAGGCTCGCAGTAAGTTCCAGCATTTGCTGTACCTCCTGCGTGATGTGGACTCACGCGTGATGTGTGTGAAAGGCGACCCGACTAAGGTGTGTATGTAATGAAGGCTGGTCGCCCATTGGTATCGTGTTGCTAACGAGATTTGTATTAAGAAGCTTTTTCAGCTTTCTGAAGAAACGACCGAATTCGTCGCACAACAACTCCATCAAACGTTAGGCTTGCGCAACTTTTCTCCGACACGGAGTTCCGGTGATACACCCGTGGTCGGGTGGGTACACCGGAAGCTTCTGGTTTAGAAGGCGTTATGCATATCCGGAGTTAATTAAATCTGTAGCACAGTCGAGGTCCGGACCGCTGACCACTAACGGCTGGAGGGTATTATATAACCACAACAGATTAGAACCGGAAATGCATTTGTAATAACAATCTACATTTTTGAGTCCCTATATATATATATATATATACATCGTACTAATAATTCGCCAAAAATCTCAAAAATATAAGAGCTTAAAACGGCAAAAGGTTTTAAAGTTCGGGAGTGGTACAAAAAGTCCTAAATACACTAAGACCGTTGGAAATAACCTAGATGACCTAATTGGAAATTGACAATCTTGTCTCCAGAACGGCGAATAGCTTTTGTACAAAAACCCAAGTATATTAAAAACGGCGTGTCGAGTTACTTCGCTAAATTTTCGAGCTCTTTAAATCTAAACCTCATTAGAGTGTCGCTTTTTCAAAAATTGCATATAAACTAACACTAATGCTGACCGCTGATTTCGAGTAAAACTATTTTTCATTATTATATTATTATAAATTTCTAATCTTTATGGGAACTGGTCCAACGCGAAAAGATTGTATAATAGCTTGCCTTCACCTAAACGATGCGCTGTTCTTTGCCATCACGAATTTGCTGTTTTATTCTAGAACGAATAGGCTTTCGCCTCGTATCAGGAGTCGTGGATAAACGTGTTTCATTACGAGGAACAACCCGCTGAACATTTCCGCAATTTGAAAGCACTATCCTGTATATCACGCAAAAGGGCTTTAGTTCGCTTTGAATAAAATCGAGAGAATAATACTCTTTATATAGAGGCTAGATAACACAGCCAGTTTTATTTGCGCTAGAGCAACTCGTTAATTCGAACTGCATTTTTATATTGAATTCAAGGAATTCTTTGTAGTTTTTGTAGTAGTAATAACTGCATTGGAATCGGCGTAGGCTGTTGTGTACTTTTTCATTGTAAGTCAAAAATGAGGCACACGGTGTTATAAAGATATATAAAGATACGACCTAAAAAATATCAGTAAATAAAGCTAGCTTAATATATTAAGTTAGCTTACTGGAACCACAGGTTTTTCGTATAAGTACTGATGAATTATGTTCCATCTACGAAGAAACACGTTATCAATATGCTATGGTTACAAAGGAACTAAATATTTGGTAAGCATCGAGAGAAAGGATTTTGTCTCTGAGGGCATCTTATAAGAATTTCTACCACGCCTGAGTAAAAAAAAGTTTGTTTCGGAATAATACTTGGAATCACTTATGGAGATCATGCTTTACTCTGTCAATAAGGTTAAATTGTAACTTCTAGCGAATACGTATTCCACTAAGTTGAATGGAAATTGCAGCTTACCTGGCTCCACGTTCAACAGTACTAGCAATGTCAAGTTTCTCAAAACAGGCCAGCCCGAAATATGAGCCGCGTTTGAAATATCTGAAATTAGATTCAGTGAGAATGACTTTAGCGCAAAAGATGGGCTCAGCTTAATATGAAACCATGTTTTCAAGATGCCAATCCATAGACTAATTCTAGCAAATATACGCTTTCAGATATATGGTTCATAAGGAGAGCCTTTATTATGCGGTTCAGGTGGCCTATGAACATAAAATACAAGACTGCGCACGCAAGTGAAAAGCAGTCTGCGTGCGACAGATGATTTTCTTCCTATCAGATCCCATGTAGAGTACCGATTCCCGTATGACCGGCAAACATAGGCTGCGTAAACTTAATAAAAATCGTTTCTTTAATTGGTATCGTGGTTGCCTTCATGCATAGAATGCTACAGCACCAGATAACGATTAGGGTATCGGAAATGAGTCGAAAATGTTCTTTTAGTAGCTGTAAGTGCGACGTCTAAATTTAGAAGCCGAAAAGATATGTAAATGCGAGCTTTTGAGCCTTGCATAATATGAATTGGAATTTGTTTCTGCCTCACCCATTTGTAAATATGTCTCTACAGACATATGTCCTTTGGCATAAGCTCAAGACAACAAAGGAAAATACTTTTTGAATTTAACAGCTTCTTATGCACTCTAAGTTAAAATATGGTTGTTTCGCGATCGCTTGTTCTAAACTGCATTTCTTTGGTCTTGGTGGTAGTGATTAGCAAAGTCTGCCGCGGATCACGACGACACGTTGACTGTTTTTTAAAGTCGCATGAATATTGCGTAACCCCAACAAGCACGTACTTTGGAGTTTTGAATAACTATGAACAATAGGACGTCTCTTTCAGTAACTGCATGTCATCACACAGAATTGAGGGTTTTCTATGACTCCATATTCCGTTAAAATAGCGAAAGAATTAATGTTAGCACCTTGAAGTTGACGAAAAAAAGACTCACCACGACACAAGGCTATTTTCCTAATTTCCTCCAAAAAAAACTCTTTAATAGAGCTTTTTTTACAAAATGTTTTAATAGAATTTACTTGACCTGCCGAGATCTATCTTGTTATTCCTAAAGGAGGTTCCGATTCGCCAAAAAGCTACACGGCTGGGTGTGTAAGCAGAAAAGAAAGCGAGCATAATTCGTGCAGGCAACTCCTCGTTGCGTTTTGTTTATACGATGCGCCTTACTTTTCGCTTTTAAAACAACAGCGAGGGAGTATGAACACTAGTTGCCTAGACTTTCATCTAGTTCAACATATTGGTTATCCGTGTACTTGATATGTGGTGCTCGATTAAAGATTAAAAAGTAGTCTTAAAAAATTCTTCTACCGAAGCCTTTCACATTTATCAATTTTTATATATAGGTAATGACTGAAAGGACTTTGAAGAAAGTAAACGGCCGTTTATAAGCAGTGCGAAATTATTTGTGAATATTAATGCGAGTTACCTGGGAGTCTACTACGTTGTTGCTACATTGTTAGCAACAAAGTAAGCTATTCTTTCCAGCTTTGGCTGAAACGATTTTGGAAGCTTCGTTTTTCTGCTTGTGATATATAATATTATACGGCAAGCTATGGAACGCCGACTAAAAAATAGTCTTATTCAATGCTTCAATTTACTTTCGACATAGTTAAATCGAGAAATCCAACACATAACACCGCTCTATGATAAAACTAGAAAGTTATTTGAGAGTAAAGAATCCATTGCACGACGTTCATATAATTTCTGTGCAATTCAAAACACCATTGCATACATGCTACACTCAAAATTGCACATGCTCCGTTTCTTAAACGTTATGGATCTACTATTCAAGGTAACGTATAGTTACGTCTTTAAGTAATATGGACAATCCTGGCCCAACGTCAACAATACTCACATGAAATCGTCTGTAGTTCGGTGAGCACCACTGGCCATTGCCTTAAATTCGATCCCGTTGACATCTAGTTCTTCAGGTGTAAACCACTCCACAGTGTTGCCTTTAATCAATTGGGAACGCCAAGTAACAAAAGTACTGTGTTATTATACTCAATGTGCATAATCGCATTCAAGTTACATTGAAGAAATTATTAACTTGGCGTTTCATTTCTTAATAAATTATATAGTAAAATGTTTTTATTACATATTTAATTAGAACAGAAAAATTGATAATAATTGATAGATATGTATAGAAACCTACGAATTGCTAAGTATTTAATGTTTCAAAGCCGACGCAAACCGTCACATACATAGTGGCTGTTCTTCATTCAATTGATACAAAATACAATGCAAAATTCACAAAATTTCTTACGCAACTGTTAGTCATTTTATTTTCATAACCACTGGGCGGAGCGTATGATAAAAAAACAATTGTGTTGTACTCGGTGAAAACAACTTTGAGCCTCCGCGCATTGTAAAAACATACGCTTTTTGACAATAAAGTCTATAAAAATTGCATCTAGTTTACGGTAGTTCTCACCTGTATTACTAGTTCGTAATTTTTTCAAAATTAACTGCGGTTACTTCGTAGTTGAAACGTCAGCCCCTGACGTGATAAACTGAACGATTCCTGAGCGAATAAAAGCTGTATAATTATAGCAGATACAAACTAAGCTTTGTTTACTAGTTAAGACAAATGGTAAACTAAGCTTACATTTATATTTTTTACTATTAAAAGTACCCCAGTAGTGGACCATAGCTAATAATTTAGTAAGAGTTTATCCACAGTAGTGATACGTTGTACCGAGTTTTGTTGGAATGAGGTTTAGATCTATCCTAATTTGTCTAATGATTTCGATTACGACGTCATACGTACCATGACGTATATCAAAAGCAACGACGAACACTCCGACGACGTCGCTTAGAAGCTCATCACTTGCTTCCGGTTCGGTTGCAAAAGCCTTGTATTAAATTAGTCAAATTGTTAGCATAAAATTAGGTTAGAATTTTTCTCCGTGGGAATCGTTTAGGAATGAATATAAACTCAACATAGGAGAAGTTTGTGCGTTATGTGTTCGCTTTAAGAAGAGTTTATCCCCAATTAAAAAAAATAGATGTATTTGAAACCATCTTTTCAGCACAAAAACGTTTTGATTGTATTAGAGTATAATACCTTTCCACCAGAAAGCTGACTTAGCTGGGCTGCAGTACAAATTATGGTCGGATCCAGCGAATCAAATCCACACAGCGAACTGAAATCACGATTTGGCAGATAGTGGGTATAATTGTTTTTAATCACGGTGTTCATGTAGTGTATGTCGCTGACGAAACATGAATGAACGACCCCTGTGTTTTTTGCTTCTCAATGTGAGTAGTACCGCAATGTTTACTAAAGCAATGCACAAGGGCAGTGCCGCACGTAAAACTCGAAACTTCTACGTCATACTGGTACCCAATACTCGCAGTGACTTGACCGATATGACAATGATAACGAAAATAAGTGACATTAGACTTTATCGGACAATTTTTACAACGTGTTCGAGTAAATAAAAATCAGGCGTTTAAATCCGGGTTTTTTTCTGTATGTACCCGTAACGGCATGAATGGAAATACCAGAGTGTTGACTTGATAGTCCGTAAGAGTTACTCTGTATTAACGAATGGTAACGTACGTGTGTCCAGCATCTTCGGAATGGTTTTTCAACTATTAAAAAGATTTTTTATATGTCAATTTTACGATGCGAAAGTTTTGAATCAAGCCAATCTTATAAGCTCAAACCATTAGTGCTTTTTTGAAGTTACTCTAGATGGATCTAGATTCAAATTTACGTACTCTAGTACACAAGTACACTAGACAGATTGACGGGCTTCGCCCCGTGCCTGCCTCGCCGTAAAGATAAAAGTGGGAAATTTTCTCTGGAATTCAACGTTGTGCAGATGCTGTAGAACCAAATTGGTTTCAAATACAAATCTTTCATAGATTATCAACGGTTTTCGAGCAAATCACCAAAAAAACCTCAGTCATGATCACAGTTATATGGAGAAAAAGACGTTCTCTGGTAGAAAAGAAATTCGAAGATCTTTCATTAATAGGTTTGCACTTGAAGTGGGCTGCCAGTGTGCATCTCTAGCTTCGCGCCGTTTAGCCTTTTTATGATTTGATTGATAATTCTACGCTATTACCTTAATAACATGATTTTCTAAATTTCTAGAGATGTTATTCAGTTGAGAAACTTGACAAGCAGCCATCTTAACTATCGGCTTGGCGTTATTACATGAATCAGTAGTGAGATCAGCGCTCACGTCATACCTTTGTGCAGCACCTGCGGGAAGGTCATTGGTTGAAGTATTATCGTATCGCTGTTCTGCAACAGATTCGACAACTGAGTCATCGAGAAGTAGCGGCGACTTGTCTTTACCGTGGGTCGATGTACGGAACATACTGACTGAGGCAGAAGTTTTTGGAGCCCTCAGGCTCTTTGCCTTGTGGAGCTGCCCTATTTTCCAAACAATGCCAGTCTCAGTACCTGCGCATATAAGATTTCTGTAATCTAAGCCAGTCGTATTTGGAAATAATGAGTAACAAAAGCGCAACTCATGTGTCAGTTTTGAAAACAGTATTGTTGAGTTAGCAAAAAATAAATCTAGTCACCAACCTTGCACAGTAAATGAAATTTGTTTTTTTATCTATCTTTATTTTAAACGGTCGTTAGGAGGAGCAATGAGTAAAAACAATTTTTCTTACGGCGCACATTTTCCATGTGTAGTAGGTGTACAAATGAATTGCCAGTTTATACCTGGACGAGAAAATATCTAATGGCCTAAGCACTCTGATAAGCATCCAAAAGTTTCACTTAGACCCTGTGCATTATTCGTTTTTTAAATCCAAATAAATACTGTCCTGCCAAAAAAATGCATCAATTCAATTGCACCATTCTGGATGACAGTTCACTATGAGCTAAAACTGCTAGCAAAGAATTTGCGAAGTTTCGTCAACGACATTTTTCTCTGCATGATATACAGCTCGAATGGTGTCAGACTTTTTAGGACGAAATATGTTAGGCCTACCGATGTGGGCAAAATGTTATGCAAATTCAACTCTACAAGCAGCTTCGAATCGTCTGTACTTCATGGGAATGATACTGAAAGTAGAAAAACGGGTTTCCCATGATCTAAATAAATAGCGTGGTATTGCACCACACTCACTTTGATAAATTGGGTGAAATTGTTACCCCCGTTGAGACGCGTATCCTCTACTCTAATTTTAGATGTAAAACATCACAAGTTTATCAAGAACAAAAGAGGTATTTACAAAAAAAAGGGTCCTCTACGCTTTGTGGAATATACAAAGGATGTTCTACTGCGGGTTGAGCTTCATTTGCATTAAGTTAACTATTGCATTGAATTTTTCGTATAACCAATACGTTGACTTGATGATGAAGTCTTGCCGAAAAGTGTGTCCGTTTCAAATTGACATAACAAATATTTAACGTCAAGTCCTGCAATATTACAGTTCACTCATGCAGGATATTAAAACGTCTACGTAGCTAGGTTTTGTCCGGGCAAAGCGCCAAAGTATGCAACTCCCAAATAGTTTATAACCTATCAAATCGCAATTGACCATCTCATAACATAATCTTTAAAATATCTATCGTCGTTATTTATGTAGCTTTTTTATTTCCTTCAGTAATTGCATTCAGCGATAGTAGCACCTAACAACAAGCGTTTTTATGCACTTTAACGACGATGCACGATTAAACACTTGAACTAGACGTGAACCTATCCTTGTCAGCTATTTGTGTTTAAGTACTCATTCCATACTCACTTATTCATTGTAAACGAGTGATACTTACATCCATTCGGAATGTAACTGAATACTACCCTATCAAATATTTTCATGAAACTCCACCAAAGCCAAACAGTTTTTAATACTCAATGACGATTTCATAGTTGAACTCAGCTTTTGATAAAACTAATGTCCGTTTTTAATCGTACATGAATTCTAAAGGAAATTCTATACGGCGCACGTTGCCATATACAGTAATTCAGTGCGCTCATTTATTTTTAAATCGTAATAACACTACCTAGTGAGCAATAAAAGACAAGTGGGAATGTGATAATGTTAGTACTATATGGCTAACTGTACACTGTCCATTCAACTTGGTACAAAAACTATATGTATATATATGGCTTACATAGATGAAAGAATAATAGGTAAATTCTGTCTACTACGATCGCCATCCATGTACGCAAGTTTGTCATTGCGAAGTGTAATTATGTGGTGATATTATTATTATTATGCAGTACTAATGTGAGACATCGCATTGCAAGCAAAACATAACATGTGTTACACCTACGGTAGACAATTGAATCGTCAATCTGATCTACATGCTCGTTATTTGTATTGACTACAAATACTTTGTCCAGTCAGTAAATACCAGTCAGTTTCGGAGCTCACCCTCAAAGTGATCTCTAATAAATTACGAATGAAGAAATTTACATCACCCTTTTGTTTTAGCTCTAAAAGACACAAAAAAGCGTGCATGCGAAAAATTATTTTAGTGCGAAGTGATAAGGTAATTCGTATTTTATTCGTTCAAAAAATGAACCAAAGCCATAACATTGCTAAGTGCTTGCAAGAAACATACCCGTCTCTTGAGATGATCTATGATGAAACTGTTGTCTCCTAGGTCACAGAAGAACAGGAGTAAATTTCAGAATAATATCCTACTGCTAATAAAGTTTATTTTTGTCGGAGATGCGGGGAAATTTTTCTATGTTTGCTGCTAAAGTTCAACTTTAAATGCCGAGTAAATATTATCCAATCATATTTCCTGAGTACGTTGAAAGTTTCGTTCAACACGATTACTCGTTTTGCACATATGTGCAATTTTCTGCGCTACCTAAGCACTTCCACCACTTTCGATGCCCATTCTTGATCTAATTTAATGATATTGCATATTTCTATAAGAAAAAATGAAATACCAAATAACGGACTTCAATATACGTTCTAAAACTGAATTAATTCGACGGGTATATCAGTAAACAGAGCAACAGGAATATTCACATTTGAAATAGAGGTTACTTCTTCCATGTCCATGGCAAATCACTATAGATTAGTTATAAAGAATTTCAGATACGATTATTAAATCATGAAAATAAAATCACTATGATGATATTTTCCACTTTGGTGACAACACTTTGGTGTGTGGGTTAAATGGATAACTGAGGTTCGTGTCTCCGGAGTCTGCGGGCACTCCTCTTTTCTGACAGGAGTTTGGTTAGCCGCAGCAGCTGTGGCTAAGCGCAGATCGGCTCGTCCGAGCAGCAGAAGAAAGGGTCTGCACCTAGCGTTCTTTTAGCGCCCCTAGTTTGTTCTCATGTTCATTAAACATCAGAAGTGTGGGCCCTATAACCTCTGCTTGACATATAACAAGCACTGCGGGAACAATTTTGGTTATGGCATGCAAGAGCATATAAACTCAAAGTATAATTCTTTTTATTTTGCATTTTTTTCGTTTTGTATTAAATCCTCTCTTCTATAAGACATAAAAAATATCTGCCGATGATCTTGGATTATACGGTCACTCTCATATACCTGACAAACGATTCACGCTACGAATAACGATAGTGTTTTTTGCTGGTGTGAGAAAAATAACACGATCCTTTCTCTTTTCAAATGTGCTGTCCTCTGCTCAAAGGACGAGGATCGGGATACTATAAATGGAGATGATAATCCCGCGGTCAGATCTATAAGCCATCTCGATTTTAGTACCCACACTATGCAAACGATTACCCACATTACAACGATGATGATCTTCTACTACACTAGTATGTAGCTGTATCTTCTATTATTTCATTATCAAAAATGAACCTTGAATTTTATGTCACTTGTTTTCGAGAAGTTTAGTTTTAAGATATGCATACTGCTGTCAATTATGGTAATGTCATTTAAGACGCCACATCAAAGCTTTTGAGCTAGTACAATCCAAATCTTTTTGACACGCGGAACGAATAACTTATAACCCTCGTTTCTATTTTATTATTCCATAACAAGGTAGTCGAACATCATTTCTAAGCATTTTGATTCACATTCAAGTGACCTCAAAAACACGCTGACAATAAAACATACACATGTAATTCATAACGGGACTTGCGGGATATCAGATTGGTCTTATCGAAAGAGGACTAAGCTCTCAAATGTTGAGTTGTATATTATATCTAACCTTTCGGGAAGATAATAACATACCTTAATTTAAACAGATAAGTTCTGTTCTTTTTAGAACTCGTACACAAATCGTAAAGTTTTAAGTACTGTTCTCAAAATTTAAAGACGCAGGCACAAAATGATTGCCGTTAAGCATTCCGAGAAATTTATCAAGTACGTCATACACGTATCATAAATTTTCCGGGTTGCATTTTAACAAGAAAATCAACTTTCATCGGTGTAAATCATCGGTGTTCTCCCATGAAGCCATATCTACTTACCAAAATTATCAAAATCTATCCTTTTCGAGATGGCTCGAATTTATATATATATATGTACATAGGCACGTGTTTAGTGGATTCCGGAAACAGCAAAATAAATTTTAATTATTTGTGTAAGTAGATTTGGCTTGATGAGAAAACTTTGCTTTGGAAATCCTATACCTAAAGAAAAATATTTCCTTACTTAGAAATACGAAAAGCCATTTTGAGTACCTGTGGTACGCATGTAGAACGAACCGTACCACTCACATTTTCTCTTATCGGCCACGGCAGCATCAGTGCACTACCGGTCGTTAATAATGAACAGATTACGATACGCTAGTAAAGCCATTTTGTGTGAAAGCTTATTGTTTTATTTGTCGATAAAATCAAGAATGGACAAACAGCAATTCAAACTTGTTTCCACTTTTACTGGGCACTCCGTCTAACCGTGGAGCCTTTATATTCACAATTGGCTTATCAGTGTTAGAAGAAAAAGTGATTATCCTGTAAAATCAACATTATCGTATGGTATGCAGAAGTGTGTATCCGATAGTAGCTAACCCAAGCAGCTTATAATGGCTTAAGTACCGTTTTTAACCTGTCTATGGAACGAAAACGCTAAATAATGTACATAATATAAATAATAAATAAATATACAAAGACAAATAATCAGTAGAGATTACATATTTTGAGGGTCGTATATCTCGTGAACATAAAGATGAAATAGCGATCCGTAAAGGCAGATGTATACAATATTGTTTCCTTTTTTATCCAATCACACCGTCGCGCATTATGTGTCATTAATATATACTTAATACTATAAATATTAAAAATATATAGCCCATGTTAGCTTTGTTAGTAGTAGAAGTACTTCATTTGTCTGACATCACTTACTTTATAATTCTTAACACATGTTCATTTTAGGTCACACCTTGCATTGCCAGGCTTAGACTGGTAGTCTCCAGCTTCACAGTTCAAGAGAACACGAAGCGCAAAAATCTGAACTTTTGTTCTTTACTCAGGTAACCCAAAAAATGGTTATGCTAGCTTATAGAGTCGAGATTTTTTTTTTTTCATTTTCAGTTCACAATGGCTAACTATTTCTTAAAACATTTAAATGTTAGCTAAGTAATTATTGCTATATATGATACGTCACCAAGCGTTTATTCCTCAAAGGCTTGGCCGCTTCGACAGCGATGCAACGGAGAAAGGAGTGCCCCGCCTAGTTGGCCAAATGCTGCTTGCCCGTTTACGTCTAGCAAAGTAAGCAAAATCATTCCGGTCGCAGCAGTCATCATCGTCTTGTTTATATTTAGCCTTTATAGAGCAACGATAGGCTCGAACAGAACACGGCCGCCTTTTGGTTAGTCGGTTTCATGAGTTGGTTGCTTGAGTACAGGGCCGAGAGAGAGTGAGAGAGCACTAATGGCTGAGCTGCTGAGCTTTGAAGTCTTTGCCTAATTGAATAGTATTTAGATGTTTAAGCTAGTGAATGAAAGTATATGGACCTGCTGAAGAGAAGAAATGCGGGTTCGAATATTTGAATCTTGCTATAAGGAGTAGGCACTGTTAAATCGTGCTGTCAAAAAGAACGAACAATAATCAAAAAATAGTGTTGACATTTGGTGTATGTGAATTTCATGCATATTAAAGGCTATATCAAGTGGACAGTGAAGAAATCGAAATTCAGCGGTCACAACAACCCTTCGTAGCGGTTGATATAGTGAGAGGGCGTCGTTGTGATGGTAAGTACTAAATAGAAAAATACAGGTAGCTTAAGGATATAAGAATGAATGTTAAATTTGAAATAAATCTTGTGCGTACCATACCATTGCTCGTATATCGTAGAATCATATAGCAATTCTATAGATTATCAGATTCATATATATTAAACTTCATTATAAGACTACCAAAAACCTTCCAAATACTATGGAATTTCCTAAATATATTTTAATTTTCCGAACGTTTACTATTATAGCCGTGTGTTATTTACTTTCGACTCGTAGTGGAAGCGTCCTGGAACACATAGAGACTAGATAATTAAAAAAGTTAAATTTATAAAATGGAGGCACTTTCAATGGCACTAAAATAAAACATAATGTAATAATATATTAAACAGGCGTGTGCTTGAACCTAATGCGTACCTTTTACTGCTGCATACTGGTTTCAACCTACGTAGTGTACATACATTTAGTTGGGCTCGTGTACTTATACATTGCATCTAATTATTAGAAATACGTAAACATTTTTCAAGGCCAGCCGTATCACAACTCTTGTGCAGAGTCATCTTTTTGGTATATACTCCGACCTGTGTATCTCACGAATACGTGGTTTATGATATTTACTCTGAATCAACTATAACTGAGCGATCAGCTCATTTTAAGAACTTAACACACAAAGAAATTAGTGGGCATCAGCGAAGAAGAGCACCGAAAGCTTTTTGGTGGTAAGTCCGGATTTCAACTCAGCCTTCAAATATGAATATTTTAATTAATGTAAAGTGAGGTATACTCAGATTCTGGAAAACAAAAAATGTTTGAAAATCAACGGCGACCTTTTCAGTTCATAGAGAATGCCTGCATTGGTTTGTTCTGATAGTACAGGGCCACGCTTGAAAGATCCGAATTATAGTTTAACAAGGTTTAGTCTAACACGACGATTCAAAACCTTTTTTTGTTAGGTAGTTTAGTTGTTAAAATGAAACTAAATATATTCTTGGCGGGATCGGTTTTTGCATATATTAGGTAAATGATCTACGAATAAGTGTACCGCCATGAAGGAGCTCGCAAAAGAAATGGGTTATGGGAAACTTTGGCGCACTGACTGGAAACGCCTGTTCCCAGTTATCCGGTTATAATTGGCTCGCAACTAACAAAGTGCCGCAACTGCGCTTACCTTAGGCATGAAGGTACTACAGGATTCGAGGTCCGCCAGTTAGACTCATTTTCCAGTAGGCAGCCAAACTGTTGACAGTTTTGTCTGGTGTAGGAGAGCACTGACAAAAAACTTTAAAAACAAGCCTGCATTAATACATATACGACCTAAGCAGTAAAAATGATTGGATAGCTAAGGTGTTTTCAAGTAGCGTAACTTGCTTTATCAGTGCCTATTTCCCGAAACAATACTGTAATGTTTTGTTTAAATCTTGGTCACTTCCTTACATAGTAATTTAAATGCTGCAAAGTATGGTTCTAGTAGATTTTATTTATGTATAAGGTGAAAAATACTATTGGGTTTATACAAGTTTATTCATACAACACGCTTGTGCTCAAGCTGTGTAGTAAAATCTTGAAATTTTAAAGCGGTTGAACAAACTATTTCGAAATGATTAAAAAACACATGTACGAATTTTGTCGTATTACTTTACTTACTTCGTGATGATTCAGCATAATTACATAGCAACATTAACCCAACACACTGATTTAGTTAAGAATATTATATATTCTTAGTAATAGCTTATGGATGGTTCAATATGTAATGGTATGGAAATGTAAAAAGTAAAACATGTTACTAGTTCAAAAGATGCTCTAAAAATAATAGGCAAGTGCGGAGTTTGTAAGCAACATTGTCGGAATGCTCGTAATTACCTCAGTAAGCTTCATACTGTAAGTTCTTCGTAGTCAACGTCAGTCAGTATGCGTAGTGCTGTCTCCTAAAAGTGGATACCTCGTTTAACGTTTTTGAGAAGCCAAAGAAGGATTGTGGTTTTAGGCTCAGAAAAATGTATACCTACTTCAATGTTCAGATACACTTTTTTATTACTCATGGTTATATCCCAAGGTCGGGCACAATCATACTCGATGGGTACAGGTAGTTTTTCGATAGAGTGATGTTTTGTTTTTATAGTTTTAATTGATTTCAGCGATTTTTGGTGAATTTCGATTTGACTTTCTTTCTAATCTCTAAGAATGCATAGCCTATTTATATTTAGGTAGCGTTCGCCCTCGAAAAGAACACGTTCGTATACGACCACCTTTTATGTCACTAATTAGATGACTATCTTCTTCACTATAAGGTTTTGTGTTCTTTGCTTCTGTAAAGATTTGAAACATGTTTAATTAGCTGGAAGTTCATCTCGATAGATCTTTAAAAAATATCATTTTTATTCTGCGATTAAATCCACTGCAAATACATTATATAATAAACAATAAAATGAAGTGTTTTATGTTAAAAAAATAAATCTCCTGATTACTTTGGGCAACAGTTAGCCGTTTCTTTTATATGTTAAAGTTTATAGAATACTTAGAAAATGAGTTTTTCCGTATCTGTGGTCTGTAAGCTTCAAGATCTTCTTAACTGGACAGTATCTTATGATAGGATTAAAAACGGAATATTATCTTGATAGCATGTTACAGTTCAATACATCCTCTTTAGGAACCATTATTTGTTTACACATAGTAAGTTTTAAGCAGGAAATGTATAAGAATATTTATGATAGTAAGAAAACAACGTAAGTCCAGCCCATAGTGCGTGCCATTATACTAGAATCTTCAACTCGTAGAATTTAATAAAATTTTCTTGATCGCTAGCTAATCAAACATAATAAGAGCTATGATTTCTAGGAACTTTAATATGGAAGAATTGTGATCCTGTACATAAAAGCCGCCATAAAATATGAATGGGAATATCAACTTTGTTGATGATTAGCTTTGTGGACACAGACCACTACATAAATCCAATACCAAACAAAAAAACTTCAGTTAGACTGATCTTGTCGGTATATTTAACAAAATCAGTAAAAAATTTTCTTGGTCAGCCAAACACATTCATTTGAAGTCCTCGTTATCAAAAATATGTCATAATCCATAGCGAAATATACCCTTGCCAATGCAAGGAAGTTTGATATAATTACCAATCTTTATTTTTCGTGATTAATTGTATGAATTTAAACAGTTTAAATACCGCAGATTCCCGTAAACGAAAAATCAAATGACATGGAATTGTTCCAAATATATATCAGGCATGGTGCTCTTATTATTATAATATCCAGGCTTTCCTCAAATAAGCTTACGTTGGGCTTTTAAGCAATGTGGTTTTTTGTTGGAACTATTAGTATTACTAACCAGTACTCAATATCTGACAGCTATAATTTCTTACATTAATTGGTAACCACAAAATGAAACGCGAAGTACTGTATAAAATCATTATGATGTTGTGAGTTCTGAACGGCCTTCGCCATTAGTCTCGGTTTTTTATGCGGCTTATTTAAATAATCTATTTATTCAGCGCAACCAGATTAGAACATAATAGCTTAGCGTACCAAGTATACTTTTTTGTGTTTATACTATGTATTTTTTAACAAAGATGTACTTGTAGCCTAGAGTATCTTAAGCCCTCGAGCGCTTTGCTTCAAACTTTTAAGTCTACGTAGAGGAAAAGTAAGTATTATGAACAAGAATAAATAAAGCTTTTTCTCTTCGCATCTGTTGCACAAATTGTTTAGTTTATACGATAATAATCAGCGTATCTCGAAATTAGGTGAATCACAGGTAGATGCATATTCTCGACTTACGTTTTTTACGAAATGGCGGGGCCGATGTCAAAAAAAGTTTCGTAAAAATAAGATACAACTCTATAGGGTTCATGATCATGCCCACAGGCTTTGGTTTGCTTTCACATGAATGTAAAAGTGCGCTTCAGGTTTCATAATTTTAATGAAGGTTCATATTTAATGTATACTCATAATTATGTAGGTGTACTTACTTAGATTTAGCACGCTATTAGAGTTGCGTGTATGCACAGAGATAAAAATAAGGCATTTTATTCACATGCGCATGTAAAGTCACCACACAATCAGGCTAGAACACACAATTTTCAATTTGGCGTACAACACGACAGCAATTCTAAACTTGCTCACTCCCATAACAGAGTTTCTCGAAAGTACTCGGCGAATGTAAGCCCAAGGCAAAGATGCAGCAGCAAGTTAAAACAAGTCTGTTAAGGCAAGCCAAGCGATTCGGCGTACTCTGGATGGGTCAAGCCAATTAGAAAGAAAACCTTTACGGCGTTCTTTATAGACGCGAGTATTACCACTCCGGGGTTTTGACATGGCAAAGGACACGTGCATGACAAAAACACAAAAAAAAATATTTCCTAATTGCGTTGTCTAGAAGATAACTAAATCGATTTCATCAATAGGAGGTCGTAAAAATAATATGGAGCTACACTATTGTACTATTAAAAACAACACTCGCAAAATAAATGTGGAATACTGCGCACGAGTACATGTTGGGCTTTAAGAGTACTGACTTAAATAGATATACAGAAATAAAAGAAGTCTGACGTGATTTAGTTAATTTTCACGTTCACATTAACCGTTAATAGAACAGTTGAGCAGAATAATGCAATCCATTTGGTTGAGCTCTCTGCTTCTTGTTGTCTTCGCGTATCAGAAAGCTGTATCCATATAGGCTGGTTCGCTGACTGCTCTGTCCTGGGCATTTTTGACTCGTATAAAGATGACGGTACATGTGTATGCTTTTCAGTAAGACTAGATGTTCTTGTAGTAGTATTTGTCTAATAAGAAGCAGGGCCATATTTATGTGTAGATTACATTAAAAACAAGAAACGTACCACAACATTTGCTCGTATTGTGGTTTTCTAACTGGAGAGCTGTTAGCGGATAACTCACGCATGTTACTGCTAGCCTCAGTCGGGCGGCATTCGTATCCAAGGATTCTCCTTATAGTGACTGCCACTGAAGCTACTTCTTTATTGCCGTTGCTGTTGTTGCTGCACGAGTTAAGCGCATCGTTCGCTTCTATCTGGGCATCCATGCAGCTCGATTGAGTCTCGAGAATAGAATCTCTAGTTGAAGTCAAGGATTTCCTACTGCTGGTGGCCAGAATGGTCAGACAGAGGGTGGTTAGAAAGTCAAGCGATACCGGCAGTCGCAAGGCCAGAAGCACCTGACACGACAGCAGTACCTTTAATCAGGCGGTGCTGATTGTTATGTATGGTGAATACGTGATCATATAATGTGCTAAACTGCGTAATCAGAAACATGTTATGATGTTTCATGATAAATTTGGTTTATAGAACAAATTTGAATAATCGTCATTTGAGGATCGTGAGTACAATCTATAATGAATTACTACAAGCACTGTGATCTGTTTTTTTATTAGGTTGGTAATTCTATCACCTTGATGTGTCGTGAATGACATGTATGTATATGCATCTTTGAAATGTGCTTTTAGTCTTTTAGCTTGTTTAGTTTGGCTAATTTTCATCTTTTTCTGTTTTCAAAACATACATTAAATTATGTAAGAATAAAACAGGTCTACCGTGTGATTTTTTCATAATAACAATAGGTCCGGGTTTTCAAGTAAAGCTACCTGCTTCAGTTGTCAAATTCTACTTTGAACAGGGTTGCATTACCTCTATATGCTTGGACATTTACATAAATATAACTATATTTTGTGCTTACATAGGACGTACAGTCATATACGTTTTAAAGATTACTTCATAAGCCGAATTATTCGGGTATCCAGTAAGGGTACAAGGTTTTTAAGTTGGTCGAACTAAAGAGTATTCAGACTCCCGCTAAAATTATGGTAATAAAGTCTTAGAATGAAAGAGACAAAATATATGGACAGTATAACTGACCTTGACCCTCAAGCTAGCAATATTTATGTGTTTTAGGAATGACGTGATACTATGTATTATAAACGTATAAAAATGTATTAGGACAATAAACTCGTAGATAAACTGTGTTAGTTATATATAGGAGGAAATTGACTGCTGAAATCGGCCTATCGCGGTCCAAAAAAAAATACCGTAATTTAGGAGGGCCTTTTGCTGAAAGGTGTCGGTTTCATGTGGCAGCTTCTCCTCTAAATAACTAAATAATATAATTAAGTTTTTTAGTTTTAGGCTATATATCGACACACATAGCGCTGCACAAAAATCAAACAAAGAAAGAATAAAGTTTTCGTGCCGGGTTTATTTCTATGTGTTTTTTTAAGGATTTTTTGCTATAGTTCAAAAGATCGAAATGAGGCGTGACTTTTTAGGGTGCTTTAGGGGATAGGTTGATGTGTGGGTGCCCCACTGTTGAACTGTCATTATTTCAAGAATTCAGTTAGCACATATTGTCAAGTTTGGAGGAAAAAATACCTATTTTGTTAATAATGTATCATCATGGTGTTATGAAATTTTCTATTAACGTGCTGCAAAATAGTTGCCGAGGATCTTCCGATTTAATATTATGTGACAAAGTAAAATCTGCATCATATAATAAGAACACAAACATATGAGAATTTATTTAGTACATGATTAATGAATAAAATATCCTTTTCTTCCACAACTGATGCCAATGTATTACATATTAGAAAACAGAAAAAGAAAAATAAGTAAACGTGGTCAAAAGTGTGTGGGAACGAGAATGTAGTAGTCTTGAATACACTTCATATCTATTTGTGAGAAAAAGAAAGTTAAATCTAGTAATTTAAATTTATTTTTCTTGAAGGAAATAAGCAAGACCACGACTGCTGCCACGGTATTATGAAATAATAGCGATCAGGTGGATTCAATAGGACGAATGATTAGGTAGTCCGTGAGCCAGGAAAAAAGGACCGTTTTCACCGGTAATGAGGGCTGTATCCTACTTGAGACCATATATTAAGCTGTTACAAGCGAATCCGGCGGACATGAAATTGAATGACTTTTAGACTAGTTAAGGTAAAATAGTGATTTTTTATATGCGTTAGAGATATTGTTTTTTATATTTTACACACTTGTCCTACCGCTTTGGCAGCTTTATAACTACCATTCGCGTACTCATATGACGAATTCTCAAGGCAAATCAATAATGTGATTTGCATGTCTACCAGTTGCCCTTTTTAGGGCACGAGAAGTTCCGTAATCATACGAATTTAAATATGGAGAATAAGCTAGTTGAAGCCAAAGTTGATGATTCCTTCGACCAATCTAGGAAATAATTAAAGCAGAGCGATGAGGTCTGGCGTTATCATAGAGTAGTCAGATTGCGTGCTTTCGACTGCCGTGCCAAAAATCCGTGAGTCTCGGGAGGAGTTTGAAATAGCGAGCCGCATTCATTGTTTCCTTTTTGGCTAGTGTTTTATAGTAGCAGATGCCCTTGATGTGTTATGTATTCGACATTACCACCGAACTCAGTATTTCTCCAGGTGACGCTAATCTTTTTCCTTGTCACTCTCGACGACATATGATTCACGCGAGCTTTTTTGAATAAAGCACCCGCCGACTGCACATGAAATGTACTACGCAGTTCTCTAACTGTATAAAAGTCAATTCACGGAGGACCCACCTTTTGCATAGTTTACGTATTTTTAGTATTTAGCTATAATTCTGTAGCACATTATATGCAAAACGCCAGTTTCAATTGACAAAGCTTCTAGACTCTAAATCCTGCTAACGTCTTCACCAAATTTCGATGAACTCCCGCAGTGGTTTGTCCCACAAATAAAAAACTGATCACTGAGCGTTAATTTTCGATACTGAAAGATTATTTTTCATCAAAATTCGTTTTTTTCAGAGCAAACATAACTTCACTTAATAGGCACTTACAAGGTTCTAAAAGAATGCAATATTTACTAAACAGTGTTCGTCTGTTAGCGGCGGCTGGTTCTAAAGTTACTCAGTTTTAAAATGCTCCGAGCCTATTTGCTGTTACGTTATTCTTCATACCAGTCAAGCCACTTGAAAAGCCCGTTCTTATCTAATGTTTAATACTCAGTGCAACGACAGGGTTCTAACGGGTAGTGCATGGTTTCTGATACAGAACAACATCCAGAAAGGCAACTAAATTTTAGAAAACCCAATCTGTCTGTCTGTTGTGTATATGTCGATGTCAGAGCGCACCTAGCCTAATGTGCGTATCAGAGCTTTGGGAAAGCGGATTCTGTCGTTCCGTGGCAAAAATGAAAGATATAGAAAACGCTGTTGTGCTTAACAATGAGTTACTTAGTTTGAAAAAACTACAAAGGTTATTGGGACTATATAAACAGTTTTGTATTATGCCTGTTTATGTATGTAGACTTTGCGTTGAAATGTGGGTAATCAATAAGGTTCACTCTTTAGAAAATCATGACTTAAACTAAGTTGAAAGTCAGAAAAAGCTAAGTGTAGACATTGATCATAGTATTAGAGTGGAGTTCTAGTAGTCAACATCAATAAAACTTGCTAAAGATACTTCGCTAGTGATGTTCGTTAAAGCAACTTTAAATTTGATAGCTTAAGGCTTAAAAAATGTGCCTGTTTGAGTTGCGGGATATTGAAAATATCTTATTAGCTCGCTCGAGTTGAAACATATACTAGCTAAGTCGTTTCTTCACTCTCAGAAAATGTTTTGATAAGACTATGTAGTTGCCTTACGACGTAGCAGGTAACTAGCTTTACATCTTTACAATGTCTATGGTTAAGGTGGATTTTTACCCAACGGCAACGTAATAATGCCGAGTAGTTAGCCGAGATTTATTGAGCCAGTCATACGTTTGACCCACTTGTTTAGTTATCTAATCAAGTCGTTTGAACTATTATACTGATGCGACTTTTTCGAAATTTGTAAATAGTGCCACTGTTATTACTTGTCGAATTCAAACGCGTAGTAATATAATGCACATACCTACTTCCTTAGAATACCAGCGGACTATATCTGAATTTTCCACTTTTCTGTGTAAAGAGGACGATTAAAGCGATAAAAAAAAGAAGCTTGTACTGTAGAAATCTCAGACAGCGACCCAAATCCTTTAATAACCACCATTAAAATTGATTCTGTATATGTTTTAACGTTTCAGTTATATAGATACCATAAATAACATTAACTCCGCACCTTCGTGATCGGTGATTTGCCTTATCGATTATTTACAAAACATCGAACCCAAAATGGCATATGGTGATCTCGAGGTGCGTAATAAACAGCAATAAAAAGTAGTACAACGTATCGAAAAAATTTTCTTGTCTATAGGCTATAGCCTTTTTGAAGCCTAGCAGGTTCATTCAGCTAATAACGCATAGCTATTGGAAGGACTTCAATATCCGTTTGCTGCCAATTTGTACAGCGGCGGAGGTCTTGGAACAATGAAAGACAAAGGGCCTCTGATTAGGTAGCAGATCTCTGAAACGTTTCAAAATTGTATATTTTATTTGTAATATATCTCGCATTTTTAATTATTTTTCTTGGTTTAGCTGAGTCGTTGGATGTTTTTTTGCAGATATTCGATGTGCGTGAGTGTGTAATTCAAGTGAACCTGCAGCCTCAATTAAACGCCATTAACGTCTTCCACCCACCATCGCTAACCTCTTTCATGTCGAAACACATGCGGTACCGTAGATGAAAAGGCTAACATGACCTAGATACAACGTTAAATCGAAAGCACAGAATTGTGAATATGGCCACAGTAAGTAGAAGACCTAAGTTTAGAAGTAAGTACGTTGAAATAACATTTTTCAGCTTAACTTTTTTTTTTTTTGAAAAGTTCGTTTTTAAGGTATTTGATCCTTTATTCAAGTTTGCTATTCGAGGTAGCAATGGCCAATGCTCAGCTCCATGCGATGTACTGCAGGTGGAGTGCATGTTGAAACTACATAGTTATTAATTTATTTCAGACAACTCAATTTTTTTGCTATAGATTCTTGTACCGTAATATTTGCTATCAGTAAACGCAAAAAAATCAGAGATTTCTATGAAGTCAAACATGGTTAGCTAAGAAAAATCGTTTAAGCCACGTAAACCTGGCTTTATAATATAAGTTTGAAAAGAGACGTTCCGATTATCACGAAACATGTACAGTATTGCGAAATATTTTTCCAAGCGAAATATTCTATATCGGGTTTTTGTTTCAGGGTTGATAGAGAAAGTGGCCACAAAAAGGAGTTGACCCAGGTTGATAAAAAGCGCAACAACTCGGCCTCTGCTATGGCGTTGCAGGGGAGCGCAAAAGAAGCTCGGGCCAAACGGAAGGAGCAATTACGATTGTGGGAGGTAAATGTTTTTCCTGTTTTCATTGTTATGCTTGGCTATCGGAATGAAGCATAAGCAACATATGCACATATGTTGTAGTCCGTGTACAAGGTTGTAAGACGTTTTTTGTAACACAGCCTCGTAGTAGGATAGCCTCGCATGGGATGATTTTTATATTGAGTTTTTATGCAGCGCCATAAATAGTTGCCTCTTGCAAATCACTGTTGCTATAACTTGAAATAAGCGAACTATATAGCACATTATTTGTACAAGAAAAGTTATTTATCTGAATCAAATAATTTGTCTTCAAAACGATTAGAAAAGTGGTCGTCGCAACACGGAAATTTTAAGGATTAAAAACTCTTGGATCTCTTTAAAATCTTAAAAATTATTATCTTAACATACTCATCGAAACCTTTAAAGGAGTTAGCTTCTCTCTAAAGACTCAATATGAAAATGAAGTTTATAAATTTGTATATTTTCTTAAACGTTGCATGAATGCCTTTAACACGTGCTTCATAGGTTTGTTAAGGCACATAGTTAGCTGTGTCATTTCGTTTCTTTCTTTTCATGGACCAGGAGTCAGAAACAAACTTGGTTGATTTAGATTCTCAGCCCACGTCACGCCCTGCTAAAAGTGTTCGTGTTAAATTCAATGAAGAGTGTATGTTCTTAGCGGCATGTGCGGCCGGTGATAAAGATGAGGTATGTGTTCATTTAGAAAATTCAGTGCCAAGACGCATTGTTTGTATATAAATGTCTTATAAATTTAAAATATTAAGTTCCAAGCTTCAACATTCTTTGAAGGTCTAACAAGTGAATACATTGCTGTGTGCACTAAGAACTATACGAGCACTACCTATAACAATTTAAATAGAGGACTATGAACTAATGACTCTTCAATATCGGGGCCATAATTGTACTAAATAATGTAGGTGGATCGGTTGTTGGCGGCCAATCGGGCCAACATCAACACGGTCAACGTTGACGGTTTGACCGCCCTTCACCAGGCTTGTATAGACAACAACCTTGAAATGGCTGAATTTCTTATCGAGCGTGGAATTGACCTTAACCGAGGTAAGATAATATCGAAGTACACCTTAAGCTATACACGAACTTCGATCACAGCTGCAAGTTTTTCTGAACTTGTCTATTCTTATACACACTGATGTAATAATAATAAACACAATGGTATTTCATAAAGGATTCGAACTTTACCTTGATAATATGCTTTAACAACGCCAAAAATGCTGAGTCCGCCAACGACACGAAGCAAAATATTTCCGTCATTACAGAAATCAGCTAAAATATGCTTCCAAGTATACAAAACAATTTTTGTAGTGATATGCCTTTGGATAGAATTTAAAATATATTTTGGTTAATTTTATACTCAAATCAAGTGACTTACCTAGTTTCTTTCCATACAAATTGATAATTTACGTATTCAGTTGTGGCCATGCTCTTCAGAAAGATTTGGTTGAAATATGTTCTCTCTTTGCTATGTAATAGTCCAGAGTTGTGGTTGAGAAGGATTAATTTGAAGATTACAAACTTGGTGACAAATTATTTTCTCGGGAGATAGACTTTCGAGGACACCGCTCGTGGTCAATCCACAGCTTCTTTTCACTTTCATTTTTACAATGGTTCATTAGCATTTCTATGCAGGCTATACAGTAAGGCTATACAGTTTTGTAAATCGTTACTTCACCGGGGGGTTATCACCGAGAAGCGGCTAGCGGTTAAGTAAACTGACCCTCGAATTAACTTTCTATGCTATGATAGCCCAGTGATTGGCACTCTGGCACGTTTGCATATTCAGTCAGCGTAGTACTAATCGTACATACGCATGCTGTATCGTATGTCCAGTAAGCCAAATTAAGGAAATATGGGGGTTTCCACGATCACACATTTATCTATTCCACTTCCATTTAAGTGTTCTGGCAATTTCACGGCGAACGTGCTAGAGGAAATTTGTCAAGAGCCTGAAGCAACTACAGAGTACAAACGAGCGGGGTCATCTGTGTTGCGGTGCCTATTATTATATACAGGAATGGAATGCTCTTGCAGTAAAATACGAGTAAAAAAAAATTAGCAGATGCATAGGTGGGCCATATTTCTAAATACCTTTATACTACTTTTCTAGGAACTGAATTAATGAATTCACTTTTTTTTTCATTTTTGTAGCACTTTTCGCTGAGTTTTCAAAGTACCATTTAGTAAATCACTCATTCCCACTCTCTTACAGGTGACAATGAAGGCTGGACACCGCTTCACGCGACTGCATCGTGTGGATACGTATCTATAGCGCAGCTGTTGCTCGAAAAAGTATCACCTAGTATATATATATATATATATCAAAATATTTCTTAAAGCAAATCTAGAATATGTTTCAATGAATGCTTTAGTAGGTCCATTTCTACAATGACAAACAAAACAGATTAAATTTCGGTTTTAGAAAAATCAGTACTTGCTAGAATACGCAATTCACGGGTTTGTAGGCAGGGTAGTGTTTCTATGAGAGAGAAAATTGTTCTCATCCTTAGGCACGACTATAGTTGTTTCATACCTTTTTTTAATTGACTATGGAAAACTCACTAATCATGTCGACGTTGCGGGTTTCATACTGTCACCTCTATGTTTCGAGTTCTACGTCCGGTATCGTCGTTAGGCAATCCATGAAAAACCTACCTCCCAGCACAGAACGAAGTCTGTCTTAGCTTGGATTCGAACCTCGACTATAACGTATCCCTAAGATTAATAGGCAAATAGTTTACCCACTAAGCTACTACGGGATCTCGATACTCTTACCTTTAATCATAAGTGCTGTTTTAACATTATTATTTTCGAGATTTTATCACCTCTTCGAGCTGTTACACAAACGTTTACCCCTTACTCATGCTAGTAAGTACTCATGCTAGTAAGGGCTAAGGTATTTTCAACAATGTTCTGTCTTACGCCTGCTACTGCCTTTATTATTGTAAATCAATATTATACCAAAAACCGAATTATGGTATTTTATTCAATGTTCTAGTAATTACAATATTCACCCAACCCCAGTTACCTTGTAAGCTTTAGGCATTATCTGTTTTACACTATAGAGGATCACGGATGCATTCAGGTTGGGGAATTTAGTCGACGTTATCGAGTAACCTTATTAATGTGAATTATTTCTAATATTTTCCAAGTATATCACAAAAGAACAGTCAAACATGGTGTTCTAGCAGCATTTTGTGATTAAACAAATTCACTAAAAGCTCACGCTTACCTTAGTTTAGGGTTTATTTAAACTGCATAAAGCAATATTTGGCAGAGAACGTTGTGTAGTACTATCGCTTGGACAATGAGAGTTAACGACGAGCTCAAATAAAAGGAACGATGTTAGATTTCTATTTTAAGGTATATTACAAAACACAAACGTACTTTGTATTCACATGTTGCTCACTATTAGTAAAACATTAACAAACAAAGCCTTAAATATGTTAAAATAAGAAATTGATTCGCCATTTTGCGTAATTTTATTTTTCAATAAAAACCAAAACAAAAGTCAGTATGCGATATCATATACATTTAGAAAACAGTGTTAGAAAGGAATTTTTTTTCATCTATGTTACGAGTATAAATATCAGATTCTTCGCTGTTCTAGGGAGCGCGTTTGGATGTAGTAAACGTTGACAACGAGTTGGCTATAGATCGCGCTGAGGAAGCCGAGATGAAAGCATTACTTGAAAAAGAAGCCAGTAAAAGGGTAGGAAGACGAAAGTGAAGTGGAAACAAAATATATTGGTGCTAGGGTAGTATATGGCGATAGATATAAATCTAAATGAAAACCGTTCTAGATATTGAAGTAGAGATTGGAACGTAATGTAAATATTTTATAACTTTGTTAATTTTATACCCTTTCGATGTTTAATTGCAATAACCAAACACTGCAGGCTTAAAATTTGCTTTTCAGGGTATAGACGCGGATAGCGTACGACAACAAGAACAAAAAAGAATGTTGGAAGATGTGAAAAAAGCGTTAAGTGCGGTGCGTGCAAAATCTGGCCCCGGTTGTCAGCCGCTTGTTGTTGATACTCGAACAGGTGCAACGGCATTACATGTCGCTGCTGCCAAAGTAAGTAATCAGTCCGGAAAAATAGGTTGTGTAGATGTTGCTTACATCACTTTTTACGACTCCCGTAAATCCGCAAAGTTCAGTTTCGAAAAAAGGGTGACATTTAATTTGTTAATAAATAATTCACCTTTACTCAAACTTGGAAATCAATCTTTTAGTCTAAATCAATAGGAAATAGAGAAGAATTGGTCGTTATAAAGCCGCCCAAGTTCTATTTTTCCTTTATCTTTGATGCTGCTTAAACTTTTGGGTAGTAATTTTATTGCTATAATATTATCTACCGATTTTGTACAGTAACCCTAGTAAATCGGAAGGCATATTTCTTCAACAATGCCTAGAGCTTTTGTTTTCTATTATGTCAAATATAACTTGTGAAACAGCCGGATTAGATGAATAAACTTTCAAAGGATTGCGGAGTCGCACACCGATATTTTCCATAACGCATAAATCGTTCTGGTTTTAGGTTTGGTAGCATTGCATTTACACAGAGAAGAATTACTGCCAATAACTTAGTTTCAGTGTTAAGTTCACCAAAATTCAAGTTTTTGACCATAAGAGTGACAACTACCGATTTTCTTAAGGTTTACTGTTATGATAGTCATTTCTGATTATATAGTACACTTATGTGAGGTTTATCAGTTCGACCAAATAAGTGTAGTATTCGTAAGATTTATATATATATATATTTTGGTATAGGGCCAGGATTTAACCTGTGCCATAAAATTTAGGAAGCCGGTGTCATGGCATTAAGCAATAAACATTTTGCTGGTTTCATTGCTGTGTTAGTTGCGACTTTAACGTCCATTATATAACATACCTTAGGGCTACAGTGAAGTGGTTCACGTGCTTTTAAAGGAGGCAGCTCTTAGGAGTTCATCTCTACAGAAGGTCGTACACTGCAATGATCTTGATGGTTGGACGCCGTTACATGCGGCTGCTCACTGGGCACAAAAGGAGGTAGTATAAATTTTCGTCACATTATTTTCAACATTTTTACACCGCTATTACGCTTTCCTATTTCTATATATTGTTTTCGCAATGCAGCCTCGCCTTTGTAAAACAAAATTGATTGGAAAAAGACGTCGATCCTATGTAATTGGCCAGCCATTTAATTACCCTGTTCTTGAAATCCTCTTGCAGAAAATGACCGATTAAACGCCTAATAGGCTTTAGCTTCAATAGTTTACTACCTATTAAACGGTTAAAAAGTCATCATTCGACCAATCCAGTTTACTAAACTTACTTCTTCTTTCTAACGCAAGTATTATTACATTTCTGTTCTTCAACATGACTGATAGCACCTCTAGATGCCCATGCTGAAAAATTAAATTGTGCTGCTATTCATAGTGTTACTGTGAAATAGACCATGCTGTAGAAAAGCTTAGACAGCATAATTAATGTGGTAATTATTAAAGTATATATATATATATATATATATATATATATATATATATATATATATATAATGCGATAAGAACTCAAGGCAGAAAGCTTACTTAAAGTACAGCCTTTTATCAGTGTTTTTGAAGTGATGGAGGAAGTACTGCCGGTTTCTAGGATTAAGGTATCGTGGTATCATTAAATAATTTGAGTAAACTGTTATTTTCCTAACAGATTAAGGGCACATGTTAGTGGAAACCTAACTCTCGCTGTTACTGAATTTATATGATAGAACAAAAACGTTGTTCTAAAGCCTAAATAATTGGCTAGAGGTCCGGTAACAGAAAAACGCGTGTCAATGCTGTGGCTAATCGAAATCTAAATTTAAATAAATAATGAAAAAAGACTAAATGAGAGCATGTGCGATTTTTATTTCCAGTGAATGGCTAGCGGTACGCTTCTCCTAAATAAATTCAAACCTAGAGGGGGGAACAGAAAGGTCGATATTAAAACGCCCTCTCCGGTTTCATAACTTTAAAAAAAAACTGTAGCGTCTTAAATGAAACCTAAGACCATCGAATATTCATAAATAGAAGTCTAATACTATAATAATTTACTATGGTTTCGAGTATTGAAGTATCAAATACTTTTAAAAACCCAATGATAAAATTAGAAAATATGGTCACTCTAGGTGTGTGAAATGCTTGTCAAGGAAGGCCTCGCTGATATGGATAAAGTAACTCATTCGGTAAGTGCGCGCGCTATTCAGTGTTGCGTTGGTTAAAGATTAAAAAAGCGGAGCGTCTTTTTTCCATTTTGCTTATGCCTAATTGATGTATGAATAGGACAATAGTACCACTTAATGGACAAGCTGGTTATAATGTATGCTAACTATAAAAAATCTGTATTTGAAAAACCTAGCTTTTTTACCTAAAACACCGGCGACATTTCTTGACATCTTTTAACGTTTTAGGGTCAAACAGTAGCTGATGTTTGCGACGAGTCTTTGACGGAGTATCTAGAGGATTTGCGAGCCAAACGCCCAATGTGGATTGAAGAAAGAGAAAAGATGTACAAGGAACATCGGGAGATCGAATCCCCGCCACATGAGGTGACGATCAACAACGTGTGATGACGGTATCCATAGGAATACAGACATGAAGGCTGAAATGTCTACGGTTTTGTAAAATTTAGTGATGTTTACGGAAGGACTTTGCTTTACGAGAGGACGTTTTATCTCAAATCTGATAGCACTTATGTACTGAAGCAGGCTTGCAATCTTAGGCCTCAATCTAACTGGACACAATAACTAATAATGCGGTATCATCTATTTTGTTGCCAGCATTGTCTTTGTTATTTTCTTGCAATTAGATGTTTTCTGTGACTTTACGTTTGCAGGTGGTTACGTTATCGCTTAAGCCGATGCCGGCTGCCTTTAAGCGACGCTCCTCGGTAACGCGCATGAGTGTTGGCGATCGGAGCCATCTTAAGGACCTGTCGGCGGAGCGCATTAGCGAACACCATAGCGCGACTGCCACAGAACTACGGGTTCGTATACTGCTATATGAAATAAATCTACAAGTTAGCTCATTTTTGTTGTAATAGGTGCGTTAAGCAGTTTTAAACGAAACATTTAAACATGATTGTAATCTAAGCTAAACTTTGTGTGCAAATGGACGCATAGTTCAACTTATACAGTCCTACGACACCACAAGTAAAAGCAGGACACTCATACGAACTCTCAGAACGACTTATCTGAGCCTCTTAACTTGCTACACATTTTGCGATTAGGGTATTGCTTTTGATAATATTGAAAACATATTATTGATTTCAAAATGACAGGTGTTGATGTGTGCGTTGGATTTATATAACATACTATAATCGATTTTTTTTTTTTTTTCGTTTCCACTAGACAATATTATTGCAAGCTGCTTCGTTTCATTAATCTAACTCACTTACTCTATATCACTCATAAAACGTAACGTGTTGATAAGAGAATTCGTACTGGTATTTAGATTCACAGTTTTTTCATCTCATAATGGTTATGTGAAACATATATGGACAACCTGTATTCCGACTTCTTCGTCCATATACCACTTTCCTGACCTGGTTATTTAGCATGTTAAAATGTTTTTGCGCATTGCAACATACGATATTCAGTTAACAAACTTGGGGACAGCCGAGAAACAGCCGGAGGTTAGTTTCATGCACCCCTTAATTAATTACAGCAGAAATAAAATATGGAACATCATAGCAAATTTTCTCATAACTCTCAGTTGCTATACTGCCAATTCGCTGCATTAGTTTTTCATCTAGTTTTTTTTTGATGTCTAAACATTCATGGTACTCAATAGATAGGCTTAATAAATGGAGTGACAAAAAAAAATGTGTGTGTGATTACCTCTCTTTTACTATCCAGGGCTCTTGCATTCATTGCTATGTTGAACAAAACTAAGGGTTTATGCCTTCTTGTTAAGCATTACTAAGCATTTTAGTAATTGTTGCAGCTCTGCTCAATCCTTTTATGAAAAACATAAAAAAACATCAGTATCTCATCCTGTAAATATCTGTATCCATTTCGCTTCTATTTTTAGCGGGTTTTTAAGGCTTTCTTAGCTGCTCAGCTTCCTAAAACATACGACGATAGCGCTTGTTCAAGTTTATTGAGTTCCGACTGACTTCGCAGACTAACTCACACACATGCTAAAATTTTGTTGTATGTGTATTGAATGTATATGAACTTTGGTACAAAAGTAGAAAGTAAAGCTGTGGCTTTAGCGTTTGTTGCTAAACATGATTTCCATTCCTCTGCACTTGCTTCCGAAACGCTACACATTCGTTTTAAATTTCAACATAATCGTTACGCAGGTTCAGTTATTTTAGCTAAGATAAAGAACTGAATAAAATAAACATGAACTACGCAAGTTATCTAAGGCGAATTGTGAGAAGGAGCCCAATCGTCAAATATATAGTCCCCTTTAGAGAACTTCAAAGCCGATTTTGTTCTAGTAGGCCTTCTAGAGAGCTAATCCATGGAAGCGTAAGTGATTGGAAGAATCTTACTTGTTTCTCTTATTTTCGAATGATAGCTAATAAGTCCTGCTAAGATTATCTGGGTCTTTCCATCATCTGTGATTTTAGCAGGACACTTTGTGGATTCTGCAGAATGATATTGCAGCAGCCTTTACCTGGCTGCAAGAATACCGATATGTTACATAAAAAGATTAGAATACTTATTGGAAAAATCACCCAGTAACACCAAGCAGGGATAAATGAAATCCTTGGAGGCGACATATTACACTATTGTTGGTCATCATTATATCGTACTTAGTATCATAATCATGCGAACGGTTGTAATTATTACACTTTGACCCTCTAACTTCTTTATATTTTCAAATTTATGAAAAAAAATATAAAATGTAGAGGAGTTCGTGTGCAAGGAACAAAGACCAAAACTGAGGAAACTTCGGAGAATACCAAAATTGAAAATTATAGAAATGATCTGTGTTCAAATGTTGAAATGGAATATATATATGACAACTGAGTGGAAGCTAACTTACTAATTTTTTTTAATAACATAATATCATGTATTTTATAGTTAAGGCTTTCGACGAGATACGATATTGATATCAATGTTTTTCTCTGAGCTTAGAGTTTTAAATCTGTCGCGATATCTAGCACAGTAGCATTTGCTCATAACTAAGTTTTAATATAATATTTAGGAATTCTGTTTTTATAGGATAACGCCTGTATTCCCGAGGAGCAGCCATCGGTGGAGGCAACTTTTGAATTGCCGGCCCCTCCTCCTTTACCGCGTTCTGAGCCTCCGCCACTTGACGGTTCAACGCCGTCAACGCCAGGATCGGTGTCCTCCCCAAACTCCATAAACGCTTCCGCGACTTCTGGCGGAGCCCATTCGCCAATTTCATTGTCTTCCAGTGGTTCCGTATCGACTACGGCGACACTCAACCTGAGCAGTGCATCATCTACGGTAGCTTCTACAAAACCGAATTGGGTCGTCCCATTAAGTACAAAGACTGACTACTTTGTGTAAACATAAAGCTCGCAGCGCAGTAACGGAAGCTGAGTAATAAAATTGACTCTGAGCGGGGGTGCTAATTTTTGTCGCCTTGCATTAATTAAAAAAAAACAATATTGTTGGTTAAGGCACTCTTGTGCTCTAAGTCGAATGTGGAGCGATAATGCCGGCCGTTGCAGCAAAACAGACTTAGCGCGTTGCGATGCGTGATACATTGCTAGAAATTATGTGTTCCTAACAGTTATTCCGCATATTTCGCAGAATAACTCGGTTGCGGGTGTAAAGAGAAGTTTCGTCGCGCCTGTTCGAGATGAGGAATCTGAAACGCAGCGGAAGGCACATGCTAAACGCGTAAGAGAAACCCGACGCAGCACACAAGTGAGTGCTACTTTACATAGCATTTTAGCGTAACTGTGTGATGTATAATCCTGCGTTAAGAGCATTTAATCAAACCAAGAATATAACTAGTAACAAGCCGTTATCTGCTTTTTGCATGGCGTTATGATGTGACAGCCACTGTAATCTCTTGCTACACGCGCTTAGTAACATAGTGCACAATATCCTGCACAGCACTTACGTCAGTAAACGCGATAGGTTATACGTTAATCGAAATAATATTTCATTTGCAATCTTTTTAATCAAAAATACGTTGTTTACTTAATAGGGTGTTACTTTGGAGGATATCAAAAGTGCGGAAGAACATCTGAAGGGAACAAACGACCCGAGCGCTGTAAAGTCGGTGTCAGATGCTGACTGTTCTGCTACGATTCACATCTGTGAGTACTAGATCATGTTAAAATGTTGTATTTTGGGCCCATATCAAGATGTGGTCTGAGTTGCTAATGCATAGCTACAAGCGAAAGGCGACTAAAGCGGTTTTTGCTACAATTTGTACGTTCGATTATTAATATGGAGGATTTTTTTAAATTGTTTGTGTCGTTTTGCCTTCATGTAGGACTAATGTCAACCAACTCTGTAACTGGACAATGTGTGTCGAAGTCCGTGCTAATTAATGTAACTCTAAAGACGTTTCGGTGGTCGTTGGTATAGTAAAAAATTATGTAAGATGATGATATACTTTTTCTGTGGTTTGTGGATAATGTTTTGTATCATCGCGGCTTAGCACTTACAGTTCCTCCAACGACGGCGCCACTCCCCTCTATGGAACTTGGAAGTGATTCAAGCCTCGAAAGGAGAACTTCATGGAGGGAAAGGGCAGCTGCTGAACAAAGACAGGTAGATAATCTATTGAAACACTGACCAGAAGTTAACGCTTAGTGTCCTCAATGAATCTACGTTTATACATCGAAGCTGGAACAAAGTTTCTCTAATGACTGGATTCTCACGTACGGCAAATTTCAGTTACCCATAGTTTACTGACACACCCTGTGTATCAGGAAGTGTTCGTTATCGTGTCGCAGTTGTTTTCTCTTTATATATAAAGCATATATATATATATATATATATATATATATATAGAAAGCGGAATATCGACAGCGGCTAAATTCATTATTTTCGTACATGGCAGCGTCAAATAGAGGATGCACCTCACCTTAAAATCGTGGATAGTATCGAGGCTGTTCACCACAATACAGTTGGGTCAATGGCGGGCAGCAATAACAAGGACAACAACAGTAACAGCGCGGCAGGTAACTTCAGTGTAACATCTTATTTCAATATTTTTTAAGCGCATTGGCTTGCAAGGGACATTGCTTGATCCAAAAGGATGTTTTGGACCAACTGTTGTCCAAAGTATTATATTATGGTAAGTTTTATTAAACTATCCATAAACAGGCCTTCTGTACTGAGTATAAGTACACACGGATGCTTCACTCAGATTCTATAGAAAATTACCTTCTGTAGGATAGTAAGCAAAGTTTGGCACTTCCGAATTAATTTAATTTTAAATACATATTTGGATGTTATCGTTTATTTCAAATCCAAAAGCGAAGAGAAAAACGCAAAAAAGAACGTTGAACTTTGTTCTAGATCTAAAATGACTGGAAGGATTCTCAGTTACGTATTTGTGGATTTTTTCTCCTTCTTTTTTGCTTCACAAAACATGCAGTTATTTCACTATTTACTCACGGGCAAAAACTTATTAATAATATGTATTGCAGAAAAAGTTTCTTCCGAAACCGCCAAAGATCGGTTAATCTCTTGTAGAATGTATGACAGGGTTATATAGTACTAGATATAGCTACAAACGTTTCATTTGTATATATGAATAGCTTGAATATAGAAGCGAGTGCAGATCTTCAAATGGATTCTATTTAATATGAACTTCTTTTCTGCGAAAGTAAAAATGTGATCGTTACAGACACGGTAAAACTAAATCTTCCATTAGTTACAAACGTAGGTTTCCAGTTGATACGAATGCTGACTCAACTGTAAACTTTTTCTCTTTTAATTGTGTGCTTCAGTCTACTTCCGCTGCAAAATTTCGTCCACATGTTTATATGTATGTATATGTGTACAAGATATGGACGACGTAGAGGTACAGACAAGTAGATAATCTTTTGAAATACTGACTAGAAGTGAACGCTTAGGATCCTTAATGAGGTACGCTCGAACGTCACAGCCACAACAATGCTTTTCTAGTGAATAGATTTTCATGCACGGCAAATTTCAGTTACTCATAATTTACTGACACGCCTGTGTCAGTAAGTATATGTTATTGTGTCGCAGTTGTTTTCTCTTTTTGCATATATATATATATGCATATGTGTGTGTGTTGTCATCGTATTGTTGTTGACAGCTTCACCGCTTGTAACACAATCGCCGATGGCCACAGGCGGAGTTACAACCCCGGATACTGAGGACGACTCTTTAACGGCCCAAGCAGTGAGTATTGCAGCCCAGCTTTGTATATTCCTTCAAAAGTGCGCAAAGCGCTAAGGTTTTACTCTTACTGATATCTTTTGAGTTTATAAAACCCTTCAGATGAATTTTGTTTCAAGTGTCAAGTAAATTTAGTTTAGTACGATCTACCGGCTGTCGCCATTTACCAGGACGTTTGTTCGCTGTCGTCCTAACTGCATTTTCTGCAAATTGTCAGTTCTGTGTAGTTTTACTATGTTACAGTCATCAGGGAATATCACAGTATGCCTTATGTAATCATTCATGCAGAGCCATGCAAAACGTTTCCATTTGAAATTTTCATGAGGTTGTTAGAAAGTTCTGTTTTCTTCGGGACACAGAACTTTATGCAAGCTGCCATGCCCCACTTCTGCATCAGATGCTCTTTATCAACTTGCGCACAGAAAGTATTCGTTGTGCTTCAAACCGCCTACTTCAGGTTTTAAAATCATCGTTAGAGATTCTAAGTATTTTTATCGTCCACGCGTGAATCACGTGTATATACGTGTATATAGTGTATAATACGTGCAGTGTAACCTTACGAAGTTATCTTGAAGCAATAAAAATTATGTGTGCATGAGACACAGTGAAGAGGCCTTTCTACTCGATAGGATTTAGGAAATATGAAAGCCATCAATAAAGCTGAACTTTTCAAAGGGTTTCAAAAGCCGTAATACAACTGCTTTCCTGAAAAATTCAGTCCTGGACAGTGGCTTGATGTATACTACAAAGTTAGAAAGCTACTGAGAAATTCCCTCTATGAAATTAACTTTCTGCACGCGCCTCAGTAGTCCACTTGTCCTTCTCGAAATATTTTTTTGCCGGATTCAGTGCCCATGAATGGCATCGTTTTTCCATTCATTGAAACAGTTTGAACTTAATCGTAGAAATACGCCTGGGCTAAGTTTATTCTCTCATTCAAGGAAGCTTTTTCCATCTCTCGTAGCTTTTTTCTTTTAGGTATTTTATGAGCTTTGAAAAGAGGAAAAAAGTCATAGGGGGTTAAGATGCTCCCAAAGTTCAGGCCTGTCTTGACGATAGTGCTACGTAATTCGCTTGAAACTTTTTAGTATCTCTTTCTAACATCAGAACTATTCGGCATCAGCCCACAGTGCAGGGTTCTTTGATAGTCGGAGGATGGATGACAAATGGTGAGGAGAAACTTGGTTGATGGCCTTGCATGCTCTCAAAACTCAGTTGCTTCGGGGCAGCCTTTGTTGTGAGACTTCTGGCCTGCAAATGATCTCTCAAACTCGTCTGTGAATTACTTGAGTCCCTGAGCATGAGTAGTTTCGAATTTCCCAGGTTCTCATCCCTGGGCAAACCATTGATACCATTCGTACACTAGGCATTTATTCATAACCTAGTGCCCAAAAACCTTCTGCAGTATCGGCACCACTTGGCGGCACTTGACTTTGTTCTTAACACAAAACACGATACGCAATTTTTAATCAAAAACATTATATAAACTTGGCACTTAAAACCACGATTCATCAACTTATATACTGTGTTCTATATTTTTTTGTTAAATAAGCAAACATCAGAGTTGGCTTTCAGAACTTCAAATTTTAAGTAGTTTGTTCTTTGTTCATTTGGACTGCGTGACTTCCTGTGCAACCGACAACAAAACAATTCATTATAGGGATTATGCAAATTACTATTGATACTCATTTGTAGTAGTAATTACTATAAATTACTACTATGAATTTTATATTAAAAACGATACTAACCCGTGGTGAACAATGAATATGGTTCATAGAACGCTGTTAAGTATAAGCTATAGCTAAGGTAAGCGCTTCAACTTTTAGGCCACGAATAGTAGGACTCGTAGACGGGCAAAGCGTCGAAGTACGGGAATATGTTCACAAGCTTCCTCTGGAGGATCAGGAGACCAAAACGCAGATGATACCACAAAAACCACTTTGGACCAGGTAATTACCGGTTGCTCCAGCTTCAAAAATTTTGAAAAATAGAAAGAAGATATCTTTTTACTTTTTATCTTGACTTTATTATAAACAGATTACATTGAATAGATTCTAAACGGACTATATGCGGTGATTCAAACCCTTCCACTGTTATTTCTGTATAAATAGTTAGAAGCTGAGAACACGCAAGCTCGCTTGGCTATATCTGCTATTCAATTACGGAGTCAATCATCGGAGAAGGAAAACGCTTCGTCGACCGCGCCGAGTGACTATAAAAAGGTATTTTGAAAGTTTGACATTTATAATGATATACGAATTAAAAACTGGACAAAAAAGAACGACACCGTACAACGGCTAGGTCTGTAATGGAAAAACGCATGAGGACGTTCTCTAAATGTGTCCTTTACATGTTTATAATAAGGAAAGACTAAATGTCCACCATCTGAAACTTCCATTGCTTTACGTGTTCTGCATGCTTGACACCTTAATAGCAATGGCTCTTCCTGTGCGTGGCACGTTGTAGAGGAATCTGAATCAATGGAGTTCTACAAGTACAGTACACTGTAATAGGCACGTATATGGTTTCAGCAACGAAACCTTACCTGTATCTTTACCTACTTGTCGTAGTGACAATTAATTCTTTCAACTATATGGTGTTGCTGTGGCTAGCTATACGAACAGGAGCAGAGTGCTAGGTCTGGCCTTCAAAAAGAACTGGAGTCGGCACGGAAGGAGAAAGAGCATTTACGGGAGCTTCTGTCAGAGAAGGAAGAGCTGGTGCTTGAGGTGAGCTCTTTCCTGATTAATACCCACCATACACCATTATCTAAATATCATATGGACCTTATTTCAGTTGATCAAGCACAACTGACAGGATGTTCGGAAGAGTCTTGCTGCTCTATCACGTTTAAAAGGTCGCGTATCTGTCATCGGGTTACACATATTTATACATATTTAAAGAAAAGCAAAAAAAAGTTATAAGTCATATAACCTTCGGAAATTTGCCTCTTGTTTCGTCTCTATATAGGCGGCCGTCACAATAGAGGAATTTAATTGTTTAAAAGCGGATTACATTGCGGATCCCACAACTTTTTTTAAACGTTGTAAAGTTGCGCAACTTCCGAACACCGTAAATAACTCTGAAATGGTGCCCAGTGGCAGTTACCGGGCCTAAAACTAAACTAGTGCCGTAATCATCATTCGAATGCGTTTTTTTTTAACTATGCGCGTGCACAAATCGAGCATTCTTCAAATTTCCGAGTATATATATATATATATAAGTTCAAATTTCCAGACCAGTGTTAATCTGATGGTTCATATTGTAAAGTTCATGTAGTTATTGTTACATAGTCGAGATTATTTTGATCGCGCTCAGCGTCAGAATCTAATAAAGATTATGAATCATACCGCAGGTAAAGAAAAAACTGGAGCATGAGCGAAGTCGTCGATTAGAAGCAGAGAACAATCTTCGGGATGTACAGAATGATATACGGGTATGTTTATAAAATGGTAGTAAACGGATGTTCCAAACCGAACGGAGAAGTAAACGCAGTAAGTTTGCTATAGCTGTCTTCAGATAATTTAGGATAACTTACAATATGAGTGATCTGAAAATAATATTATAAGCAAAACAGTTTAAGCTTACGTGCTGATTTGGATTCATCGATTTCAGAACGTGGATACGCTAAAAAAGAAAATTGACCTCATGCAGGAAGAGAACGCAGCTCTTATTCGCGTCATCTCTAAACTTTCCATCAACACAAGTCATAGTAGTAAATAGAAAAAATATAATCTGAGCCGCTTCCTCATCAAGTCAACATGACTCGCTGGCTATTCCGGGGCTTTTTTAAACGACAAGATAGGTCGGATTGATCTGGTGGAGAGTCAGCCGGTTAAATGAAAAGATAAACCAATACGACAACACGCGAATATCCTTTCACAATTCTACATTACAAGAAGTACTATTGTTATCGTTGAGAATTTATTATATTAGCAATAATGATGATAAAAGATTGTATGTATGCTCCTTCATTCTAGACAACGTACATCTTATACTGTTTCGACGTTTTTAAGTAAACGCGTATGCTTTTAGGCTCAGAGTTGTTTTTCGCCACGAAAACTAGGGAAACGTATTAAATCTTCGTTACTAATTGTGAAACTGTACAGATGCTTAGTCACATGTATCCATCCACTTGCTTACTTGATACCATACGGCATTTTTATTGTGTGCTTTGGGAGGTCATGTATGCGCCCTAATGCACGCTACACTAAATATCATGTCGTAAACCTTTGGCATCAGGAACTTCATTGTCGGTCTCGCTGCGAGCTGAAGTATTTTAGAAGTATCTCGAAAATAACAAGGTGGTGTTATGACCTTTTCTAGTAGCGAGCTGAGTTATTAGTGGCTAGGTATAACCTTCTATAT